CGATGTGGCGGAGTAGAATCTTGATTAGCATTGAGTCATAAATTTTGTCTATCTCTCTGGATATTCAAATGGGAAAAGCCAGTTTTCTAACACAGTAGCGGAACGACTTTGAATGCAGGAAAGTCTGGCCCCAAAGCCATCATCTCAAATCAATACAATTTTACAAAGTACCATGGATCGAGGACCCACGAAAAATTAGCGGCCAACACACGTGGACAATCCAACAGACGAGGTCCCCCGAACGGTACCTTCTCCATTGTTAACCAAAAATTGCATCAGAGTAATGATTCTCTTCTCGCGGGATTCGTCTGCTTCTGTTGCTCTCGACCCCCACACCCCCTTTACTATAAATATTGTGACAATCTGACAGGATCGCCACGGTCAATAATCAAATCAACAAGATCATCTCGCGTTAACCCATGACCGCCGAAGAATAATAGTTTACCCACTGAGCCACAGCCACGAATTCTAAGCGCGATTGCGATCAAAGTTCTTCTATATACTAAAGTGTAGATAGTTCCTGTCAAGTCCTTCTGGAATCCTGACTAACTTACCAAACGGCTGGTTGCCCCGGCACCCAATTACTTTGACACTTTGACGGTACCAGAGTCCTGCGGTGGGGTGGGAATTCGATTTAATCGCCGAAGACGGGTCCCTTGGTATTATTTACAGAGTATTCCACTCATCCTTCAAATTAATAGAACTTGCTATGTCCGATCCCCCTATCTACGGAATAATCGAAGATTCAGGCGGCACGGAGTGGAGTAGCTGTTTACAGGGAATGGGAGGAAGTCACTGGGTGGGGCTTCCTTCGTGCTTTATTCTAATCTATTTCGAAATTGAGCACCAGTGCCTTGCGAAATTCAAAGCTCCAGACACATGGTCAAAATTGATAGAAGGAATTTCAACGAGTACAAAGATCGTAATTGGGATTTCGAGGACTGAGGTTCGGTTATCCTTTGCACTTAATCCTTGTAGGTATCAGGACAAACTGTTCTAGTCCGATACAGTTGTGGTGATCGGAAATATATATTGCGCAGCGCGTGTCTTGACCACCTTGAGTCACATTTGGTTTGGATAAGATATTTTCTATTTACCGTGTCTACTAACACGAGATGCTGCTTAGATACTTCAGCAGAAAAGATAGTGTATAAATCAATTGCGGCGAGTAGAACTTGAATTGCGCTGGGCCAGGCCAATCTCGATATCACGTTGGGAATGTGCACAAACTGAAATGGACCGTCGAGTGTGTACAAATAACCATCCCCGACTAACGTGGTATGGGTTGGTTATACGCACCGCAGTCCTCACTGAATGGGCTCCTAAGTAAGGATCTCAGGCTTTGGTGCGGAATCCAACTCAAGCCTCTCAGTTGTGCACTTATCGTACTGTGACCCTGATAAGTTGATGGCTTTGATCAAGGGCTTCTCATGGTGTGGAACTCCGTTTCCAGAACGGGCTCACATCTAGTCCTTATATAAGAGGGAAACTGGATTGTACACCAGGGCCATCGATTGCAGGAACACTCGTGGTTTGCGGACAGAAGAGCCCGTCCAATCTGAAGAAACAGAAGAGTCACCTAACATAGGCCACGCTTGTTCTTCTCCAGAAACGAGAGATTTCATAGCGTACTGGCATTCTAGGGACCGAAAAAGAGGAAAGAATCAGAGCTTTGTACTAGGAAAGACCGGGGAAATGAGGAGCTCCGAACAACTCCATCAGAACTGTGCGCAGGGAGAGCTGCACAAGGCTCAGCACATTTCTCACAACGCATTGTGTATTGTCAAAGCTCAAGGAGCCGAGCGTCCGGTAACACCTCGTAGAATAGCCATTTTGAATGCTATTCTGTTGCAGACGATCGGTATCCAAGCAAGCAGCACGACGTCTCTCTAGGGCTCAAAAGCGGCTTCTAATATATGTCGATTTTTCAAGCATGATTATTCCGACGAGCAATCTGGGGTTTGCAACAAGCAGGTAGAAGGTACTATACCAGGATACGGAGACTCCGACCAGCATGAACAGTCTGGCTCACAGTAGGAAGGACCTACGCAGGAATGACCCTGGTATCGCCATGACTAAATACTCTGAAGCTCCGCATCTGATTACTTGCAATCGTGTTTGCATAACCCTGCCGCTGTGACTTGGAAGAGATGACTTCCATCGAGTAGACGCCACGCACTGCATAGGGCACGTCTTAGACCCACTGCAAGAAATGGGCCCGAGGATTGTGACTTGAAATGGAGCCATCAAGACCCAAAGAGTCTAGAGGAAGTACATTTGAATGTCAGCATACAAGGCAACTCTCATTGCGACTCTCAACTTACAACTCTGGATCATGGTATCGTGTACACGTCCACAGGGGTTTCGATACTTTATCCTTTTCAACTCCATTATCTGGTCCATAACGAGCCCACTTAGTGAGCGAAAGCAAAGCTGTTTAGGACTAATCCACAATAGGAATGTTGCACCTCGCAAGCTCCCTGCTGGGCGAATCGGCCCAGTTCCTTTTAAAAGGAATCTGACCCCTGTCACATAATCATATTGCTTTTTCGTATGGTCATAATCGTGATTAATACTGTTATTTTAATTGTTGTCATTCTTGAGGGCAAGTAGTGTCCGGGACTAACGGCATCGGTGTTTGCTTCGCTTTTGGCGTGGATAGCAAATCCCGACGACCATCGTGGAAGTGGTTACACCCGTATCGTGCCGTAAGAAAGATCATCGAATTCACTATGACGGATTTGGACGGCGTAATCTCGGACCCAAGCTGCGGAGACGACGTCAGATCAGATTGCTGCCGTCTAAACTACTGGTTTGATGGTTTCCCAGTTGCTTGTATCTGTAGTCCGTACAAAGGGTCCACTTTTAGTAAACAGCCGAGCCCCTATGGTACATATCACAAGTCTGCAGTGGGCATGTATCATAAGTCTCAAACTCTGAAGAGACGATGTCCTTTGAAGATGCCTTCGACTTTGATACGGACAGTCGCTTCAATGATGACGATACCTGCAGCAACACTATGACTTGAATAATGAATGAATACTCTCGAGCTGTTGATGGTGGTCACACTACTTGTTGACGGATTGGTATGATGTAGATGATAAGATAAAGCTCTCTTATCGATAAGCATGCAGATCATGTGTTATCACGTGCGGGGAAACTGTCACCTTCACAATTTAGATAGCATCAACAGTCGCTTGGTGCATCTCCATGAGCTCTATTTCTTCACCTGAGGACAATTGCTAAAGGTCATCATCAAATCTACAAGTGAGAAACGATACAGCTGCCTGGTGGTTCCTGCTTTGGTGATCCCATCTTGGATTGCGGGGTTCGGTTTTCTGTTGACTTGTCCACTGCGTTTCTTTCAGCATATCAACTCTCAAGCTACCTACACTTATTGACTAGCTTTTCAACCCATCAGAAGCGTCAAACTCCTTACACAATGTCACCTCCCCTTGTACCCTTAGCAGAGATCCCAACTGTCTCGTTGTTGTACAAACTGGGCCGTCTAGTCCCATCCTCTGCACCACTTGCCAAGCCGTCAAACTCATTCAATAATATCATCTCACTCATTCGAAACGACATCACTAAATTGGAGAACGTCGACTGCATTGTCAATGCAGCCAATGAATCGCTCCTTGGAGGGGGCGGTGTGGACGGAGCTATCCACCGCGCTGCAGGACCAGATCTCCTGAGGGAATGCCGGACCCTGAAGGGCTGCAAGACTGGCGATGCCAAAATAACATCTGCATATGACCTTCCATGCAAGAAGGTTATCCATACCGTTGGACCCATCTACCATTTTGAATTTACAAAGGGCGACGACAGACCTGAGATGTTGCTGCGGAGCTGCTACCGTCGAAGCTTGGAGCTAGCTGTCCAAAACGAGATGAAGAGCATTGCTTTTGCTGCGATAAGCACCGGCGTCTATGGATATCCGAGCAACGAGGCGGCCTTTGCGGCTCTTGATGAGGTTCGGAAGTTTCTGGAGGGTCCTGGCAATATCGAGAAGCTGGAAAGGATCATTTTCTGCAACTTTGAGCGAAAGGATGAAGTGGCCTATGAGCAAGCCATCCCGTGAGTGCCATTGATTGAGTTCTTTACCTTTTTGGCGGCGCGAAACTGATTGTCGATAGCTTGATCTTTCCACCAGTTGAGCAAGACCTTCCTCGCCATAGTACCCATTCCGAAGTCCCGACAGAGACGACCGCTGAATCTTCGCCAACACCAGAGCTACTCGCAGCCAAACTTCCCGACCCACCCACTGCAGACCCTGCCCTGGAAGGCCAACCTGAAAATAAAAAGCAAAAGCTTAATGCGGACGACATCAAACCAAGCGCCGACGCTAAGAGTGAAGGCGTTCAGTCCAAGGTTGACGATAAGAGTGAGGATGATTGGGAGGAAGTCGACAAGTCAGAGGGCGGACCAGCGGAAAGGCTTGATGACGAACCTGTCGAGATCGAAAGGGCTCCTTCTGCAGCAGACGTACAGAGTGTCCAGTCCAGTGGTATCATTGAGGAGGGTGCCTCTCACCCGGTGGAAAACTATCTTGCAAAGGACTGGTAGTCTGCACGTGGCGAGTTGACAGAAAGGAAGCTCAGGGCTACTTAATACGACTTGATGCAGCTACGATAATCTGAATTGGACATGATGGCGTTGCATGTGTTTCTGGCACGGATGTATGGCGTTTTCACTCCTACCTTAGTTAATTGATTCGTCGAAACCTTGAAGCTTTCTCCGGGACGTAAAGTGCAAACGCTGCAAACAAGCTTCCAGACCAGTCACGCTACTCCGTACCGATATCTTTATCAATCGCATGCGACAGTCGAGATATTTCCTACAAAACGAGAATTTCCTATTCTTACTTCTAGAACAATACATCTTCTTTATATTGGTTTGCATAGAGCCCACTCTCTTTTCCTCATATCCGAACCAGCCGATCATCTCAATTGAGGCTACATGCACCGATAACATTCTGCACAAGCACACCAACCACAAACATGCCTCCACCTCGGCCCTCCCCAGAGGGGCCACCTACAGGCAAAACGACCTCAAAATTTAGAGTCCTCACACCAGAAATGGCCAAAATACGATCATCCAAACCACCGGTCCCGCCGACCACAACACCCTCCGCCTCCGCCTCCGCACCCGCCAGCGCTGCCCCAAATCCCTCGCCCTCACTCCCCCCAACACAAACGCAAACACCACCGCAGTCATCACCTCGTTCCAACCGGCCCTCTCTCTCCTCCCTCTTCCGCAATCGCTACGCGACACTCCCAACACCCATCCGCCGAACATTCCGCGTCCTCCGCATACTAGCACCCATCATCCCAATCGGGATTTTCTTCTCCGAACATGTCCTCCAGGTAATGTGGGTGCGGGGGCCGTCAATGACGCCCTTCTTGAACGAGGACTACGAAAGCATGCATACGAAGAGCGACATGGTGTTGGTGAACATGTGGCCGTTCGGCGGGGCGGGATGGCCCTGGGAGCGGAAACGGAGGTTGGAACGGGGAATGATTGTTACGTTTCGGTGGGTGGTTTGCTCTACCTGTGCTTCTGCTTATGCGATTGCGATTGCGATTGATGAAAATGAACATGCTGACGGTATGGTGGTGCTAGGTCGCCTGCCAATCCCAAACACACCGCCATTAAGCGGGTTATCGGTCTCCCCGGTGATCGGATCACGACTCGTGAACCGTGCATGAAGGCGTCGCAGATTGTGCCGTTCAATCATGTCTGGCTGGAGGGTGATGCGGAGGATCCGAAGAAGTCGCTTGATAGTAATACGTATGGGCCTGTGAGCATTAGTCTCATCACGGGGCGAGTCATTGCTGTGTTGAGGCCGCAATTTAGGTGGCTCAACTGGCGGGATTGGGAGAAGGGGGTTGTTGAAAGTGACGGGGATCATAGGTTTGGGGATAATTACCGCCAAGATGTCCGGCAACGGGTGTTGAAGGAGGCTGTCAAGTTGGAAAAACCTCGAATAGAATAGGTAAGATCCTATGCCTCGGCTCCTTGCAAATATGTCTTCTAGATGCACTGTATATAATGTCGTGTATTTGTAGAAATATTAGAGTGTAGGATACATGTGATCATGAACAATGATATGCCAAGGGATTCAAACAAAACAACCTGCTCAAGCAGCCTTAAAGAGCTACTCTGGCGTCTTGCCAGTGCCGGAAACGACAAAGCCGAATCAATTATTTGATGGTTTGATTAGGCGCATGTCTTCCGGCTTCTCCTCCTGCAATCGATCTATCTCGGATGAAATACTCATGACCCAACGATCCCTCTCTATCCGGCTCCGTGCCTTGAATACCACAGTCCGTCCAGGGACGCCGAGCGTAGACACTTGCCTCAGCTTCTGCTTCGTTTTCCCTTTCTTACTGAGCTCCTGTGCCCTAAAATAATTTTTTCGTAGAGGCTGCCAGACGACGAACGTGATAGCTGTGTCCTCGTCGGAGGTGGTATAGACATCGGATGAAAGATAAATGCGAGGTAAGGCATGGTGGCCTGGATGGTTGCTGTCGAAAGTCCGGTTTGCGTAGAGCAGATCAGACTCGGTCATTAGACCCGAGTAGATGTAGCAGTCTTCCAGGTCCAACGTGGTCTCGAGACTCTGATGAACATGAGGAATCTCGACGCCAGTACGCTTCCGCAATGAGCTATGGAAGATCAGAAGCTTCCCGGCAGCCAAAATAACATCGCACCTCTTGAAGGTAGAGTGGCGGCGAGGTTTTCGAAAGAGCTGGCCGGACATCTGCAACCTTATGGTCAGTATGTGATTCAATTGCACTAGGTTCGCACGGTGTACCTTTATTGTCCGGCAACCCGATAGAGTACATATGTTGTGCAACAAGGGTGATGCTTCTGACTTCTTTGTTTCCCATTCCTTAGAGAACTGTCCTACCACAGACTCAATTCCTTCATCGATGCCCAAAATATTTAGATTGCGCTGCCGAATCGCCTTGAGCTCGACCGAATCGGCCGCAACGCGGGCTTTCCAATATTTGACCAGCGCGTCCATTCTCTTTATCCATTCGTCCCTGGTGGTCTTATCATATGCTTGCAGTCGAACAACAAGATCATTGTCAAGTACCATTTCAAAGGTTCGATCATCGTCGAATTGCTTTGTTGCACCATCATCCCGATGGGTGTCTTGCGTCTCAGGGTTGAATTCGACATCGGGACCTTCGCGAATGTTTGGATCGGCAGGGGAGCTGCCACGGCACACTTGACGTACCTCCCGAACCTTACAAAGATCGATGAACCCGTCCGCATGGGTGAGGTTGTGCATGGACCTCTGGGTATGTGCATAGGCGTTCTGATCATGTTCTTTCAGGTGGGCCTCATTCCCGCTAGACATCCATGTGATCTCGCCGTCATGAATTGGAAAGGGATCAATGTCATATGAGAGAGGCATCTCGTTCAATATCTGCCGCGCTGAGGGTATGCCAGCCTCGTCCGAGCAAAGCTTCGGCGGAGTAGGAGGCAGAGCCTTTGCTGGTCTGCAGAACAAAAGGTAATGATCTTGTGTGAAAAAATAGAGACGTTTAAAAAACATCCTGTTCATCCGTTGATGCACTCCTCTCTGGGATGTCAAACGGACCAGGAAGCCTTCCACTGGTTGTGGCTCTTCGAGTTTCTCATCACCATTCTTGACGAACGTCTGATAGTGTTGCCTTGGTCGCAGCTGAAGCTGGTGGGTGGTTTGCATTGCAAGAGATCCGTACATCTTCTCTTCACCCAAGCCAACCACCCACTCCAGTCTGTCGTAGCGCTTCCAGGCCAGGCCCATCTTCTCGGTTTTTGACCACTCGCGTAGCACTTCTGCCCATTCGGAGCGGTTCTCCAGCAGGTCCACACAACCCCGGATGATAGCCGCAGCAACATCGTTTACGCGATCTCTCGATTGACCGGGTGTGCCATCGCTATTTTCCCCCTTCTGAGTCTCCCACTTGGACTCCAACTGCTCAAAGGGATTTCGAAAGACAAGAGAAACGCCCAAATCAGGGACATTAATGGATAATGAACTTGGACGGTGCCGCCCCAACACTTGATATATGAACGTAAACCATTCAGTGGCATGGACTGCGGATTTGGGCCGAATTATGTATATCTTGGTACCACGCTTGCAGGGTCTCCAAATCACAATGGACTTATCCAAGCAAGAGTAGAGGTTCACCTTGATATTCTTGCGATTTAGAGCGATTTCGTGGTAGGGTTTGATCCTAGAATTTGACTTTTGTATCTCCGGAACGACGCGCGTCTTATACATCTGAAGCACAACAGGTGACTCCGCATCGGATGATAGCCGACAGACGACGAGAAACTCCCTCCAACTCTCTGCAACCTTCGTTTCCAACCTGAGGCTATCATTTTCAGTGTAGTCATTCGGGAGCTCTTTTTGCACAGTCATCTCGACGCGAACAAGCATCCTCTCTGCTCGTATAATCTCGCCCTCACGCAGCTTGCGCCGTTGTCGACGATTTCCTGAGAGCACATCATAGGTGTAGGCTATACGGGACATTAGACGCTGCTGTCTGTCCATGAGCTTGTCATCCAATTGGTAGCTTTTCACTCTTCCGCCGAGTGAGGTTGTAGAATATCTATTCTGTCGGGGATCGATCACATCGTCTTCTCGTTCACTCTGCGGCTCCTGTCGCTGAAGGCTGGCAGAAGACAAGGCGTTTAGTTTACCTTTCCCTTTAGAACGCAAACTAGGCCTTAGCAATGCCGTCGTAGAGCCAGATTCGCTAACGGGTGCCATGGGAGCTGACTGACTGGCATCATCTTGGCTAGGGATACTCAACGTCCGCGTACTTTCTGCTTCAGCGGTGCGGTCATCTTGCCCAGCTGTTCCAGGATTGTTTTCTCTAGCTGTATAATATGCTGTCGGCGCACCTTTTTTCTTCTTAGTCGATTCATGGTTCAGCTGTGGTTCGCCCTGTTCCTGAGACGAACCTAGGGCAGTTATTTCCCCCGGGGGAACTTCGGCCTCAGTCAAAGGATACGGTATGGACTGGAGGCCATCAGGCTGCTCATCCGTCTCGCGATCATCACCTTCCTCCTCTGACCTGTCTTCAACCTCCACCTGAATCGTAGTATCAGCCAGTGAGGTATCCTGCCTTCGAGCAGATGATGGGGCTGCTTCTGGTTCCGGCTGATCTGCGGTAGGAGTGGTTGTGTCTGCAGTGAACGTAACAGCTCTCGAAGTATAGTTCCGAAACTTGAGTCTGGTCTTGTACCACTGCTTGCGGTGGTGCTGCAGCCAGCCTTCGGGAATTGGTCCGATGAAAAATCTCCTATTTGTCATGTGCAAGTGATAGCCGGAGGCATATCGCTTAAAGCCGTCAGTCAGGTACGAGGTATCTTACAAGTTGCATCTTCCCAGTGAACTTATCGGCAAGATACTTACTGATCTCTCGGCCGTAAAAGACCCTGGATCAAGCCCATGCTGGTGTTCCTGGAACACGCTTTGGGTTGTCTCCATTCTTCCAGCGCTGACATTCTGTTCAGCAGGGCTCTGAGTACTCATGGGACTTCACCGCAACCCCCGTATTTAGCAAAAGAGAAATTGCATGGAAACCATTTGGTGTTAGGCTACTGTGTGTAATCGAGGCATTCTTCAAGGGTTTGATATCCAGGAGTGGAGGACAATCTGAAACAGCAAGGAAACAGCAAGGAAACAGCTTCCTCAGGCACCACCAGGCGATCGTTGATGTCAAGGGCCATGATGTCATGCATCACGTGCAGTTGCACCGTTTGCTCCATTTGTTTAGTTTGTTATGTTTTTACTGTTTGCAGTTATGCTCAGGGGCCGCCCCGCCCCGCTTATTGTGGCTTGCGTGTACTGCTACTGGCGGTGAGGGACAGCTCAGCTGTTGTTGATAGCTGTCTCTTCCCCTCATTCTCCCTCATCATTACTCTGTATTCATTTCTATCTTCTCTCTAGTTTTAATTGTACATTTTTGTGTTCAAATACATTCTTGACAATGGCTGCCGCTATTCCCCCTGGTGGTACTTGGTTCGATACTCTCAAGAGGTCTTTCGCCGATGTTCCTGTTAACGACAATGGCATTTCGACCACTGAGTTTCTCGAGGCAGCTGAGTCCTTGGTGACCCTATTCGGTATGTTTTCAACTAATCTCTATGAGCTTCTGAGAAGAGTAGTTCTGACTCAATAACTGCTCTAGATCTCCTTGGTAGCAAGTGCTTTGCCCCCGTCAAGAATGACCTCCTCGGAAACATTAAGGTATCATTCATTTTCGTGTCCACTGTAGCAAGACTAACGGCGGTATAGAAAGTGAGAGACAGGCAGCTGGCTGCCCCTGCTGAGTCTGAGACTCTCCAGGCACTTGTCGTGAACGAATTGAAGACTGGAAAGCACGTCGCCACCGAGGGATTGTTGTGGCTTGTCCGGTACGTTCTCCGCATCCACCAGCAGGTGGTCACGAAATAAGTCAAGCGTATGTTTGGCGAGATGACAATGAACCTAACAACCTATGTTCTCGACAGTGGCCTTGATTTCACCGTTCAAGCCCTCCGTCACAACCTCGACAAGGAGACCGAACTGTCGGTTTCCTTCCGCGAAGCCTACGGCAACACTCTCAAGCCCCACCACTCGTTCGTTGTCAAGCCCATCTTCTCCGCCGCGATGTCAGCAACGCCCTACAGAAAGGATTTTTACGAGAAGCTCGGTAGCGACTCCGACAAGGTCAATGCTGCTTTGAAGCGGGAGGTTGAGGCTTTGGAGAAAATCGTCGCGACTTTGAACGCGTTCCTGAGTAGCAAGGAGGCGAAGTGGTAATCATCATGCTGCAGGAGTACAGCATAGAAGCTCTAGGCTTCTGCCACCGAACCGCTTTCACTGTATGTGCTACCAAGCGTTTAGGATTGTCAGTGTGTACATATATAGCATCTGCGAGATGATAAGCTGTGAACAAGCTCAATAGGATATAGCAGGCCAGGCAGCCATTTGCTTTGAAAGCAACAAACCTTGGGCGTGTTTCGTGACACCCAGCATCAAGATGCTCGAGCTTCTCTGTATTGACCATAATAGACGAGGTTGCTGTTAGATGTGAAGAGGCTCTAGCATTTGTATATAAGTGCACTCTATTCGATTGAACTACCTATTCGACAAGAGTAGAATTGGAAGCTATGAACCCATGCCACCGACTTCACCATCATACGTCGGTCTATCACTTCCAGCCTGTGCAAATGGAAGATAAGTATCTTGGCTGATTGGTCCTGAGAATTAGGAACTTGAACTCAGCTAGTCCTAGAGTAGATAGAAATCGAGACTATCCAAGACTGGTGAAACATTGATAAGTTGCTATTTCAGGATAACCCTTACGAGTCCAGCAGAATGATACGAGGTCCCCCTGCTATCCAAGACACTTCATAGTGGCAATCCTTGCACATGGCATGACTCAGTTCAAACGGGAGTAAGTCAGAATTGCGCCAGATCATCAATCGCCATTGGGAAAGTCTATAGCATTAGAGATTCATCCCTGACAACAATGATGCAGTTTACTATGATTCTGTTCTGTAAATATTCCGGTATTCGAGTCGCCCTACCGATTGTGGTAGCTAAAGTCCAACGTGGACACTTCATACGGGTGTTGAAGAAGATGGGACGCATGCCTCGATCCTTTAAATCCCTGACAAGGAGACGATGTCATAGTCAGATTACAGAAGATGGACCAGTCCGGCGGAGAAGAAAGGACATGAGTTCCCCTTTCTGACGAGGATCCACCTTCTTTAGGATTCTGACGTCCGTTAAGCGAGCTGACAAGCGGCTTGACACCAGACAGGATTGCCCTCTTCAGAAAGACTTAGTTGCTTCAGATGAATCAAGCCTTTCATCGAGTCAACGACTGAATGCCCGGCGAATGTTCTCGGCCGGCAGCGAGTAAGTTGGCAAGTACCTAAGCTTCAAAGCCATCTGTTCGAATTAGCTTATCAACTGACCAGGATAAACCCACGTGGGTTTACTGGATCTGGACTGCCGTTACTAAGCTACAGGATTATGCCTTGGCTAGTTTCAGGCTTGCAGAGAACGCATTTAGGCTGAAGAAGAAATAGGTTTGTCCCGTGGTAAGCTGGCTAATTGAGGATTAGAGGTACTTTTCTAGACCTGTGAGATACTGTGTTGATCCTTCTGTACTAGCTGATCGACAATATGTAGGCGCTAGCCAACGTGCTTTGAAACAAGCCGTGTCACCTCCAGGAGGTCTCGAGTTCAGACTTCAGAGTCATGGTTCTGGATTGAACTTAATACATATCAGCCTCGTACGACCTGTGAACACAGCATCGCTGATCGTAAGGTTGATTATCTAGAGAGTCAGGGGTACGCTCGGGAGAACTATAGAACACGGCTTTTTCTGTTCAATACGCAAGAGAGCAAGTTTCGGAGACCGTAGCCAGTTATGAGTTAATTCCCGCTGCATGAGGACGATCCAAATGTTGCAATTGTCGATCGCCAAGTGAAACCGACAAAATGCCGGATATCTGTTCCCGATTCTGAGTCTTGTTCGGTAGTTCACTCCTTGAAGAAGACAAGCCTGGGTTTAGCCGAACTCTACTCCGTACACGCGAGACATTCTGCTTCTCCAGACTTGACGCGCCACACAATTACACTAGATTGATTACAATAATGCATTCTCAAGTCGACTAATGTAGGATCAACCCAATGCCATGGTAGCATTCCTTGTCAGAAAGATTCGATGCTTCGACGCTTACGCACGGAGAAGAGATCAAATACTATTAATAATAACTATTGTTATGCACCACTAGTTACCATGGTTAGCGCGACGCCGCCACCTAGGCGCATGAGATGTGGGCTGTTGCAACCAAACTAAAAAAATGTCCTTCTTTTGCCCATGATGGCAAAGATCCTCGTCGGCCAATGCGTGCCATTTTTGCTCAGGTTTGCTTGAAACTCGATTCCATGGGTAAGTGAGCCGGGATAGATGTTGACCGAACCTCTGTCGATGCTGTTATATAATAAAAGCAGGGCAGCTAGGGACGATAGAGTGAAATCAACCGTCAGATCGACATCTTGTCACCTGTCAACTCCAGGCTGTCAAGAATAATCAATCAATAATGCTCATATTTGACTTTCAGTACTTCCCGGCGGTCTCCGTCACCACGGACTTCCATCCACTGGATTTCCACGCAAGTCCCAAGGCATAGACCGGCTGGTGCGCAGGTGCTTGTCTGCGTGTGCCTGTGTGCCCCGTTCCTTGAGAATTGACGGGCGAAATCTCCACAATCCAGATAACCGATGGCAAGTGTCCACTTTCCTCTTCTAGCCCGAGCCGTATGTCAGTCCGTTAGACTTGACTTGACAAATAATGGTGGTGGCTACGATGGCGCTTATCGGTCGTTCTGCATTATGTAGATACCAGTTTTGCCTTCGCGACCTTACTCGTAGAGGATAGATAATGCGTCGCTAATTTCCTTCAACCATTGCAAAATGGAAAAAAATGTTATACTCAACTGCTACTCCTGCACGTGTCGATGCTCTGGCTGAGACTACTTACGGGACAAGGCCCACATCAACAACGCCCAGCTTCAGCCTGCAGAGTCAGCAGAGTGCGTATCTATGCTGTTCCTGGCAAGTTCGTTCTAGGCTCGATCTCGCTTACAATCCTTGGCGGCGCTCTAAACCTAGGTAGTGCATTGCAACCTAGGCTCTAGTTAACTTTGGCCCTGACGACAGCGATAGTTACCCCAAGCCAGGAGGATTTTCCATGTGAAAAAGAAGAAAAGAAGTTTATGACCTTGGTGTACCAGTTTTGCTATGTCTTGCTCTGCTTTTCGTCCAATCCCAACTATGGTTCCCCCCTTTTCCGCGGTGCATTACTGTATATGTAGCCATTATTAGCACCTGCATCACTACTACTCCGTACTGATCACTGAATGTCACCGGTCTTTAAAATGAATCTCCACTGCTCTTAAACATAGTCAACCATGGTTGGCTCCATTCGGCAATTCGCGAGTCGTCGCCACAGTTAATGGCAAATGCTAATCGCCGCTCTGACAGCTACATTTTTGAGTGCCTGAATTGACTTTGCCTTGTGCCATGCGGCTATTATTATTAAGTGTAGGTTGTTTGCTGTAACGGTGCTAGTAACTAGTAACTTGGGTCGTTTTCCTTTAAGAACGACCATGATCCACATTTGATTATTGAGAGCTTCTGGGACTTCGAGACTGACTCCAACTTCCAAGTTGGACCCTCATATTGTCGCCCCGTTATTGAGATCATGCGATCAGCTGTACAGTCATGAGGAATTACCCATAGGCGACTTGTCAACTGCCTGTAATCATGCTGCATTTTCCAGATCGCAGCGCGTCGATCTTTATCGTCACTGTTGTCTTTTTGGGTCTGTCTTTCATCGCTGTATGCTTACGATGCTTTGTCCGGTTGAAGTTGGTCAAGGCCTTTGGGTGGGATGACACTATCATGGTGGTCGCGATGGTATGCATGTCTCATGCTCTGCGAGAACTTCAGACTCATTCCCTCGCAGGCCTTGAACATCTTGTTCGCCTTATGCGGTATAACAGGCTCTCTATATGGAATGGGCCGGAAATTGGCGCATGTGGAACAGTTCTCGACAGCACTATTTGTATGTGTTCAAACCACCTGGACTCTGTCTTGTGCACCACTGGGTTTATCATGCTTACGCTCGTCTGTTCATAGTGGTGGTGGCTCGGTCAGACAAGCTACGTAGTAACGTGCGTGGTCGCCAAAATCTCGATCGCGGTAGCCCTCCTCCGCCTGACCGTGACAAAAACGCATACAATCCTTCTGTGGACTGTCATTGGAGTGACCATCGTCGTTGGTCTTGTGTTCTGGTTCGTCCTGACTTTGCAATGCAAACCGGTGTCATATTTCTGGAACAGATTATCACCTGGAGCGAAAGGAACCTGCCTGAGTACGGACACTATCATCAACGTCGCCTATCTTTATAGTGTAACCGCCACACTGTGCGACTTTGTTCTCGGTCTTTTGCCCATCTCGCTGGTCTGGAAGCTCCAAATGACGCGGAAGACAAAGATTGCATTGGCTGCTATTCTGAGTTTGGGATGCATGTACGTTTTGTCTCCATGTAGCTTCTCGCTTGCCTCGGGATTGTTTTCTAACTCCTGCTCAGAGCCAGCGCTGCCGTCATCGTTCGCATCCCCTACCTTCACTTATACAAAGACCATGAGTTCCTTTGTAAGTCTCCCCGGCGAAATGACTCGATCGCGCGCTAACATCAACCGACTTCACACAGACGCAACAACGGACATCAGTATCTGGTCTAACGTCGAGGCATCACTGGGTATAATGGCCGGTAGTCTCGTGACTCTCCGTCCACTCTTCCGTTGGTTCCGTGGCACCAGTTACGGAAGGAGCGGAGCTACGAAGAAGACATTCGGCAGCATGCCCCTCTCCAGCATGAACGGGAATGGCAATGGGACACACCAATCGAAGCATGACCGAGACGCAACGCAGTACTGGCGACCTGATGTATATCCCCATGAATCACGGGCCGTCGTCACGACTATTCAGACTTCTCCCCGCGGAAGCAAGAGTAGCAGCCAGGAGGACTTGAATCCCAGGCAGGAGCCTTTGCATGGTGTGAATGTACACAAGTCTTTCCTTGTGAGTTCGGATGAAGTATGAGGCATGGACAGGCTCCCTATCCCGCTATAAAAACCAATCCATGGATTTTCTTTTTGTTCCAACGGCGACATCATTCGCTAGCTTGTAGGGAGGGAGGCAAATACCTTTGTAATTGTTAGCATTGACTGTTATGGAAAACCTCCCCTACGCCACCAGTCAGTGTGTAGTAGGCTATCAGGGGCAAGTTATATTGTTGCACAATGCTTATGCTGCACTGGGCGCGTCAGCTAGTTTGCACATAAGCAAAGTCCATGCCCTTCTGCTTGGTTCCAGGCACAGTTCATCCCTCGTCTGGCTGTCCGTGAAGCCATGGAAGAGAAAGCAGAACTGCATGATGATTGGTCAACAAATCGATACATTCAAACCTTCGGAGCTACCTTACTCCGAAAGCCCCGGCACGTGGCGTCGGCCAATCGGTGGCAAGAAACAAATCACCTTATTAATATTTCAGGCTCAAGCGGCGCAACCTCAAAAAGGGAATCCAAAGGTGGCTTCTTTCGCGATTGTTTCCTATCTCTCGTTCTTGGACATCTTCGGTATTTTTTGAGGCACTGCCAGGTTATCTCTCCTGAGGCCTAGTCCTATGATTTACTAAACGAGGAACTTAATCATAATTCTGCGTCGTTTGGCCGTCGTGGTCATTCGAGTGTCACCATGTTAGTCCCACATCATCAATCTGTCGCGTGCAATGACCATCTTACTGACCAGTGCTTAGGGCGAAACTCGTGGACGATCCCCAAATCAAATATGCTTCACTGCATAACCCTCTCCCTACTCAACTTCACACCTATGTGTGGCCTTTCCTGATTATCTGGCCTGCCTTCTTCGCCGTCTACCTCTCCCCTGAGCGCTACGATACATACATTCAAGGACAAGAATGGACATTCGTCTGGTCTGGATCGATCATTACGGCGCAGTCCCTCCTTTGGTTGATGACAAAATGGAACATCAACATCCAAACCCTGTTCACCGCGACCAAGGCCCGGTCTCTCGACTCTGCGCAGCTTATTAAAGTGATCCCAGTTGCCAACGCTGGCTCTGCCGAGATTTGCCCTCTGCATCGCGACACAATGGGTGGAAAGAAGTCATTCTCGTTCCTCTTCCAGAAGCGCCGCTTTCTCTACTACCCGGAGCGTCAATGTTTCGCGCCCTTGTCGTACGTCCTCGACGCGGAGCCCAAGCCCCCCGTCAAGGTCTTTCAGCAAACCCAGGGCTTGACCTCCAAGGAAGAAATCGATCGCATCCAGCATCACTATGGAGACAACACATTCGATATTCCCGTTCCGACATTCGTGGAGCTATTCAAGGAGCATGCTGTGGCACCCTTCTTTGTTTTCCAGGTCTTCTGCGTTGGCTTGTGGATGCTTGACGAATACTGGTACTATTCTTTGTTCACCCTCTTCATGCTGGTTGTTTTCGAGAGCACCGTTGTCTGGCAACGTCAGAGAACCCTCAACGAGTTCCGCGGCATGAACATCAAGCCCTACGATGTCTGGGTGTACCGCCAGAGGAAGTGGCAAGAATTGACCAGTGACAAGCTTCTGCCTGGAGATCTGATGTCCGTGAATCGCACCAAGGAAGATAGCGGCGTTGCCTGTGACATTCTCTTGATCGAAGGTAGTGCTATTGTCAATGAGGCTATGCTGTCGGGTGAGAGCACGCCGCTTCTGAAGGAGTCGATCCAGCTTAGACCCGGAGACGACTTGATTGAACCGGACGGTTTGGACAAGAACGCCTTTGTTCACGGAGGTACCAAGGTATTGCAAATCACCCATCACAACTCGAACGGAGAAGATGGATCGGAGAATGCGCGGAAACTTTCATCCGGGGTTCCCCTTCCTCCAGACAATGGCGCTGTTGGTGTGGTCGTGAAGACCGGGTTCGAAACCAGCCAGGGAAGCCTTGTTCGTACCATGATTTATTCCACCGAGCGCGTCTCCGCCAACAACGTCGAAGCCCTGCTATTCATTCTTTTCCTCCTCATATTCGCCATCGCTGCGGCATGGTATGTGTGGCAGGAGGGTGTAGCGAAGGATCGCAAGAGATCGAAGTTACTCCTTGATTGCGTCCTTATCGTCACTAGCGTCGTTCCTCCCGAACTACCTATGGAACTCAGTCTTGCCGTCAACACGAGTCTGGCTGCACTGAGCAAGTTTGCAATTTTCTGCACGGAGCCCTTCCGTATTCCCTTCGCAGGACGTGTTGATATCGCATGTTTTGACAAGACTGGCACATTGACCGGCGAGGATCTGGTTGTCGACGGCATTGCTGGTCTCACCCTAGGCCATGAGGGTGCTAATGTTGGAAAGGACGGCGCTCACACAGAACTTTTCAAGTCTGCTAATATCCCATTCGACACGACCCTTGTGCTTGCGAGTGCTCACGCTCTGGTGAAATTGGATGAAGGCGAAGTCGTTGGTGATCCCATGGAGAAGGCGACATTGCAGTGGCTCGGCTGGACTCTGGGCCGGAACGATACTCTCATGAGCAGGGCTGCTCAGCCCGCAGGCCCCCGAGCAGTTGAATCTGTGCAGATTAAGAGACGGTTCCAGTTCTCTTCTGCCCTCAAGCGCCAAAGCACAATTGCTACCGTGGTGACGACCGATCGTAAGACGTCTAAGAAGGCCAAGGCAACCTTCGTGGGTGTCAAGGGTGCTCCTGAAACTATCAGAACTATGTTGGTCAACACGCCTCCGCACTATGAAGAGACCTTCAAGTACTTCACTCGGAATGGTGCTCGAGTTCTTGCCCTCGCATACAAGTATCTCTCTGCCGAATCCGAGTTGTCTCAGGGACGCATTAACGGTTATGCTCGTGAAGAAATCGAGGCTGACTTGATTTTTGCCGGCTTCCTTGTCCTTCAATGTCCTTTGAAGGAAGATGCTATCAAGGCGGTGCGTATGCTGAATGAGAGCAGCCATCGTGTGGTCATGATCACCGGCGACAACCCCTTGACAGCCGTTCACGTCGCGCGCCAAGTTGAGATTGTGGACCGTGACGTCCTTATCCTCGACGCTCCTGAGAATGACATGTCCGGTACAAGACTAGTGTGGCGATCCATCGATGACAAGTTCAACCGCGACGTGGATCCAACTCACGACTTGGACCCTGAGATTATCGAAACAAAGGACATCTGTATCACCGGTTATGCTTTGGCTAAATTCAAGGGTCAGAAGGCTTTCTCAACCCTTTTGCGTCACACCTGGGTTTACGCTCGCGTGTCCCCCAAGCAGAAGGAGGATATTCTTCTTGGTCTCAAGGATGCTGGTTACACCACTCTGATGTGTGGTGACGGAACCAACGATGTCGGGGCTTTGAAGCAGGCCCACGTCGGTGTTGCGCTACTGAACGGATCTCCCGAGGACCTTGCAAAAATCGCGGAACACTACCGCACGACGAAGATGAAGGAAATTTATGAGAAGCAGGTATCCATGATGCAACGTTTCAACCAGCCAGCCCCGCCTGTTCCTGTGCAGATTGCGCATCTTTACCCCCCGGGACCGCGCAACCCGCACTATCAGAAGGCTATGGAAAGGGAGGCTCAACGCAAGGGTGCCGCCACGCTGGCCACGGCAGGAAACCAGGAAGAGCATATTCCCACTATCACCTCGCCTGGCGCGCAAGCTCTGCAGCAATCCAATGCCAACCTGACTCCTCAGCAACAGCGACAGCAGCAAGCTTCTATTGCAGCTGCCGGCTTCGCTGACAAACTCACATCTTCCATGTTGGAGCAGGAATTGGATGACAGCGAGCCCCCTACAATCAAGCTCGGAGATGCTTCGGTTGCTGCGCCGTTCACCAGCAAGCTGGCTAATGTCATCGCGATCCCCAACATCCTGCGTCAAGGTCGTTGTACCCTGGTGGCGACTATTCAGATGTACAAGATCCTTGCCCTGAACTGCCTGATCAGCGCCTACAGTTTGAGTGTCATCTACCTCGACGGTATCAAGTTTGGTGATGGTCAGGTCACCATCAGCGGCATGCTCATGAGTGTTTGCTTCCTTTCGATTTCCCGAGCCAAGGTAGGTTTACATCGTGCGATATAATAATATTACCCTGTGCTAACTCTCGTTTCAGTCCGTGGAGGGTTTGTCCAAAGAGCGACCGCAGCCGAACATTTTCAACGTGTACATCATCGGCTCCGTTCTCGGCCAGTTCGCCATCCATATCGCTACTCTGATCTACCTGTCGAACTATGTCTACTCCATTGAACCGTAAGTACTCTGTGCCAATAATGGTTAGTTCATATTGCTGACAGTTGACCAGGAGAAAATCCGATATCGATCTGGAGGGTGAATTCGAGCCATCGCTCCTCAACAGCGCCATCTACCTCCTCCAGCTTATCCAGCAGATCTCCACTTTCTCCATCAACTACCAAGGCCGACCCTTCAGAGAGTCGATCCGCGAGAACAAGGCGATGTACTGGGGCTTGGTTGCCGCATCTGGCGTTGCCTTCTCCTGTGCCACTGAGTTCATTCCGGAATTGAATGAGAAGATGCGCCTCGTTCCATTCAGCACCGAGTTCAAGGTTACACTGACTGTGTTGATGGTCATTGACTACGCCGGTTGCTGGATCATTGAAAACGTGTTGAAGAACCTGTTCAGTGACTTCCGGCCCAAAGACATCGCTATCCGCCGGCCCGATCAACTGCAGCGCGAGATGGAGCGCAAGAAGCAAGAGGAGTTGGAGACTCAGGCAGAGAAGGAACGGCAGAGGAAGGTCTAAGCTAGAGATATGATTTTTCTATTGCTTCTTTTGTGTTAGAATGATGTGGGAGTGGGTAGACGTCTAGACCATCTCTTCGTCGAACATACGCAAAGCGCGTCGTTCGCTTGTGTATAAATGCACCCTATATTTTGATGCCTGTGGATAGAAGAATACAACCATGTTTATTCTGCAGATTCTTTTGTTGGATTGGACGTACCGAAGGGATGTCGGTCCACGAAGAAAGTAGATGAAGAATGTGAGTCGACATGCAAATTTACTAGAACATTGGCTAACCAAAGTGCAGGTGTATTTCTCAAGGTTAGATACATAGAGCTCTCCGTGTATCCACATCGCAATAGCAATTCCCGTCGGCACAACCCGAGAACAAGAGAGAAATTCGTTGATTGACAGAATATCCAGGACGAGATGACATTCGAGCATGATGCAAATGCGGGCACAACTGTGCGGCTGATGTTTACGGCAATGTGCCACCTTTGGCACCTGCAAGTACCATCTCGTTCTAAGCATTTCCAGGAGACATGACTCGCAAGTCTACCCAAATAGGGAATTTCATCACATCTGTGGTGGTGGCTCCTGGTAGGGAGGCTCACGCCCACTCCGAGATACATCATCAGAGTCCAGAACCAGCCCGGTGGTCTGGAAAGGAATCCGTTTCCACGGAAGGAGGCGTGTCGAAATGGAATGAAGGCATTTTCAACGAATATCGGAGCCGGACGCGTTCCTTGGGCTCGATTCCGGCCAGTCGCGCCTCATTGCCGCTGAGGTGTTGACGCCGCCCGTGATGTCAGGAAGGGATCATTGCTGTGCTATCCACCGCCACGAGGGATAATATAAGGCAGGCCGAGGGAGGCTCCAGAGAGAGTTTGGTCTTTTCCGGATCAGATCAGATTCTGCGTATCAATCAGGCTGAGTCTCTTGCGATATCCGCTAAAAAAAATAAAACTATATTATCTTCAAGTTGTGACAACACAACGCAATCATCATGACCGACTACACCGATAACGCCGGAACCACCTACGGGAACACCAACACCTATGACACGACGGGCGCTACAACGGGTTACGGTACCACGGGAACCACCTATGACAACACAGGCTATGGCGGCACAACCGGCTATGGCACCACGGACACTGGCTATGGCACGACCGGCACGACCGGCACGACAGGCTATGGCACCACGGCTGGGACCACAGGCTACGGCACCAGAGGCTACGGCACCACCGCTGGCACATACGGCACCACCTACGACAACGGCTACGGCACGACCGCCTACGATCCCGCCTCTGGAGCGTACGACCAGCACATGGACTATCGTACCGATGGCTCGACGAGGCATCACCGTGAGAGAGTGAATCCTAGCGGGACATATCGACACCGCGATGTCGATCGCCGCGATGACGGCTCCACCCATGTCCATAGGGAATATGACAACCCTAATACCGGGACCAGCTACCACCGGGACTATGAGCGATAGGGATTCGGAGGATAAGGGGGATAAGGAAGATAGCGAGTGGGAGGAATGGAGATGGATTTTGGCACACGCTGGCAGTACATAGGGAGGATTGTATCTGGGTATATATATATGCTTTTACTGTGGAGGAGTTGAAAACTAAAGAAAATTTTGGGGTTTCAAAACAAAAAAAAAGTTGAAAAAGTGATGAAAAAACACAAAAAAAATCTGCTTTTGTTGCTTGTTTTTTTTTTTTTTTTCTTTTTTGTCTTGTTGTTTTAGCGAAATAGAAAATATTACGATCGTTATGAACCCCAACCTTGAAACATTAGCAAGTAAAGCGATCAGCTTCTGAAATTGGGATCGGATGGAGTAATCTTGAAGCAATAACGAGAAGAGTAGTGATGGACGAGGACGATATGATGGCAGAGATCCTGCTGCCTTAACGCCTTAGGCATTAGTTGTCGGCCTCAGGCTAGTAGATTCCCCTCAAATGAGCTCCGCAGCCTGATTGCCTGAGCTAGGCAGGATACGCTCATCATCGCCCTGTCGCCCCAAACCCGCCAACAAACCTGCCCAGTCTTACCACTTGTCGCGGGTCTATCTCACATGCTCCCATAACCCGCTTCTAATCATGTCCCGGAGGACGCTGGGTGGAGGTCGTGTCCTGGGCACTCCGAACGCTCTCGCAGCAGCAGCATCCACGGCGTCTCCGCAACAGAAGCCAAGCATCTTATCGCCGTCCGCCAGCAGCCTCTCCCTCAGTTCCCAAGCCTCCGCCTCGCAGTTCTCATCTGAAACGCAAGATCTCACTTCCCGGATTTCTCTGGAAAATGGCGCGACGTCCATATCGGCGGCCCCGGCGGCTGCCGGAGCTCAGCTTGCTTGTCCGATCTGCAATGAGGAGATGGTATGGCCTACACCCGTCACATCGACCCCTGTCCCAGCTTTCTGGTTGGGAAGCAAGTCATTCTGCGATAAGCTAACAAGCTACAGGTAACACTCTTACAATTGAATAGGTATTTGTTTCGATGCGCCCTATTCGCGACGCCTGCCTAACAGTAACTCCAGACACCTCGATGACGTACATCAAAACCTCGAAGACGACCGGCAAGATGAAGTCAAGGATTGGTTCAAGGTGCAGATGGAAAAGGCGAAGCGCTTCCAGCCTCTAGCTGTATTGAACCAGAAACTAAAAGGCCTGGACGTCTTCGAGTCGAACGAGAATCATCACCCATCCGTTGGTCCAAGTCGGCCCGCTGCGCCCCAGCCGGGTTACAACGAGCCGCCGAGAGTACTGGACCCTGAAGACATCATCACAAAGGATCATTGGCAAGTTCGGGGGTTATATGACACCTGTTTGGAGCCATCGTGCGGGAGACGCTTGAATGCCACCAATGGCTGCGTCAACTGTCGCAAGTGCGGGAAGCTCTTCTGCGAGGAGCATACCATGTACCAGATGAAACTGTCCAGATCGGCGCAGCATGAGCCTGTGAGGGGTTTGTGGTATAGGGTTTGCGAGACCTGTTATAAATCAAGGGAAGGGTACAACGACCATAATGGTAGGTGTCTATAGTGTGAATGGCTGTGACATGGCAGTACTTACTCGAGTCAGGCCTCGTTCGCGATCGAATGGATGAATTCAAGGCTGTGAGGAAGCAGACCGTTGACAAAGCCACGCTGGAAATTTCTCGACTGGAAAAGCGATTGACACGACTCACCCAGCTATTAGCGAGCCTACCTCCGGATCAGATACAAGGGGGAAAGCGATGGCCAATCTCATGGCAGAACGACCAACGGAAAGCGCTCGAGCAGACTATCGTCAGCTGGCAGGATGACGCTGGCGTACTTCGGTGTCCCTTTTGCCAGCAGGAGTTCACCGGTTATACCTTTCGCAGGCACCATTGCAGAACCTGCGGGCGGGTCGTGTGCGGTGACCTTGCGACAGGATGTTCCAGTGAAGTTCCTCTTAGTATAACACCTTGTATGTTATCCCCTTTCGGTTTTGTAATCTTTCGCTAATTGGATAAAGTGGCCAAGGCCACTGGAGAAAAGACACCAAATGGGGGTGCTATCAATGTTGACATAAGGCTTTGCAAGGAGTGTAAATCGACCCTGTTCGACCGACGGGACTTTCAAGCAGATATCATGCGCAGACCACCGGACGTTAGAGCGTACGAGAATCTGGCGCAATTTGAGAGGGGCATTCGGCTGCTCTTGCCCAAATTTCAGAAGCTCCTCACAACGCTGCAGTATGTTGCAAATCTCCATCATTACTGCTATGTCTAACATCATGCTTTCTTACCAGAGATCCAAGGGGACCCCCTTCTGCAGCTCAGCTTGCTGAGGCTTCGAAAGTCCGGAAACGACTTACTGATTCCTTCGCCCAGTATGATGTCGCCGCCAGGCGTATTCGTGATATGCCGACCGAGTCACCAACACAACAGCGCCTTCAAAAGGCCATCTATCAAAAAGCCACTAACTTCTTGCACCTTCACATGCTTCCTCTGAAAGCTTTGCCCAAGATTCTCAAGCACGCAACACCAAATGGGCGACCTGCAATCCCTGCCAGCTCAATTGCGACTCCGACTAATCATGCAGTGGGCGGTCACCGACCAAGAGAGTCGGCACTCGCGTCCATCAAGTATAATGGCATAGCTGCTAGCGGGAGTAATACCAGCCTAGCAAGCGACACAAGCAGCGCCGTCTCTGCTTTGGAAGCAGAGGAGAAGGCACTGCGTGAACGCCTTATCGTCCTAGAAGAGCAGAAATTCTTCGTGTCCGAAATGATTGCGGATGCGAACAGACGTCGCAAGTTTGATGAGGTCAGCAGTCTTGCCATGAATGTCGAGGATTTGAGTCGGGAGATAGACCGGGTCAATGGCATGCTGGCTGCTCTTGACTTTGAGGGCGTATATACCGGCAGCCAGCTTCGTGCATAGTCCGAGGTTGGTCCTTTGCTGCAGTTACGCTGCATGTTTCTGGATTGAATTGTTTTCTTGCTATATTCTGTCCGGTGGCTTATTGGTTATTGGACTCAGCATGGCGTTTCGATTTGCATAGCATGAGGCGTTCTGGGTATAGCATGGTCTATGTGCTTGTATCTATTATGATTACTTCAAATTATAGTCATAACCATTCGAGTCTATATCCGGTTCTCGACATGTGTCAACAATTCTTGAGATATTCCCGGAGCTGCAGCGTGCATCATCACGTGAGCGATCTAGGCCAAGGGCGCCGCACCTTGTTTGGACCACTTGTCCCAGTGCACTTCCTAGGATCGCTCCGGGTGTTCCAGCTGTGTCTTTGTCCTCATCCTGTAGGGAAGTGCTCGTGGAGAAACCGTTCTATAATCGCCTAAGCTCAGTCCATACAGATTAAGGTGGAAGAAAATCAATCGTCAAGGGATATATGACTTGGAAGGCTGTGGATCCCTCAACTACTCAAGGTACGCTAAGTGGAGGCAGCTCATAACCTTAATTATCAAGGGTAAACGAATCAGCGCCTGTCTTCTTAACTCCATGGTACATTTCCGTTCTTTATCATATGTCAGAGAAGAACTCCTGACCTAGGAACAGCTCTGGCCCAGGCGCATAGTCTGCTCTGGCCTCTTGTCATCACCCGCAAAAGTCTCCTGGCTTGCACCTAGCCGGTTGCAAGTCCGCCGAATCTCGGTAGCAACCAATCGTCAACAACATTGGAATATATCTCCACGAAGAAATTTCAGTATGGCGTCAGAAATATCTGACGCCCATCGGTTCACCGTTAAGGTCAACGGCCCGCACAAAACCGGAGACGATGACCATAGAGACCTCCTTCTTGCACAACTGGAAAAAACCCCACAGGACATCCAGATTCTCGAAATAACAGAAGATACACCGTCAGATATTGAATGGGAACTGCTTGGCAATCACTTCAGCAATATCAACGATCTAGAGATGCACACGGGCTGGAACGAGGAATTGAACGATGCGGGACTACCAACACACTGGCCGCTGGAACGGCTTCTTGTCAGTGACGCGTGCGGAGAAGTGTTCTGCAGTCCGTTGGTCCTCGAAGGAAGAGTCAAGCATCTGGTTTTACTATTGACATCTGGACTACGGTTTGAAGGGCCGACCAGCAGGGAGCTGTATGATGCGAACAAGGAAGCGATTTCCCGGGGAGAAAAAGAGGCCAAGTACATGACTGTCCGTGAAGGAACGCCCGAAGAGAAGAAGATTGAGCTAGTCTGGCTTCCAGAGCTTGTCGCAGAATCAATGAATGAACGGTATGCGGGGACGCGCGAGAGGCCGCCACTGGTCACAAACAATGACTTACCGCTTCTCCCCAAGGAAGTACCGTCGAAGATGGAGCAGCTGGAGATACTCGAGAACGATGCTATCGATACCTTCAACCGGATGACCATTGCTCTTCCACATGTGGTGGACAACCTGTCTACACTCAACATTCGCTCCACCCATGGCTTAGATTTCCACTTCACGACTGAAGAGCTATTTGCGGGTCTTCTTCCGGAGCTTCCGAAGTTGAGGACTTTTGTTCTCTCCGTGGGTGATATCTTCCAGGATGAAAACCTCCTCCCAACACTGTACACTTTGTTTCCTCCGAATCTCTCCACACTACGCTTTCGAGGCCCCGCATCGCTTGGCAGGTCCGGCGAGTGGGCCAACTGGGTAAATGCCTTTGCGTCTTCGGACTATTTGCCTAACTTGAAACGACTGAGCTTCGTATTAGATCTACACTATGAGGCTCCAAAGGAAGGCAGCTCTAGAAGGGAGCTAGTTGCGGCGCCGGAGGATACACTTCGAGATGCGCAGGATGCATGCAAACAGCTGTATGAGGCTGTTGAGCAGCGTGGGGTTACTCTCGAACCATTTCAGGATAAATGGTCTGATCAGAGCATACTCTTCAAGCCAGTTGATGAGCGGTGGATGCAGCTTTGATCAGTCCTAGCCCACGATGGGCCTATGTACTTGTAAAACAAGAAGTCCACTCATATGTATTTTAACTGAGAAACCCCTCTCAATCAATATCACTTCATAGAACTGAGTAGTGTGAATTAAGACACAAACACGGCGAAGACGAGTTCATCTTAGGAGACTCTCTCCCGCTCTGTAGCCAGAATGCACCCATTGTTGGTAAACCCCTCTCAGCTCTCCTTTCCTGTACATTAGAGTCAAGTTCCATCCAATCGATTGCTTCCGGAGACAGATCTCAAGATAGGAGCGGATCTAGTTACTACTCTTGCTCTATTTAGGTTGAAGAGCAGGACATATGAGTCTACAAGTTCTTAAAACCGCTGAAGAAGCCTTCGCCTGAGCAGCTGGAAGAATCCTATCACAGATGGATATAGCACATTTACTCCAGATGATTCAAGAAGCTAAGGCTCATGATAGGGTGCATTGACTGAGACAACCATCCTTTGCATTTGCATTACAGCATGGGGAAACCTATAACCGATATAAAAGGGAAGACCCTTCCCAAGGAGGAAAACAACAGCGTCAACCCTAAGCAGGATCGAAATGCCATCAACTCCATTGGGTCAGACCAGGGCCGCGACGAAGCTGCCACTTAGCCTGACTTTGGTCTCTCTAACGTTCTTAAAAGACAGCTAATCATCTTTGAAAAAGAGAAACACAGGAGCTCTAAATAAGCACGTTCTCAACATAATGGTCTATGAAGTGCTTTCAAGTAATATTCTGGTTAGCTGGCGTTAGTTTGCAGACTTGTTTTGTGGATTCTTCCAACATCTGAATTAGAGGACACTTACACTTTGGACAGATATCATGTTGAAACTTATTAAGCCACTAAGCACTTTGATGCCAATTTCGCAACCTTCTTGACCTTCTCTGAGAACTCTTTCTCAATGCAATCACTGTTTAGGGCAAATACTTCAAAGAGATCTATAGTTTTCCTAATCTCACACACTTGGAAGTTGTCCCAGATATCCTTGTCACAGTAGTCTCCTGCTCCGAAACAGTCTCTCTCAGAATCATAAATAACATCTGCTGTATTAGATTTAAGATTGACTGACTTGCTCCTGGAGCTATACAGGGCTTATTACTTCACAAAAGAAAAGTTATACCACATATGAATCTATATTCTAGCTTCTTTAATACAACCCTGCTTTGTGCATGGCCACAGTGTTAATCATTACATTCTATATTATAGTAATTAGTCTCTACCTACCTAGTACTACAGGCAGAGTGACATCTACCACCAGGCAGTCAGTGGTAAGGTGGGAGTGATTCCACTGCCTCCTACCATATGTTACACCGAATGCATGCTCCTCTCTGATATCACATTAGCTGAAGCTTTGCACCATACTACCAGATAGAACTCTCTTCTTTTTCCTCGGTTACCCTTGAGGATAAACAAGCGATTCACTTGCCTAGCTATGTGTAAGTATTTTAGTTATACATAATATATATATATATACATAGTTTTAAAACAGCTAATTCAGGGGCGAAGTTGATGGGCTTGTGCAACATTCCCGGTCAATTGAAGATGATTCGCCGATGAAGAGCTAGAACAGTTAATCGGAAATATAACCCAAAATTGAGCCACGTACGCTATAGAATGACTAGGAGTTTGATCTTCGAATAAGTTTATCTGTGCGTGCAGATTGCCGCATCACGGCAAGAGTCACATGTCACACGGAATCAGGATATAAAACTGATCTACATGCGACACAGCCAATCATATCAGTATAGAAATTCTCTAGATCTTTGCTCTGAGGATCTTCGTAATAGTATGTGTGGGAAGAATAATATTTTAACATAACCTGTCCTAATCTAGTCATTGGTCGCAGAGGTCTAAAGTATACCACCCTCCGCATAGAGGCATGCAGCTAGGCGGAAAATACATGAAGCTGGGCTGTGTAACAAAGCAATAATATCCACTGCTACATTCAAACAGGTCATACAGAACTTCGAGGCAGCCACGAGGTATGTAGCCCAAGCCTGGCCAAGATATCACGAGTTATGACTACTCATTTCCTGTACTGAAGAAAATATCTCCTCCCATACCTCCACTGACTGCACCAGAGTATCGTGATCCGTTCCATCGATTGTCGTAGACACATAGTCAATAGCCTCCACTCCGGGAGCCCGCCAGCACTCCTCAAAGTATTTTTGCCCCCGGCTGCCCACCAAGGCATCCTTGGCAGCAAAGTAAGTCCGGACGCTGACCCGGCCATCTGTGGACAGTTCACGGGCCGCCAGCGTCTGCACACAGTGAGCGTAGTCTGAGCAGGCCCCCCAGCTGCTACCATCGCCCTTCCGAAGACACTGCAAGGCCTCGCTATTAGCCCCGACCGTGTCCTCTTCATACATGAAGCGGAGGGCAAGACGCGCGAGCTCCGCCTGTTCAGCATGCGGCACGCCATAATCACGCTCAACGCGCCGCCAATTAGCATCGAGGAATGAGCGGTCCGCCGCTTCGCTGCTCTGTGAAGACATCCGGCGGACGACAGCCCCGCTTGACGCCAGCACGGGCGCAGCCTGCGTTACGAAGAAGCGCGGGATGAGATGCCACATTGCGAATGCCTTGGTGGGCACGTACTGGGCCATTTGCATTACTGTAACGCGAGAATGGGCGAGATCAACCCAAGGAGCTAGAACAGCATACTGAGCAATACGTCCTCTTTTCTGTATCTATTTCTGTCCCTCTTCTTCAACGAAAGAGAGGATGGTAGGGTTGAAATACCTAAGAAAGTAACGACCGGGTTCACAATCTCACGGCAATGCGCCCAGGTATTGAGCAGATAGATCGTTCCAGCGCTGTGCGAAACAAGGCTGACGCGCGGAATACCCAGGTGGGCCAGCAGGCGCGGTAGCATATCGACCCAGACGGCGATCCGCTGGGCGAGTGGTACATCAGTCGACGCGCCCATTCCGGGCCGGTCGACCACGAGCAGGCGCACTCCGGCGCGTTCTGCAATTACGTGCATAGGGATGCTGAGATAGCGCGAGGCGAACATACCCGGTAGGAAGAGCAGCGCCGGGCCTGTGGCGCAGCCTATGTCGGCGAATGTGACGGTGAGGGGGCCATATGCTGTGTTGAGAATGACGCGGCGGTGGAAGCACTTGCTGGAGATGAGGCTGAGAGGATCAGACATGATGACTTGGGTATGATTATAGGCGTTTGTGCATAGTGTCAGGGATGAACATGTTGTATTTTCAATGATGAACTAGATATGATAATAGATATTTGTTCATAAGCTTAGGGATGAAAATGCTGACTGTGCTGACACCAATTGACGGCTGCCTGATTGTTAGGGTTTGATGGTTTTGTGCCTGAGATCTGAGGTGTCTATTTCCCTAACCCTAGAAAACAAGGAGAGTCGACTCTGTTAGAGATTCAATCATCCGCAAGCTATTGCCTTGCTTGTTTGCTCCTTCATTCCTTTAATTAGAACAGGGTCATATTCTGCTTAGCTTAGTAATGCTATGAGTAGTAACAATGCCACTCCATTTTAACCTGTGAGTTATGAACGACTATGAAGCGGGGTTAACGAGATTGAAGTATGCTACCACTCGAGTCACAGAACTTTTAAGTAGCATAGCACCCTAACGTTGTAGGAGGGTAGACGTAATAATAAGATTGTATGGATAGTAGGTGTTATACCTAGAACAAACTCGACTTTCGTGGATTCATATACCTGAGGGTGCCTCCTTAAACGGACTTTCTTCGTCGGCCAGGTAGAACAGGAAAGATGTTAACAACCTTATTTGCTGCATTATTTTTCGTCTGCCGGATTATCTCAAGTCAGCCTGCGCCGGCAGTTGGCTAGAACTCTTTCCTCTGTACCCCGACATCAGCAATCCTCACGTAACGGCAGCTACATGCACTTACTTCTTATCATTGTAGTCTTTCAGAATTGCTCCAGAAATCTTCACGGCCATACCATAGAACACCGTCATCACATGCGAAGACACCTGGGTAGGGGGAATAGAGCCATCAACCACGCGCAGGTTCTTAACACCATAAACCTTGGCATTTTCGTCCACGACACCCCCTAGTTCCTTTTTCATCATGCTGCATGTCCCAACACCATGATAGTTGCCGCGGAAGTTCTGCTTCACATAGCGCGCCCAGTCTTCCAGACTCGCGTCATCGGGCAGCAGCTCCCCGGGCAACGTCTCTTCGCCGAAGAACTGTTTCATTTTCCCGGAGCGGGTCAGCTTACGTGCAAGCCGCGATGCCGCAGCTTGTCCGTAGAGGTCGAGCTTGTTTTGAAAATAGCGGGGGTTATATTCGAAGCTACGCAGGTAGGGGTCGTTGTTGAGGATCTTGACGTATCCCCGCGTGAAGGGCAGCAGGTTCCAGAGGTCAATGTGGATATGGTTGTCGGTGTCAAGAAAGAGTTCTGCGTAGGAGACGTTGTTCTTTCCAAGCAGCCAATTCTGATAGTTAACATACTGAAGAAACAGAGCGGACTGGTTGTGGAAACCACCTCCGGCGACGGTTTCAGCGGCCCATTCGCGAAGTGTTTCGTTGTGGTTCACAAGCGACTTGTAGTATTCCGCATGTTCTCCGAATACCTCCTCGAAGGTTGCAAAGTACGCGACTTGGCCCTGCCCATTGCCTTCCGGGGTGGTCCGGGCCATGACAGTGGTTGTGGTTTGATCCTGCATATTGAGGCCAACAGGGAGGTCGATCTTTTGTTCGATCTTGACTTTAGGGTTCGTCTGTACATCGGTCGGACCGATGCCTGAATATTGCAGGATCAGAGGGGAGATAGTCGATCCAGCGGCAAGGAGAACCTCCTCCTTCGCCGTGACGTTGAAGCTCCAGCCCTCCTTGCGGTGGGTGCCGAATTCAACTCCCTTCGCTTTGTACTTCGGCCCTTCCTTTTCAGTCGAGTCGAGATCGAGATTGACTTTGCCGACAAGCTGGCCGGTCAGGACGGTAATGCGGTTTTTAATGGAGTCGTTCCTCAGCACCGGCTCCAGCCACGACCGCGCAGCATCCGTGCGGACCTGCTCTTTGGTCAGGGTGTTGAGGAACATGGACACGCCGTACGGAACACCGCAGCAGAGGTCCTGCTGGTAAGGCGCGCCAGTGGTCTCGTTGGCTGTTTGCATTAGCGCAAAGATAAGCGGCGACCAATTGGTCTTTCGATCTCGCGCGCCAACTTCTACCTTGCCTTCGTCAGGTTTGGAGTTATGGCAGTCCGGGTTATAAGGATGGTGATGGCCTTCAGTCACGTCCTTGTCCTTTGTTGGGTCTCGAGGCTTTTCAATCTCGTCCATGTATGTTTTCAGACTGTCCCAGTTCCAGCCTTTATTTCCAAAAACATGTTCCCAGGAATCGACCTGATCTCTGTGGGGACGCGTCCACGTTCCGCCGTTGATAAGAGTCGAACCTCCAAGGCCATTACCGGACCGAATGATCTCAACCCGCTTGTGGATCTGGGGGCTGGTCTCATAGGCATGGTCAACGGTGCTGCCAAAGATCTCACCATAGGTGTTCAAGTCGTCGATGATGGGACCGTATTCAGACCCATAGTATCCGTTCTCAATCACCAGCACGTTGAACTTGTCCTGGTGATCAAGAAGCTTGGCAGCGATCGTGAGACCTGTGAGACCTCCTCCGGCGATTATGTAGTCGTATGTCTGGTCTTTTACTTTCTCAGGATTGCTAATGACACCTGTGGCCTCCGGTGCAATCCTGCTGCTTGGAGGATCTTGGAAAGGGACTTGGACAGGCTCAGAGAGCGTTCTGGCCACGAGGATCAACCAAAGCAAGGGAAGGTGCTTCATGGTGAACAATACGCAGGATATGATATGTTAACAACACATTCTCTTAGGGTGTTCTCTAGGAGTAGATATAACTGCGGTGCGTACATTTAGTAATGTTGAGAGTTGGTCATGATTGCTTAATGTTGGACCACTGACAATCAGGAAGATGTCGGATGCCTTCGTCTTGTTGAACCATGGAAGACACTTCTCCTCCATTTCATGTAGTGCCTTACACCAAATTAATCCCTTGGCTCTACGGTATGGTACAAAGCAAGTTGACAGCTTCCCTGGGCCCTACCAGCGTTTCCAAAGATGACCATGGTCGAGCCTGGGATAGTAACGCAGCGGAGACATCCGGATAGTAGTCAGGAAGTTAATACAAGCAGGACGTTGACGCAAGTGGTATTAAGGTAATGACTTTGCATAAGATAAGTACTTTCTCGAGAAATGAGATGAAGGGATAATATTATGTGATGTTGCGACAGATATGCATCCTTTATTCTTCTAGTGTGGTGGGATTGACTGCTACTGAATATAATCTCACAGATGTCCGCGCAAAACCTAGAAACCGGAGGTCTGCCAGAAAATCAGGCGCAATACAGAAGAACACAAAATCATGATGTGACCTAATGCTATTAAAAAGGGCTGACGCAATAATAACAAGCCAGTACTATTTATCTAATCTCCTAGGCCACATTCCACTTTACATGTATGTACACTGCTTTCAAACGCTGGTTTGCAAACTGGATTCCCACGGCTCACTGTGGATTTCATAATATAGATAGGCAAAGGCGCCCGATAGAATCTGTGGACTGAGTGGAGAACGAAGAGCTCATGTATTCACGTCTTACTCCAATCCAAGGGACATTCATGCCAGTCTTACTTAGCAGCCTGCGAGTTCGGCGCCGATTCTTTTCATAGTTCATACGAATATCATAGTGTCGGATGTGAAACACAGCAGCCTAGCGCAGAAACATTGCTGCGGATGAGATGATCAGCATATCCAATCAATACTTTTTGTCGACTCGCAGGGGGTGTGTAGGACACACAAGAGTTGTTGATGTAGTATGTGTCCTTACATAAAACACTGTAGCCTGGGCCAAATCAATCACAACCAGTTGCCTTTATTGAGTTTTATCCCAGGGGCTATGGAAGGCTCTCTATCTTTAATCGGCAAATGTGTGGGTTGATCTGAGGCTCGTTCATGAGAAATGGACTATATCGCCATGGGTATGGTTTCTTCTTAAGGCCAGGGATGAAATAGGAAGCATCAACCGTGTCGTGATATAAAATAAATCATGTCTATCACCTTTCGAGACTGCCCTGGCAACAAAACCATCCGCAAGACCTCGGTGCTCATATTCCCATCAAGTCAGGTGGACTAACTGGAGAAAACGGTGGCCACGGCGCGGTACGCACTTCAAAGTTACTATGATCGACCTGTCGTCCACCTCTTGACTGCCGTTGAGCCTTCAGACTTTCGTTTCGGTTTGGTATTTTCAAGCAAGGTCCGCTCTAGGGCCTGATTGTCATCCGTCCGATCCCGTTAACCCTTTTTAGATGCGAGGATTTCCACAGCAACTTTTGTCGTCTCGTTCTCCGGGGCATCCTGTGATTCGCCCTAAAGGCTTCTTCTCTTATCGGAGCTCGGCGTCTTAGTTCGATACTCGTGGTCGTGAGCATATACATCCGAGGAGCGCATTGCGGCCTCGGGGTCGACTTCGCGATTTCGCGCAATAATAGCATCAATCCGTTGCTTGGAAAGAGCCAGCTGGATAATCCCAACGTTATCTGGAAACATTAGCACTTCTAATGACAAAATGCGTGGCATGCCTCATACCTCTTCTTCAAAGGATAGCCGTATTTATGTACAGGCTTCCGGAGCATGCGAGTCTTACACTTGCGCGGATACTTTAATTATTCTACCTTTTCCCTATCCAGAGACTCCCACTCTGCAATAACCACGTCGTATGGGAGGACAGCCGTGTGGCGCCGGCGATCAACGCTAGCAAGTAAGCAATTGGCTGGAGGCTCGCATGCGCAGCCACCGAAATTTGCAAGCACATTGCTGATGCGTATTGCAGCTACTTCCTGAGCGCTGTCACTCGGCTCTTGCTTGACCAGACCGTGCATCGACTCAAAGAGTTGGGGATCCAGATACCACATGACCGTGATCTCCGAGTTAGCCGAAATATCTTCTTTAGCAACGAAGCAGAAATGATACTCCACCTCGTTGGTGATGTAAGTCTTGATTGTGACATTAGGTTGACATGAGCGACGTATATAACGGAGAATGCTACCCTCATGTCGGCTATCAATGTAGATGGGGAGCTGGGGGTGAAAGAATACAAAAGGTTCCGGATGATGAAGCTCCTGCCAGTGATTACTGGGATCTAGACAATAGTCTCGCAGAAGACCAATCTTGCCAGTAATCTCACCAACAATGTGGTCTTTGGAGATACTCTCACGCGTCCTGAGTACCTTCCACGTTGGATGCTGCCCTTCGATATTGATGCTGGGGTCGGTGATTATTTCTGTAGATAATGAAGGCCAGAGCGACGGGTCCAGCGCAGTATCTGACCAGGTGAAAATGTCTCGAGATAATCGCCCATTGGAAACTCGAGCGAGCGCAATCGGCTCTGTCACCCAGGACGCCAGGTCCGCCGCAAGAGGGAGGCTGACAAAGAGGTTGCTATTCATGGGGGCATAATCCTGATCATGGTCATAGAGATGTAGAAATTCATTAGAGTAAAGGGGGATGGACGGCCCAAGGGATTTATTAGGACTCATCTGCTCACGAAAGTCCTCGTCAATCCTGCGTGAGGGAAAGCGATCAAAAGTATCAAGCGAGCCTTGTCGTCGAAGCATCCTAGGTTGAGGAGGACTCTCCGAATGGCGGCGCACATTTCCAACTTGAGATCCTATGGGGCGAAGGTAGTCATTATCGTACCGATTCACTCGATTGTTGCTTTCCGGCCCTGCTGTTGGACGAGTGGGAGAATCGTCACTGCCAAACCGGCCAGTCTCCCCAAGAGCCGGTGCGAAATGGACACTCGAGGATGATTGACCTTCGGAATCGACATCCTCCCAGACCTCGCTGCTGGTAGCAGACGAAGTATAGTCATATGGGCCGGACCTCGAGTCTTTTCCAGCCAAAGTTTCGCCTCGCCGCTGGTCTCGACGATGATAGGCGGCCTCCCGAGCCGACTCACTCCTTGTTTTGTGATGCTTCAATCGAGATGAAGTAGAGGTCTTCTTTTGTTCGCCTGATGCGCCCGACTCCGATTTCTTGGTATCGTTGGCCTTATCGGTCTCCTCCTTGGTTGTCTTATCGCTTTGGTTTGAGTCAGATGCGTCGTCCGCACTGCCGCTCTTATTCCGAACAGCCTCCTCGGCCTTTGCTTTGGCCTTTTGCATTCTCTCAAACTCCTCCAGTCTCTTTTCCTGCTTTGCCTTTGCTCGTCGGGTTTGGAACCATTTCTGTTTAGTCAGCGCATGTCACGTATTGCATTCTCATGAGTGATGAACTAACAGCAACTCGAGGCACGCTCAGATTTATCTGAGCGGCCAAATGACGCTTCACATTGCTGCTGGGCTTGGGGTGTGCCTGAAATTGAGCCTCGAGCGTCTCCACTTGTTCTTTGGTCAGCCTCGGAGCTAACGCAGACGCGGTAACACTTAATCCAGGCGAAGCCCAGTCGACGTCACCCGGGTCTTTCTTCCCCCCGTTCTTCTCGGACTTGGGGGATCTTCTGGCATTCACCGATCCAAATACCAGATCGTCATCCACGGACGACGACGACGACGACGAGATATTGAAGGAGGAGATACCCTTGCGCTTCTTGGTCCGCCGCTTCTTTCGATTCTCAGAACTGGCTGTGAAGGAAGATCCGAATTTCGCAGACTTAGGTGCTGGTAGCGCGATACCGATATACGATGATTGCGAGAACGATGACTGCCGTGACTTGCTCTTGCGTGGAGACCGGCTCCGACTTTGACTGCAGTTGCGTGGTTTGGCCACGGATATGGCCGATATGCCAATAGCGGCGCCAAGGGCAGCATCCCGCAGGGTATGCTTGGACCTTGAGGACCGCGAGCGCGAGCGAGACCGGGGTCGGTGCAAATTCATGGTAGAAGTGTCTCTGCGCCACAGTTAGGTTATGCCATTACGCCATTATGAAGAAGCCCTAACTCACCGGGTGTGAGGCTCATTGTAATCCGTTCCTTGCACCTGAAACGCATAAAGCGAATCCGGTGGTCGATGATCGAGTGGAGGTAAGTGTAGCTCCTTTCGCACGTTCTGCCACAGCAAGTTGCAGGTATTTTCATCCACATCAGGAAGATCCTCCAGTTCAGGTATGTATTCCGGGTCTATCGCATACACCTCATCCTCAGAATCAGGAGAATCAGGTTGTCGGCGTTCCGAGGACACGTTGCTTCCGTACGTTATATAGCGATAACGCTTCGCTACGCGCTCTTTCGCCAATTCACCAAGGCCGTGATAGAGATTTCGAACACGCCAGACGACCTTATTCGGGCGCTCTTTCGCCAATTCATCAAGGCCGTGATAGAGATTTCGAACACGCCGGACGACCTTATTCGGGCGGCCCTTTTGGGGCGTTATAGATTTAGAGAACGAGTCTTCTGGCTGGTCTTGTGAAGACCATGCATGCGATGATTGCAAGTCACTAGCCTCCCCTTCCATCAGCCACGAGAGTGATATCTGCGCAAAAGATAGGAGGTGCTCAGCAACATGGGTTATTATCTTCTCCGTAGGTACGTTGACCTGTGTGTCGATCGGACAAAAAGGGCACACGTTTATCACGCTGTCGACCGGAACTCGTAAGTAACTGGCGTCCGCAATGCCGTCCAATTCGTCCTCTGAGAATGCGTCTTCGTGGCAAGAAACCATATGTTCTTTGAATGCGGAGTCACTGTTGAAGAACAAGGTTTCGTTATGGCTTTCATCCATACATGTCCACCCGCCCTGGACGTGCTCTGTTTTCATGTGTTTGACCCAGTCCCGACCAGACTCGTACAGAGCGTTCGGAGTCCGACACGCATCTAAGATGCAGAAGAAGGGCGTGATGTCCTGCACAATGTGTTTTCTTGTAAGATCAGTATGCGGCCACCCTCGCAACAGTATGGACACCTACTTCCATCTTTCGCCGGAGAATTCTCCAGAAGAGCAGACCATATAACAGAAAGGACACTCATACTCGTCGGCATGAAGAGGGATCTTCGGGGGTAAGGGCAGGTTATCATGGCTACACTCCACTTCCTCGTGCTCCTTGCTCACGGCCGACTGTATTGAGCGTTCTCTTCTCACGCGCTGGGCCTGCGCGGTTGTCGCTGTCATCATAGATGGGACTGGTATCTGGGTAGCAATCATCTCTTTTTTTCGCAATTTGTGTGTGCTCGACGAAATGGAGCCCGTCACACTGAAGGTGGCTCCCAATGCCGATTTTGTGATTACTGGTGCGGTGATAGTGTCGCTAGGTTTTGGTTTGGCCTTTTCCCATTTAGCCCGGAGGTAGGCGAAGTGTTGTTGCCGTAGACAAATGGTATCTACGAGACGCCGTTTGAGGTCCTCGCTCGCGGGTGCGTGTTTGAGACGAAATTGAACCACTCTTTCGACTCCATTTCGAAATTCCTCTGTCAGGTTCACCCCATTTTCGTCATATTCCACGTAATATCCTATCTTGACGAATCGGCGAAGGATACCCGACCGGCGAACAGCCCGCGACAGTCGGAAAAGTTCTTCGAGTGTCGTGCTCACGGTGTCATGCTGGTCCGCCTCCTCCTGGACACTTGCAGCTTTCATGGTAGCCGAGGCTCCTATCTAGTTCATCAGTACGATGATCCGGAAGTCTGGTGAGCAAAGGTCCCTACGGATAAGACTGCTCTGCAAGTCATCCAGAAGCTCACACATGGAAGATTCAAGAACTGCAGCATTGCGTAGCCTCCAGTCCATCGATGCCCTCGTGGGAGCGAAGACGAAGTTGTTTCCAGACCACAGGTTGAAGCGGAAGATCTGGTTCTCCCAGACTTGTCTGGCCTCGTCGCTGGTAGCCGCCTGTGCGACCTTTTCCAGGTGTCGCGCACACTTGGCCGCTTTGGCAGCGATTGCCATGACCAGTTATAGTGGTCAGGTTCGTCCCTCCAGCGTGGATCCAAGTGGTATGAAGGCGAGTCAGCGTCATGGAGGCGAGTGCGGCTGAGGAAGCGCCGGCCTCGTGGGACCCGATGCGTTATTGGGCGATATAATGAGGGGTACAGTGCAGCACTGCCTTAGTAATATTATATTAATATTTGCATGTCACCGTCAGCCAACGACCTGCCCTTCTTTCGCAACCAAAACCCCCTCAACGATGCGTCTCCAATTAGCCGTCGCGGACCTTGAAGGTACGGCGTACCTAGACCTGGTGGACCTTGTCGCTGATATCGCGGTTGCCCTCAGCGAGGCTCTCAAAAAGTCGCCGCCGCTGTACCGGGGCCTCGGCCGACCCCTCGCGGTTCTCGTTCTGGAGATAGGAACTGTGGATCTCGATGACCATTCTGCAACCTCCAGAGAATTACGACAGTTGCTCGGAAGGGTCGCCAACGGGTTGAATGACGCCTTTCGGAGCGATGATGTGCAGGCAAAGTATCAGCAGCTGACGGAGAGCAAAAAGAGGACTGGTTTCCAATTTCCGCTGTTCCGATCCTGGAGTGCAAGTCCACCACCCAATAACTCACATGCAGACAAGTGGAAGACGTTCCCGTATCCGGCCCTCGGAATGCTGAATGAACTTCTAGGGAGCCAGCTTCGCGGTGAAATCCGGCTCCTAGAACTCTTGAGCGACGACCGGCAGGCGATCGACCAGTTGAGGAAGCACATCAAAGACTGGAATAAGCTGGTGGACCTGGCGTACGATGGCGCAGTCGATGAATATGGAGCGGACGGGGAAGAGAGCAACCAACTCATATCGTTTGTCAACGAAGCGGTCTTTCGTGGTCAGAATAGTGTCCGATGCCTTTCCTGCAGCCTACACGAAGTCCTACACTATAATTGGCCTTGCTATGTCGAAGGTCATGAGCACGAGGGGCTATTAGGCCACTGCTTCAGTGCAAAGCTTCGATTGGACCCAGCCTGGAGCTCCCAGAGCTTTGACCCCGGAAAAGACAGCTTTTTCGTCCTCCTAAGAGGATCGGAAATTATCCAAGAATGTCGAGTGTGTCTGAACTCCTCCAGGTAAGAGGAGTGTCCTTGCCTCGCCCTTCCCTGTGCCGCACAGCAGCTGATTGGAGCAGTATGACGAGTGAAAAGAGCTCGCTTGTATGCCAAGTGGACTACGAAGAAACGCGCCTCATTTGCTTACGCCTTGCCAAGGATGGCCACAACAGACTCTGGCCGCAGCCGCTGGGGGAGCCGCCAGAGATACTGCAGCCGGACGAGGCATACACGGAGCAGAGCCTGGGACAGTTATTGGATATCGTCAAGCCTACGTATGCCGCGAAAAGAGTGTTGGGTGTGATCCTGGCGCGGTCCTTCCTTCATCTTCTTGGTGGTCCGTGGATACTACGCTCCTTCTGCATTGATGATATCTCCGTGTTCTGTCGCCTTGACAGAGACCGACCATACCCCCTCTTCGACAAGGTCTTCCTGTCGACCAATTTCGGTCAGCCCTCGGACTCCGCATCCAGGCCGCGCAACGTGTTCAGCGTTCATCCATTTCCGACTATTCTTGCGCTCGGAATCATCCTGACCGAGATCGAGTTAGGGGACGATCTGACCGAGCAATACCGTAATCCAGAACTTGCCAAGTTGCGCAAGAATCGCCCGCTGGAGCTAGCAAGATATCTGTTGCGAGAATGCGAGCGACGGTTCCATGAATCTGGCTTGTTCCGAGCCGTGAAATTCTGCATCGAGCGGGAGTCGTTCCTTCCTTTTGCAAACACCAGTATCGAATCCCTCTTTGCTACTGAAGCTTTTGTCAATGCATTCTACATGGGCGCGGTCCGGCCGCTGGAACAAGACTTGGTGACTGGAGCCAAGTGGACATGGGACGAAGTGAAGTGGCTGAAGCGCGCGAAATTTGATGACGAGGGAGTTTGCAAGATCGTCGCAAAGCTGCAACGCGAAGAATCGCGGGCGGTTACGAGTCACCAGCTGCAAGAGCGAAGGTCGAATCCGACGAGTCTGGCCAAGCTTTCCGAAGATTTAGAGTCACTCTCTTCTATCCAGAAGCCGTGGCAAGACCGACAGTTGGGCGCTCTCTATGCTTCTCGGACCCCGGTCAGTCGGGATAAGTTTGAGGTCGCTATCATATGTGCCTTACCTCTCGAAGCCAACGCTGTACTCTCTCTGTTTGATCAATTCTTTGATGACGACCCATCACTCACCTACAGAGACCCAACGGACCCTAACTCGTACTCGCTTGGGGTCATGGGTGGCAAAAATGTCGTCCTGGCCCACCAGCCGCTCATGGGAAAGGCGACGGCAGCCAGTGTTGCTACCTTTTGCGCCTGCAGCTTCCGGAGTGTAAAGCTGGCGCTTTTAGTGGGAGTCTGCGGAGGGGTTCCGGTCAAGAAGAACAAGGAGGAAACCCTCCTCGGTGACGTGATCATCAGCAAGGGCGTCATGCAGTATGACTTTGGTCGCCAGTTTTCGGATGGGTTTCGACGAAAGATTGATGTGGAACATTCTCTGGGTCGGCCAAACCGACGGATAGCATCTTTGCTCGCGAGACTAGAAACTCAAGTCCATCGAAGAAGGCTTCAAGAACAGATTACCCAGCATCTATCCGAGATCGATGACCCTGTCTTGTATCCGGGTGAAATGGAGGACAAACTGTTCCCTCCCAATTATCGCCATCAGCATCATCGCGCGGAAGTCTGCAGCACTTGCGCAGACTGTACCGATCTCGCGGATCCCGTCTGCCAGCGGGCCCTCGAGGCGACCTGCGCTGAGCTCGAATGCGACACCACACAACTGGTCCAGCGCACGCGACGGAACCAGAGGTACTCCCCTACTGTTCATATCGGGTTGATTGCGTCCGGGGACAGCGTCATCAAATCTGGAGTTCATCGCGAGGCAATCAGCCAGGAAGCGGGGATCATCGGGTTTGAAATGGAGGGAGCCGGAGTATGGAATACGATTCCCTGTGTGATCATCAAGGGTGTCTGCGATTACGCAGACAGCCATAAGAATAAGCTATGGCAAGAATATGCTGCTGCTACGGCAGCCGCTTGCGCGAAGGCTTTTGTACGTCAGTGGTAGATTTGGTGGCATTGTATATAACGTTATAACGTTAGAGGCATCTTCGATGCTTCCGGGAATTATTACGTCCTGCATCTAGCTATTATCAGGTCAACAGATCAGTAGAAAAATCTATGACTAGTGTCTCATGAGGCCAGGCTAATTTTTCACTAGGGACGGCAAAGGCCGAGATGGCAATCTATTCTTTCTGAAGCAAGGTACGCCACTTCAAAATTACTATGATCGACCTGCCGTCCATTCTGACTGCCGTCATCTCTCGACAGAAGTTCTAAAGTAGCGGCCAGTTATACTAGTCAGCAGTCAAATTATGGTTGCGGTCTTATCATTATCTCGGATGCCTACACAGAGTCCTAGCAGGACATCCATCACAGGTTGCCAGGTCCCCAGGTGGCTGCCAATGGTATTCTATGTAGGGTTGGTATTTTCGCGGGTTGGGCTGGGTTAGGCCATGGGTTTCGGGCCCTAAAATCTAGGGCTTAAAACCCAGCCCGTAACCCATTGGTTCTAGGGCAGTGAACCCATTGGGCCATGTGCACGTCCACATGGACGCTTCCGGTACATATATGGCCAAGCTGGATTAGATCAACTTCAAAAGAAGAACAGCTTTGGGTGTCGCAGTATCCTAAAAGCTCCATGAGTTCCACATTACCAAATGAGTTCAAGCAACAAAGCAAGGATCAAACCTGTGCTACTAGAAATCATGCACCAGTCAAGGACCCGGGTGCCTAGCTTTCAAAGAATGCTACATTTCAATGTCATCTCAAGTCAGGTATGAAATGTTACATGGGACTGATCTGGGGAAATCAGCGGTGTAGGTAATGATTTTACATAGTCATGGGAAGCCATCAAAACCCCTCCATAAACAAAATAAATAGGTAGGTATATCCTTTACTCCTATCCAAGTGTCGTGCTATTCTTCATCTCCCACACTCGGTCTCCTTATCCGTCTGTCTCAACAACAAAAAATATCCAGTTTACAGTACAACAAAGCATCAAACAAGATGAAGACCTCGTTCCTCGCTGTTGGCCTCTTTTCTCTCTTAGCAGCCTGTGCCCCCAGTCTTCGAGGTACCCTGCGAACCCACTCCAAACGCCTTGTCCTATTATGGAAGTCTCAGTTAATGGACATTAGGTATCTCAGGGCAAAGCCTGTGTTGATGATATGGTGCACCCGATTGACTGGGACAAGCGTGGCATGAAGGAGCACAGCACGGAGGGCAAAGCCTCTGTTGACAACAATGGTGCACCCACTTGACTGGGACAAGCGCAACGCATAGCAGGTTAACAAAGGCAATATTCCTATGAATACAGGCCCTTTGATCTGTATCTGAGAATCATGGCCTGGCACACATACATGGCCTGGCTATGTGTGCATGTGTCTGTCCAACCTGGGTTATGAGACAGACACCATGCTGCCCACTTGCTGAGACACTTTTCGGGAAGATTGATGATATTTGCCCATGTTGGTGGGATTCAGCTTTTGGTTTAGTTTGGATGTTGAAATTACTGACCACAAGTCACTTATTCTTGGTGAATTGCGTTTCATTCTCGCATGAGAGAAAAAAGAATCTACTAGTTCCGGCTTCTACACAGTCTGTGTTCGAACTCTGAAGAAGAAATTGCCACTTGTCACAGAAAGAGCTATGTATGGTCGAGGTCGTGGCTGTGAAGAGTAGGCCCTGTCCGAAGTTAATCCATCCTATTTGCCTGTGTCGGATTGCCAGGTTAACTTATAGGTGAGAAGCTGATAGAGAATAGGTTATTTCACCGCGAGGACTGCTGCTCGCCTTTGCCATATGGATTATGGTAGGCACTAGGCACATCCTTTTCAAGCTCAAGTACGATGACTTATCATGTCTTCTCATAAGACTATCTGGTGTTGGACTAGTGTCCATGAAGAACAACTTAATCTCGCTGACCATAGGTTAAACTGATCTTTCTCGCATATCAGCTTGTCCACCTTGGAAGTGCCTTAAAAGCCTAATGTAAGGATGCCGCTCTGTAAGCTGCCTGTGAAACGACTGCCGCCTCTATGGCCAATCATCGTAGTTTGGCGCGTAGACTAGGCGCCCTTGGGATTTAGTGGCCGCGAGCCAATTGTTATTAATCGACCTCCCCGTTCTCTCCCCAGGACCAGGAAGAAGCGGTTCCATAACGGTTTACCATGTCAGCAATCCTTCAGCGTCCCAATGCGTTTCTGGTGTCATTGAAACTTTCTGTTGGCAATTTCATTTCCCCTTCACGTGGTATCATTAGAAGAACTATGGCTTCAGCCCAACCACTTCGGCCGCGCCAATTTCCTGCATCTGGATTCGTCAAACTGGACCCCTCAGAGAAAGTAGAAGAGGAAGAACTTCCCTTTTATGTAGCAGAACGATACTACCCTGTCTATATTGGTGAAGTCTTTGCGGGAAGGTATCAGGTCGTCTCCAAGCTCGGGTATGGCACGACTTCCACAGCCTGGCTATGCCGGAATCTTCAGTGAGTACCCAGCAAAGTTATGAGAGCGTCGCATATATCTGATTAGTTGCAGAGACCACAGTTTTTACACATTAAAGATATGTGTTCAGGGTCAACAGCCTAGTAATGAGATCAGGGTTTCCGAGCATCTATCAAAATGCAGTGAACATTTTGGGAAAAATCTTGTTCGTCTAGTCCTTGATTCCTTTGAGGTTGTCGGTCCCCATGGGAAGCACACTTGTTTGATTTATCAGCCCCTTGGAATGAGTTTCACTGAATTTCGTGACTTGCTACCCGAGAAGAAGTTCCCAAAGGATCTTGTTCAGAGGAGCATTCAACTCACCTTGATTGCACTGGCTTTTATGCATGAAAACAATGTTATTCACACAGGTAAGTGCATGATCAAAACATTAGAGAAGCAATGCTCACTATTCTTAGACATCTCGTCAAATAATATACTCTTTGGAATCGAGGATCCTTCCATTTTCTCGCAGATTGAAGAAGATGAGATGACGAGACCAATTGCTAGAAAAGTTCTGGATGATCGTCATATTTACTTCTCCCGACCGTTGCCCGTTAGTACAGGCTTGCCTGTCATTTCCGACCTTGGAGAGGCTCGAGTTGGCAGCGGAAAACAGAGGGGAGACATCATGCCTGGAATCTATCGGGCCCCAGAAGTGATCTTAGATATGGGTTGGGACTCCAAAGTTGATATCTGGTCTATCGGCACCATGGTGAGTGTTCTGTCTAACTATTTGATGTCTCTTCCCTCCCTATGCTTAATTTGCCCGCTGATAGACCGTCCTAGGTCTGGGATTTAGTCGAAAGCAGTCATCTTTTCTTCGCAAAGAAAGATCATGTCCTCGATGATGAACAGCACCTAGCAGAAATGGTGTCCCTAATGGGGCCTCCCCCTCAGGACTTTCTGAAGAGAAGTGGGAAATGTCAGCAGTTTTGGGACATGCAAGGTACGTATTTTTCCTCCTGACATTCGCTGCTCTGACCACTTTTTACAGGTAATTGGAAAGGCTCTGTGCCCATCCCAGAGCAAACGCTAGCGATGAGAGAGCGGCAATACTCTGGAGAAGATACCGCTCTCTTTCTGACTTTCTTGCAAAAGATACTCCGCTGGTTGCCGGATGAGCGGCCAACAGCGGAGGAGCTTGCATATGATGACTTTTTAATGCAGCCGCTGCTCGATCCAGGGTCTAAAGGTCACATGTGATCACCTTGGACACATTCATTTGGGTTGGAGGGAAAAAGGCCCTTTACCGTAGTTGTAGGGTTGCTGTAGTGTTAGTCCATATTAGTTCTGATGCGCTGGGTTACGGGAAGCTTTTCTGATCTACCTACCTCTCTCGTTTTTATGTTTCGCTTTTTGGGTAGGGAAGGGCGGCGGGATAGTGGTTGAGACTTGATGTGACTTGATGTTCTCAAGCATCTCCGCACCCAGCTATAAATAGCGAATCTGGAATGGAACTCTCAGCTCTTCATGGGTATTGCAACTAATGTTATACATTGTCTTATGTAGTCAGCCACAAAACTGCAGACAAGTCTCGGTAGATAACATAAGCTCTAGAGTTGTCGGTAGAAACTAGAATCTTGTATGCCCATGGTGCAAATGCAGTGTGACTGGGATCTGAACATAAGAATATTCCGATAGCCCTAAACACGACGTGTTCGGCGCCAGTTACTATCCTCCAGTCGCATAGGCCTACATGATATGTGTTAGCACTATACCTGTCCATCCTGTTGTTATGATGGCCATGGAGAGTTTTCTGTGGTTCTTTTGATGACAGTTGGCCGCCCGCAAGCAGTACTCCTTCACCTGCACAACCATGGGTAGTATAACAGGTACCATTAAGTAGATAAATGACTAGAAATATGGTTACATGAATCTCATCTGGCAAGCGATTTCATAGGATTGTCCACATAATTTATGACAAATACTGTAGTTGTAAATTATATATGCAGATATTGTATATGTTGGTGCTCCGATGAGCGACAATCTGTAACCTGACCCTTGTCTCTTCTCTAAGTTGTTGCAGATAAACCAAGTCCGCGATGATGATAAAATTGAAACCCCAATAGCTCCATCAAAGGAGACAGTTGACATATCCGAAACCCCTACATCCGACCTCAATTCGCAGCCTCTCTCCGAGAATGAGAAAGCCCCTTCCCTTAACGACGAAAAGGAAAAGCTCCTGCAGCAGCTCAGGAAACAATTGCACATCATGAGTTGGATCCGAATTTCCCTGTCGATTCTGTCGACTGAGTCGCTCCCACATCGCATAGGGAGGCCGCAATTACGGACGTGTCTGCCTCCACCAGCCATGCTGTGGCCAGTGAATTTGGCGCAAATCGCACTGAACAGAGCGCTCCGCAACAGTGGATCAACTGAGAGTGCGAATGGGTGTCAGATATCGCGATATCGTTGCTTTCTGTACTGCTCCCTCGGTATTTTTTGTTTACTTCTGGTTCCCCAACTACATATTCGAGGCCCTGTCCTTCTTCACCTGGTCCACCTGGATATCGCCAATGAACGTGACCCTGGCGATTATCTGCGGGAGTATCGGTGGGGTGGGACTAAATCACTGGCCAACGTTTGACTGGAATATTCTTACTTTGGGATCCCGTGATGACTCCGTGGTTCTCACTGGCGAATAGGGGCGCTTGATACCTTCGCTGCGGGATTCTTGATCATTGTTCCAATCTATTTCACAAACGTCTGGGGCAGTGCACACCTGCCCATCAGTTCCAACAGAGTGTTTGACGGCACCGGCGACGTCTACAACGTCAGCCGCGTACTTGACTCAGAATTCACCCTCAACACCAGGGAATATGATGCCTACGGACCACCGTACATGAGTGCGGCTCTCTCAATCGTATATTCCGCCCACTCGCCCTCTGCCCTGCAGTTCTTGTCTATGTGGCACTGCATCACCGCTTCGATATCATGAACGGAATACGCACGGCATTTAAGCGGAAGGTACCGAGTGCTTTATACGATGATATCTACAACCGCTTGATGAGAGCCTACAAGGAGGTCCTAGAGTGGTGGTATTTGGCGATCCTGGCTCTCTGGTTCGCAATGGGCTGCATAGCCTGTCAGGTATATAACACTGGACTGCCAATGTAGGGCCTCATCATTGCACTGGGAGTTTCTCTGGTCCTATAGCTCCCCCTTGGGATCCTCAAGGCCGTCACAAACACCGAGCTCAGCAACAACATGATTGCGAAGTTTATTGCAGGCTACGTAATTTCTAAACAACCGATCGCGAACATGATCTTCAAGGCATATAGCTCGGTCACTTGTTCGCAGTCGGTACAGTTCGCGGCAGACCTTAAATTAGGACATTATATGAGATGCCTCCCCGCACCGTGTTGACAGCCCAAATCGGGGCAACGATTATCGCTTCGTGTGTGACTATTGGCATTAATGCATGGCAAATGGCAAATATCCCCGACGTTTGTACGAAAGATCAGCCGTCGAGGTTTACATGTCCAAGTACGTCTTTGGTCATACCTGTCAACGTCGCTTAACCTCGTATATCTAATAATATAACTATACAAAGGCACACACACTTTGTTCAGCGCATCTATAATACGGGGACTGATCGGACCCAAACAGATGTTCAACAATGCAAGCTTGTACCAGCCACTCGGATACAGATTCCTCATCGGTGCTCTGTTCCCCATCCCCTTCTATTTCCTCGGAAAGCGCTACTCCAGATCCTGGATACGCTACATTAACATGCCCGTAATTATAAGCGGAGGAGTCATGTGGGCTCCCTATAATTTCAGCTGTCTGGCCTGCAGTTGTGGTTGGGTTCATCGTCAACCACTACATCAAGGCGAGATACTCGGCGTGGTGGAAACATATGCCTACGTGGTGACCTCTTCCTTCGGTTTTGGAATAGCGGTGGCAGGTATTGTGATCTTCTTCGCCTTGCAGATGATATCCGTGAAGCTGGATTGGTGGGGGAACACCGTGTCTTACAGTGGTTGTGATGCGTCTGAATGTACCTTGTCAGATGCACAGAATGGTTGAGATGGTATGAAGTGACTGCCTGCCAACCACAATAGAAATCATTAGTCCCCACTTCTATTGTGTTGTGACTCTGGATGTCAAGATAGAGATATCCGTAAAACAATGCATTGATTTTAGGTTCGGTGTCGTATGACTTCGGCGTGGCGACGTGGCCGCAACAAGAGCAGGCGATTTTGAATGTACCACTTGGCAGAATATATGACGAGGATGAGTCCAATATGTTAATAGGATCATGGATAATTGATTCGCTCGATACGCAATGAAGACGTAGCTGACTCCATATGAAGGGATATTTTTGGTTTCTTGGGTAGTTATTGATTATTTCATAGAAGTCTCATGAGCATGTTTAGAAAAGACTGCATGTCCTATAACTCAATCTATAATTGTAAAAGCTATTCATAGTGTACTACGACTCAGAGTGCTAATTTAATATTGAATACAATGCAGTCATGTCCATGAGACCATTGCAGCTTTGGTCCATATAGCGCCACTGCCGATCGGACGACACTAGAGGCTTGGCAACAGGCGGTCTATAACTAAGTTTGAGCTTATTTGAACCAAGAACTGTTTCTATTTTTGCGTCCAAAGACCATCTGTTTTTGTCTCGAACCAGACAACAAAAGCAGGCAGTTCATCTACTTACTTTCCAGCACCAAGTTTCAGCTTCCTGCCAAGCCTATTGCTTCCCTTGGCAACACTTCCGCTTGTCCTCTCTCCGCCTTGGTGGCCTCAACAGCAATGGACGAGGCGTGCAGCAATGGACGAGGCGTGATCGGAAGCCTAGAATGGTCTTCAGGAGTCATGTTATGCCCGGGCTCCACGTTCTAGGCATGCTTGGCTGGCCACAGTACTGTGGCGAAGCCCGTCGTCATAGAGCTTTACTATTCATCCTAGAGGAGGCACATTGAATATTTAAAGAACCCCACGTCGACCCTAGTAGCAACCTACCTCTGACCATCAGGACCATCAGCATCAAAGCAAGTAGCTATAATAATACGTTATCAACTCAAACATGAAGTCACCACTCTACATCCTCACTGTTCTACTTCCCCTTGCGCTGGCCATACCAGCTGCAGAACCTGACGTTGGCGCTGAATCCGTCGAGGAGAGAGACAACCGCAACGGCCACGGCCACGGCCACGACCACGACCACGACCGTGGCCGCAACGATCGATGCAGCAAGAACTCACAGATCCCTTACTACAGATACCCTTGCGACTCAAGCGATAGGCTCGGATCGTATGGGAGTAATCGGCATGTTGACTACATTTGCAAATACAAGTAAGAGATCTCTCTTCGCTTCATGCGGATATTCCCACTAAACAATCGCAGTGGCTGGTATAGGACTGGAAACAGTTGGTGGGTGAGGGGAAGCGACAAGCCCAGTAACTGCGGTATGTCTTTCTACCGAAAGGAATCTCTCGTTTCGACATTGACAATGCAATAGACAGCGGCAATCGGAATTGTTTCTGAAGTGGGAGACTACTATTTCTAGGGTGCAAAGCCTGAAAGAGCGCTCCCCTAACGCAGGAGCTGACCCTTGTCTAATTTCCCTGAGATTTGCAAATGGTTGTCAAAAGTTATCTTTGTAATTTCTTGGACGGGATTGATGAACGCTACGTGGGGCTTAATGCTGGACAAGCCACTTAGGAGTGGGGCGCTTATTTACCAATTTGTTTCGGCTTCCAATGCTTTTTTTAGTTGATATTTATATAATTTAATATCCGTTCCCTGATTCAAATATATTTCACGTTACTCGACATGTTCAAAACATCATAGACTGAATTCCAGCAAGCTCATAGCTTCAGCCGTGGACTGTTAGTGGATGGCGTCTGGGTCAAACAATGTCATTTCAACTGTCCCTGAATTCTAGATAAGGATTATAGAATAAAGCACCCATTCCCTTGATGAAGTACAAGTGAACTACTCTCTTTGCTGCTGTTGAATGTCCTGATAGGACTAGCGCATGATGATAGTTCTTTGTCCCTTGAATCTTATATGAAGCAGACACCTTTCCTCTAGGCTATCTGTGAGTATATGCAATAAATAAATTGTATCAGTCACTATTCTCATCCCATTCCCTCTCTGTACTGGAATGTCCACCTGCGATCCGCTAGGCATGTTCGTTGGCGAAGAAACTATTTCCCTAGATTACGTTGATTGGGACATGTCCGTAAGGTCATCCAGGCCCTGTTTAAAGGCTATTGGGATTCCCTCAGCTTCTTGGGACTCCTGACTCCATTAAGATGTCAATAAATCAGCTGGCATAAGCGAGAGCCAGCATGGATATTATAGACATGTTCCCTATTACTAGGTACACGCTTAAACCAAGCAGCGTATATTACCATTGCTTTGCCCTTAGCTAATTTGGATGTAACTGACGAGCGCCAGAGTATACATAACGCAACAACTAATGGATGAACTAGCGGTGACGTACACGGTACACCAAAGCATGGTTAGATAACATAGGGGAGTAGGATACTACTATGTAATACATAACTCTTACTTCTATCGTTCGTTCATGGATTGTCATTGGCGGTGAGAGGCTACAGTATATAGAGGTGTAAATGTAATGCCTTATGAGAAGAAGCTGAAGAGAAATCAAGGGATTATAGCGATGAGGTCATGTAAGCCGCAAGCGTCTAGTTGATGTAATCGAGATGGCTTTCACCGCACCAGTATATTTTCAGAATGGTCGCTGAAAGCCACAAACCCAATCTTGCTCTCTAGGCCAATTATGGCGTCTAGCGCATCCGCATGGTTTGTCCCATGACAGGGAAGTGAACAGCGTACGTATGGAATCTGGGGAAGCCAATGAGGCCCCGAACCGGACAAAGCGGGAACTTCCCGCCAATAGTATGATGGCCCGTCGATTCGCCAAAACCCTAGTTCAGCTACTTTAGGCTTATCTTCAACCGGCGGTCACTGAACACAACCAGAGTAGGCACTTATGTCCACACAAAGCTGCCCATTTTGAGGGCCAGAGTAAGTGGTCTTGATATGTAGCTTACACGATTTTTCACCAGACTTGCGATGTAGAAAGACGGCCACCAATTTTGAGATGACTGCCCACGTGTCCTTATAACCTAGGAAATAGGAATAGTGTGAAAATAAAGTTCGGAAAATGCAAATACATTCTTAAATCATTCTAAACCATATATCTATTCCACGCTATGTAGTCTAGCTACTATAGATTCATGTTTAAGGGACTAAGTCATGATGTAATACTCGAATCGTAAGACTTATTGTCTCTCAACCTATAGATCGTCCTATTAATCCTCTGGGATGTCTCTTCAAATCATTTATAGGCTTATCGCTGTTTACACTATCAAATCCTTCCAGGCACTCCCGACACACTTATGGCCGAGGGCAGCGATTTCCTGTAACCAAGTCACCATGGCTTCGAACCCGAACAGCAACCTCGTATCTCTTAAGAGAGGCCTGATTATTTGGATCTTCACATTTGTTCGTGTGGTAAATTGCGCAACTTCGACGTCCTTCCAGTCTGTCAGTGAAAGCTCCCATCAGATTGCGCAAGAGTATGCTAACCATCATCCGACATGGCAAGCGGCCGGATATCCTCGCCCCAGTTTTCAATATCAGCATAAAAAACGATAGTCTTCTTACCCCGGGCTATCTATTTCTCACTCCCTATGGCGTAGATCAGCCGGGGCCCTATATCTTTGACAATTCTGGTGTTTGTGCATTACCCTGCTATAGTTTCGTGACAGCTCTGACGTGGTCTAGAACCTTGTATGGAGCGGGGCTAATAGCTCCGCCACTGATATTTTCCATGACCTCCATGTTTGCCCTTATAACGGATCAGACCACCTCTGCTATTATCAAGGAGTGCAAACCGAGGGATATGCAAGGGGTTACCATACGATCTTAGACGACACTTACAAAAAAACAACCACTGTGCAAAGCGGGAATGGGACGCTTCCAAGCGATTTACACGAAATGAGAGTCATTGATGGCAAGACAGCACTCATAACAATATACCAGACAGGATCTTACAACCTCTCAGCGTATGGCATAGGTCCTGGAAATGGTTGGGTTATAAACGGCGTCTTCCAGGAGGTTGATATAAAGACAGGCAAGGTCCTATTTGAGTGGAAATCGCTTGACCACGTTCCCCTTTCGGCTACCCACGCCCCTCTGCGGTTAGATGGAGTGGTTGGTGATGGCTTGACTAATGGTAGCGCTTGGGACTATTTTCACATTAATTCGGTAGATAAGAATAATGACGGCGACTACCTTGTATCTGCAAGACATACCAGCTGCATATACAAAGTTTCCGGCCAGAACGGGTCCATTATCTGGCAACTGGGCGGGAATCAATCATCTTTCCAACTGAGAGGTTACAATTTCTCCTATCAACATGATGCCCGGTTTCGAGAGGAGAATGAGACCACGACAATTCTCTCTTTCTTTGATAATGCAAGCAACAATCATACAAACACGTCATCCACTTCATCAGGGAAGATTATCGCTATCGACCACAATACGAACACCTCGACATTACTTAGACAATACCAACCCCCGGGCGACGGCCTGCTTTCTATTTTCCAGGGAAACACGCAAATAATGCCGAACAAGAACGTTGTGATCGGATGGGGCTTCTATCCTTCGATATCTGAGCATACCGAGGACGGCACTGCAATATTCTTTGCTACATTGGAATCCCCAGATGCACAGAATTACCGTGCATTTAAGGCCAATTGGACTGCAAAGCCAAGCGACCCTCCTGCACTTCGGACATACAGTGCATCCACAAACTCCCCAACCACCTTCTGGGTAAGCTGGAATGGAGCAACAGGTGTTGACCGCTGGAGAATGCACGCCACTTCCCCTGAGTCTGGTGAATTCATGCCTTTGGATGTAATACATAACCAAGGCTTTCAGACTACATATGCCAGTTCTAGTTACCACCCTCGGGCTTTTGCGGAGGCTATTGCAGCCGATGGGTCGAGTATGGCAAACTCGACAGTTGTGGATACATCTTCAACATTACCTAGGTGAGGTCGGGTGTGTAGTACACAACTGGGAGGGAACTTATGTGAACTATCAGAAATCAATGGTGGTCGACTGAGGCTTAGGCTTATTACCCGAACCCCGTATTAATATCCTACAGGCATCTCATTGTATACGAGCAAATACTTCTTATTTAGCGTAATTATTCCGCAATTGTAATCACGGAAACTCCGCGCTCAACTATGTCGTACATGGGATGATGTTGCTACTGGAAAACTTACCTATGCAGATTCTCCCAACTGCTGGCAGGGTTGCATCTATGCATGAGTTGGTAAGCCCGACTATTGTAGTGCATTGGACCAAGAGCGCAGGGTTGATTAGCGCTCTTTTCTAAAAGGTAGGTAGATGTGAACGTCCTAAAGGTCCGACTCAAAATTAAAAACACTTGCAATGACCGATCTCCACGCCCATCCTATAATGCCGTCCCCGCTTCATAGTGATGTCAACCTTTAGCCTGTCCTCAAAGACCAAAACAACATCCGACCCCCCGAACTGAAAATACGCCAGCTCTTCACCTTTATGCAATCTTGCGCCAACTTCAGCAGTAAGAATGACAGATGATACCATAGCCATACCGACAGGTAACACGGCAACCAGACCAGCGCCTGTATCCAGCACAATCAGGCCTCTAGCTTGGCAGAACTGGTAGCCTGTCTGGTTGCGGACACTAAGCACTGCGCCAGCTGTGTCACTACCTATGTTCGTTTGTGTAGCTCCCTTTGGCATAGCATTCGGTCCTGGAAGGCTGGTGGCATAAACCTGCATATAGTTCCGACCGACAATCGTTCGGGCCTCCAAGACTGTTCCACCGACGGGTGCATGTACTCGATGATAGTCGTTCACGTCAAGGAAGCCATGCAGCCACGTCCCATTAGCAAAATGCTTCTTGTATAGCGAATCATCAAGTAGTTGAGCGATCCGCCACTTGAGTCCTTTCGTGGTCACGGTAGAATCCGCCGAGACTGGATAAAGTTCTTCAAACACGAAGTCGGCGGGACATGTTAAAACTGAGTTGTCTCCAATGGCAGCAATGGGGCGTCGGCCAGGCTTGACATTGCGGCAGAAGAATTCGTTAAATGTCCTCCATCCTCCTCGAGGTTCCATGTAGTCTTCAATATTGTACGCCGGGCTTGCTCTGAATGTATCCAGTGACGCGGCAGAAGCAGGCGAATCCATAAATGCGCCGATTCCCTGGCTGAATCGCACCATCCAGTCTGAGAGCCAGGTGAGTTTGCCATGTTGGGTTTTTTCCGGTTCAAATGATGGCCGAGTTGCGCCCTGATAAGCGGCGACAGAGGGCTGGTTGAGAACGAACCACACTTTACATATCCGAGAGAGGATGTCCTTCGGTTGTGCAGCTTCACTTGGTATCCAATGTAGCTGGTCGTTGATGAATCGAAAGTAATCTTCTAGGCATTGAATCTCCTGCATCTCCGTTGTGTTGTGTGAACGTGCTGTGGTGATTGCCTCTTCAAAGTCGGCCCTCCGTTTCGAATCTGACATAATCCATTTTCTCAAATCCTTGACAAGGTGTGAATGGTTATCCTCAACATAGGAGACTGGTCCTGTGCCTAGAAAGGGGGATGTAACTTTTGCAAATAGCTCCATGAACATGATTCTTCGAAGTGGTAGTTCAATCGAAGGCCTGAATTGCTACTCCTGGGGTAATTTTACGCTCGTATATATCGTCGGGTCTGATTCAGTGTCAGTGTAGTAAATGGCTGGCTGAATCTTACCTTATGCTGACTCTTAAGCTACGGTCGTTCCGAGCGCTGCAGTCCAATATTAATTTAGACATGCCCGCTTCAAGAATGAGCTAGACTGCGCCAAGTCTAGTTAGCTGCATATGGCCAGCTTCGGAGTGTGTTCTCCAAAGGCGACAATAGTAATATTCCAGAGGCTTAACTGTAACTGTCAGCTCTGGCAGTCGATATTCCCACACTATACCACGCTCATTCAACTATATTCACTAGGGTCACTGAAATCATTGGAAAAAGAAATACTGACATGAGCTACAACCTGCTCAACATGCCACTCATAAATACATTCCAAGGTGGTTTCGTCTCTCCAGGGACAAACTTGCCATGGGGGGGTCTCCACATTGGCCAGAACCGCAGAGGCTGCATTTTCTCCTCCATATCCTTCCATTCATCATCCGGTCTTTCAACATATGGCTCTACCGCGTGCTTACGAAAGGGAATAAAGCCGTGTCTCATGTAAATTGGAACTCCCATAGCCACCACAGATTCAAGCCACGCTTCTAATCCAAGTTCATCTGCCCGGCGGCATGCATCAGCGAGTAACATGTCGGCAACTCCTTGTTGTCGGTATTCTGGGAGGACGAAGCCAATAAATAGGTCTATCGACTTGTTAATTCGGGGACTTTCCAGATTTTCTCTCGGCGAACAACTTACAAACATGCGGTCTTTGCATGAATTCCTCATGCGGACCCGTAAATATGCGCAGGCACTCATCGATATACTTCCGCTGGCTACCGGCAGGATACCAGAAGGCAGACTGATGCCCATCATTATCCTTTTGAGGAGTAGGGTTCTTCTTATGGACCTTCATCAACAAGCCGCCGACGATTTTGTTGTTATTCTGTGCGTCTATGGCCTTGATCCACACTATGTCTGGATCATCGCGAGACCACTGGCGTTGCAGCTCGACCAGACTTCGAAAGGCTGTTTGCTTTTCTGCCGGAGATTCATGGCCAAAAATAGGGTAGAAAAATCTGAAGATTGACTGCTGGGGATGCTCGAAGCTCGCTACCTCGCAGGCAACTAATTCCTCGAATTCGTCCGTCTCATGATGGACTTCAGATAACTGGAAGCGCATCTTCTTTGTCGATATCTGCATTATCTTGTCTGCTGTCAACAGCAGAATCAAAGAATGTATAGCCTGTTGCTAGATAAACTTTGTGAATCATAATACACGTTTCTCAAATATCACCACTCCTTTACATTTAGCTATATGGCAAATCCAATATTATCGGCGTAACACGTGGCCCAGATTAATAGGTGGACAGGTTAACAAGAAGTAAGCACACCAGGTAGCCCTCATTCTCAGTAAGCGCTCTTACTATAGAGGTGGTCTCAGCTCAGCCAGCGTTATCCATATCTCACCACGACTGGTCTGAGTCAGATTGCATCAACTCTCCCACTCATAGTAGAGCTTATTGGCCTAAGTAGGAGTTTGATCCACCCGTAAATGGCTATAATACTACACAAGACTAGAATACTATTTCTGATGTGAAACAGGTGCAGTCCACACGACTGGTCATTGGCAGGGTAGGTGGATGTGTCAGCATTTAGGGCAATAAAGCCCAACAAGCCTGCAAAAAACATAGCAGATGACAGAACTGTCAGCTTCTGATCTCTTTGTTTGTCCCTGTGTTTTCTCTTCGGTCGCCATATATCCTCTATTGGTAGAACTTCATGGATCCTACTTAAGCTTACTATAATACTAATTGTATTTCATAGAATGGCCAGCCTGTGAAAGCAATCATGAGCTGTTAGGCCAACTGCCATTGAAAGATGCAGAACAATCAGCAATTATTAGGACATATAGATAATGAACACATTAGCTGGCAAGCACCATACTGCGATAGATGGGATATTATCTCAGAGGGCAAGATACAAGAAAGAAGTTCTCAAAGAAAAAAACGTAGTTCTAACTAAGGAGAACTCCAGCCAGGAAAGCATTGCCAAACATGGTTCAAAGTAATGGAATATCCACTCTTGTAGTATCTGCTGAACTTAACAGTCGTTCAGCTAGGCATTGACATTTTGTTATTGGTGCTACTAATATAGACTGTCACTGACATTGAGTGTTCCCATATCAACCGTAAGATGCAAGGGTACTATGACTCCTCTGCTTACGCATACATCTTCCATATAGTAGAGTAGGAACTGTTGTGGAGCGTCTTTGGGCATAAAATTCTCTATGCAAAATCATGCAAATTGGAGTTATCAGGAAGGAAAAAGCTAGGTGACCTGGCAGCAGAAGGAACCTGTCATGGTCACCTCTAGTAATGGTCGGCTCAGTGTACTTCACATTTCAAGCTTTACATTATATATACTGGTAGTATATGCGACTAAGGAGCACAGAGAACCATTTGACCCCAGGCGGTGGATCCTAGGCAAAACGCTGAAGTGCACAAATACCATCCACCCAGTAAAATTAGCCTGGACACAGCCCCCGAAAGTATGTCCTCTCGAGAAGGTTTTGGAACGGATTGGACCGTTTGATTGATCTCCTTCTCTCCACCGCTTCAACAAGTCATTGCTCTCAAAAGCCTTAGTCGAATCATCCGCTGTCTTGATTGTGACGTGCGGGTTTGCGTTCGCACAGGGGAGCGATCCATCTTTGCCATTGACCTTAACTGAAAGCGCCATAATCCTCTGGTCCCAGACCAGGTGGTCTCGGAGGACTTCCCCAGCACCTAAGCTAGGTGTGAGGTCTCCGCTGCGTTCCCGGTGGAGCGCCTCTATGTAATCGGCTTTGTACTTTTCCTAGATTGCAGGGTTTGTGGTGCGGTCATTGACATGGACAAGAGTGACGTGGAATTCGGACTGGATTCGGCTTTTTGCTTTAGGTATTGGTGGAATTGGGCTTCGTCTGGTTCTGCATGGGCAAATGCCTCATCGACAACCGAGGCAAACCCCATGGGGGAGGTAAGCCGTAAGGAGAAATAGACCATCTCATCAGCTAGCTTCTCTGGGTATTCATTTGGTAGGGATATGATGAGAGGCCGTTTCCTTGGTGTGCGTTGGCGAATCCCCTGTTGCTGGTAAACCTGCGAACCTTATGGGCGGTATATGATTTACTGCTGTTTACAGGATGAGGATTTGAGTCCATGGTAAAGATATCTTATTTATCAGAGGTTAGGTACCTTTTGCATTAGATGATGTAATCTCTCAACTGATCATCAGAAAGCGCTGCTTCTATTGGTGGGTTGATTAGAGAAACACCAGCACCCCTTGCAAGCGCGCATGAAATTAAAGCAGCACTTATGTTAGTTTTGCAGTCAGCAGTTCATTACTCCCCCCAGGCTAAACAGCCATGGTGTTTCTTTCTTGCAAGTCATTATTTTGCGTTATCAAACATTTAAGTTTACCGTTGCGACTTCGAAGCTACTCTCAACTCAGACCCTTGGGTGTTCCCCAGAGCCAAGAACCGTCCTGTTCTGAAGTGTCTCAGCTACGCATCTTCCCAAGCTTAGGCTTCACCATTTTAGATCCTTCGGTCAGGTTCGAAGAGGAGAATCTCCCTGATTACTTGAAGGAGCGTTACTACCCAGTTCGAATTGGCGAACTTTTCAATACCCGATATCAAGTCATAACCAAACTTGGTTTCGGCTCGTCATCAACAGTTTGGTTATGTCGGGACTTGCAGTAAGTAGACATAAGAACTTTTCACTTTGCGAACTATAAGCTGATGTGCAGAAAGTAATGAACGCTATCTAGTCCTAAAGGTTCATGTGCGAACCCGGAAACAGCCCCCCGAGGTGCAAATCTCGAAACACCTGAGGGCCATTAAAGAATTCCACGGTGGCGAGAAGTATGTCCGCCTTGTCCTGGACTCCTTTGAAGTCCCGGGGCCATACGGTGTGCGTCCCTGTCTTCTCTATGAACCTGCTGGGATCGATATCCGTGACTATATACACTGCCTTGAAGGCGACGCTTTGCCAGAGGATCTCCTTCGACCAACCCTCCGATTTATTCTTATCGCCTTGGATTACCTCCATCAAGCCAATGTTATCCATACGGGTAAGGAGTAGGTCGACTATTGGCGCTTGTAATACTGCTGACAGAGAGTAGATGTTCAGCCGAACAATATCCTTTTGGGCATAGACGACGAGTCAATCCTTGCTGAAATGGAAGAGGATGAGCTATCGAATCCCGCTCCTCGAAAATGTCTCGAGGATCGCACAATATATGCCACCCGCGCGATGCCTCTCACCGGCGGCGAGCCTATTCTCGCGGACCTGGGGGAGGCGCGATTGGCCGAAGGGAACCAAAAGCAGACTCGCCTCATTATGCCGAGTGTATATCGGGCTCCGGAAGTAATGCTTGGCATGAACTGGGACAGTAAGGTAGATATATGGGACGTGGGCCAAACGGTATGAATACCTACCTGGTGATTTGAAATCTATTAACTTTTCCTCCTAGGCATGGACATTGTTCGAGCAAGGTCATCTTTTCAAGAATCAGCCCCTTGAAAATGATACAGACCATGCTCAGCGCTTTGCGGAGATGATTTCGCTTCTGGGACCACCGCCTCTTGAGTTTCTTAGACGAAGTGAAGAAAGTCTCAAGTTCTGGGATGAGAATGGTAAGTGCACTTTACGCTCATAGCACTTAGATCACAGCTCATCTGTTGCAGGAAACTGGAGGAACTCTGTCAACATCCCGGAGCAATCTCTTGAGAGTCGTGAATCTCGACTACAGGGCGATGATAAGATACTTTTCCTTCGGTTTTTACGGAAGGTATTGCGGTGGCTACCTGAGGAGAGACCAACTGCGAAGGAGCTACTATTGGACGAGTGGTTGAGAGGAAGTGACTATTAAATCATGACTGATGGGATCAGTAGGTAATGGCCACTGCTACACCTAGGCTTTGTAGAACCGGAAAGAACTTTCGATCCCTTGCATTTGTCGTTGAAGTTTCCCCAATCAGTACGACAAACAGGTTAATCGCAGTCCTTAATCCGCATGAGTCACATGTTTTTCTCGTTCCCATATTCATCAGGCCTATCATGAGGTTTAAAATCTAGGACTATACCTGAAGGACGATGGAGGCCGTAAGATTATTTCCGTCTTACTTCCTTTGGAGTTGAGCTTGCCGTCGAGAGACAAGCATAAAAATAACTTTCTAGAAGTTGGCCACACAGAACTAGCAAGCACAGAATGTATCTCCTGAAAATAGTTCATACGCGATACTCGTCGCTTACACCGGCGCTTTCAGCCACGCTCTTAACCTCATCGTAATCTGGGAATAGAGCGCCATGAGCATTTTATGGATATTCAAGGCGCTGAGCTTGGACTCGTGAGCTGGCTCGCGCATTGCAGCTTTGAATCCCTCACGACGGCACAGGCTCTGCAGCTGTTCGGAAACAGTCGACCCATACACTGCGTCGATCACGTCCAACGGGCCTACCCTCGACGGCTCATTTTCCCTCCACATATCCGAGCCCGGGTCCTCGAGGTAGAGATCCGAGCGGCGCGCCCCAGCTACGAAGATCTTCTCCAGGGGGAAGAGGCCGAGCATGATGGTCTCACCTGCGCCGTCGGTTGGATTCTTGGTATACCGTTTCAGGAACGTTCTTGCGCGATCGAAAATACGCCATTCGGTGCTATTATCGACCATGATGATCAGATTCTTCTTGTGGTGGCTCCGAGGACCGCTATTGGGTAATTGTTGGGGTCCATGCGCGAGAGCCGGTTTCACGGCTTTGAAGACATACATCAGTCGGCCAAGCTCGCTGATGGTAGAGGGCTGGTGCCGTGAGTCCAGATTGGCGAGGAAGTTCTTCCATTGTTCTGCGTCAGAATGTCCTTGTTGCAGGCCATCCAGGAGCTCGTTGAGGGACGGCATCATGCCGGCAGGGAGTCTCTTCATAATCGATTCTACTGCCGCTTCGGTTCCAGATGTCAGACATATCTTGACATTGCTCACTTGGCGCTCTCTTAGAGAGCTGTTGATCATCGAAGACATGATGTTGAAGAGACGACATCGTCGCACATTCATTGCGTCGATCCAGCTATTAACGAATGTGACGTCGACTAAGTTTCGCTGCAAGAGCTCACAGGCGGTCCAGAAATACTGGAAGTCAGGGATGTCCAGATTGATGTTGATTGGGGTACAATGGTTGCGACAGGCGCCTCCGATAAGTGCGGCGGTATCTGCAATCGCCAAGGAGAGTCTGGTGATGATTTCAAGCTCGTAGAGGGTCAGATCCTCATTCCTTTCCGGAACCCGTGGGATTGTGACCTTCTCGCTGTCACTTCCGAGTGGATCATTGCCGGGGTCCAAGGACAGTGCAGTTTTAGAAAACAAGCAGATACCGGTGTTGATGTGTATACTGTCGAATGGTTCATTCAACAGAGACGGCTTAATGGACGGAATATGTGCTCGGAAGTACTGCGTTGACGTGGTGCCGTTCCTCCATTGGAGCTGAAGTCGAGTAAAGATCTCCCTGGTGTCTGGGATATTTTGCTGGCCTGACAGCGGAAACTCGAGAGAAAAAGCACCACCTCCAGTGATGACTTCCGGGAGGTTCTCTGGCTGGCTCTGCTCGGAAGCCATCTTTGGCTTGTCGTTGGGTCTATAGAGAAGCCGACAGACACTTTCCAAAGATTTAAGGCTTTTATTCAGGTGTTTTGGAAGACGATCATCCTCGCCATCTGGCTTGCGCGAACAACTCATAAACTTGTAACTCTCGAGGCCACGAAAGTTTTGTGTAGCCAATGCATTGTCATGTAAGTGGTGGTGGGCCACATCTGGGAGACCTCTGTGGCTGTTCGGATGTATTACAGACAGCATGCTTGGCAGGGATTCAAGTAGCTAATTAGTAAATCTTGAGCATACTGGGAATACTGATAATAAAATTTGTTTCAATTGTCCAGAGTGAATAATTTATAGTATATGCTTGAACAGACTCTTCTAAACATATCCGTTAACGTCCATTATGGCACCTTGGTGTCAACTGATTGGCAATTCTAATGTTGCAACAGTCGAGAGTCATTTGTCCCTGTAATAGATTCATTCTCCTGTCATGTACTTACTATACCAACTGGAATGATTGGCTGAACCACTGGATGAGCATCTCTGATGTAACCCTGCCCTTGCCCTTCCAGAATTATCCATCTTGTCTGCTCCTCATGAGGCTACTTAACCTTTATTAGTGACAGCGCAATAATTAATAGATAATTGTCTATCCTATGACAAGAACAAATGGTTATTAACCTGTTAATCAGCTAAAAGTAGTGCTGGGCTGTTTCCAACACAGTATGGTGCAAGATGTATACTCAGCCACAGTCACCATTTCCGGCATTTCCCCAACCCAAATCTCCATACATTTAGTCAGACGTCCAGCTATTAACAAATATCTGAAATATAACTGAGAATCGTCCTTTTCTCAGTTTTATAGTTTGTAATTATGATACTACCAAAAGTTCATAGCGGAAAATGTGCAGTCAATGTATCGTCGTCATCGATCCCAGTGTACAAGAGTAAAAGCTTAATATTGGATAGTTACATGAACCCACTCTCAGAGCTAGAATGTACTAAACTTAGTAGTGAATCCTCTATTCCCATGATCATTTGCATTAGAGTGGAAAAGGGTCACGCGACCACTGGATTAAACACTTGTGCAAGCATAGCCCTATTCTGACTGCATAGCATGTAGCAATCCAGAAATTATCCACTAATTCTCAGCCAAACGGCGGGGTGTCATTAAATAAGTGGATTGGTTCCATGCGCAATACAGATTATAGTTGGATTCCTGACTTCTTTGCTGCATTTATGTAAGAGTAAAACATGGGTATCCGAGTAGAATGAGTTGAAGGAAAGGACCAGTGTTGAAGCAAGGATGCTGGAGCAACTTATGCAGGACATTGAGCAACGGCGCAGTGAGAAGGATTCCTCGCATTGAATTGAGAGTACTGTGGCAGGATAACAGTAAACTAGGAGAATAAATACCATCATGTACTTGCCTTGATAACCTACCTTACATATCATATATATGTCATTACGTATACTACTACCCCCATAGCTGCCTTGGAGTCAATCCCCAGTAATTGGTCGCCTCCTGCCAGACTGCCTCCCCACCTTCCATCTGTCTTACCAATTCCACAGTCTCCTCATCCACATTCAAAGTCGCCGCCAAATAATGCAACGCCGTGTTCCCATCGACGTCTTTGGCGCCGACATCGATCCCGCCCCATTCCAGCAAGACCCGGATCGTGGCCTTTTGGGCCTGTTGCTGGGCTACTGTCATGGGCTGTGGATGCTTCGCACCTGTTTCGCCAGGCGTCAAAAACTGCATGTGGATCGGACTGGGAAGTCGATATGGAGACCAATAAGAGTCAAGTGTTCGGGCGCAGTGGATGCTTCTGGCGATCTCGGGATTGCCCGCAACAGTTTGGCAGTTTGTCAGAGGCAACGAAGCCACATGGAGCAGCGTGTGTCCAAGTGCTGTGACCCCGGCTGCGGCAAATCCACCAGGAATGAATCCCGCCAGCCACGAGAGGAGGTCGGGATCATGACGGGCTGTGGCAAAGTGGAGCGGATGGACGTTGAAGATGGGTGTGCGCAGATTGGCATCCAGCTGTGGATGGGAGAGTAGGTCAACCAGGCACCTCTGGACGCCGGTACTGCTGAGATCGCACTGGGCGATGGCGTAGGAAAGTGGTGGAAGAGCAACAGTGGGGGCTGCACGAGGACGATAGTTGGGGGAATACCTACAGGTGGACAGCAGATGACGGAGCATGGCCTGCTGACCAGCAGCAATGGCTTCGTGGACAGGAGAGGATGTCGCCAGAGAGGAGATTGGAGTGTTCTCACCTTCAATCTTAAATTGGTCCGCATCATCATTACTTGTGGTTGATGGCTGTATCCAAGCAGACTCGTCCGCTCCTGCTGCCCGCAGGAGATCTAGGATCTCTATATTGCCAGACTTTGCCGCGACTTCCAGCGCTGTCAAAGCGCTGTCCATCCGCCGTTGCTCGATTGTAACTCTCTTGTCCATTGTCGGCAGCAAGCGTCGTCCGGGAATGTTGGGCTCCGTCCAGAAACGGGGAAAGCCATGGCGACGCTCGTCCAACTCTGCCTCAGTTAATGGGCAGACCTGGTGATCAATGCCTCCCTCACTTCGTGCAGTGGCTAGAACATGATCACGACGTCTAAACCCTGGACCGAGCCTCCTCTCGTTACGGTTGAAGTGGAAGTCACGGCCACGAATAAAGTTGACTGAAAAGTCTGCCATATCGGCAGCTCTAATGCCGTTCGGATCCGCGCCCGCGGCCAGCAGAAGACGGACATTCTCTGGTAAATTGGCGCCGATGGCAGCATTTATGGGAGATTGGATTCTCCCATGCAGGTTCACGGTTGTATTGGGTGATAGCAGCTTTATCATGTTCTGCTCGACCTTCGACAGACTTTTATTCTGGTAGGAGTCTGCATAACGAGCCAGCAGCGCTTCGAGTATAGCTGGGTTGGATTTGGCAGCGGCCCGGATGACAGGAGTGTCATCTTGGTGAAAGGTGTCGAGGTCTTCTTCCGTGAGTTGGTACATGATGCAACGAGAATGAAGAATATGAAGGAGGAAAACAGTCCTTTGCGAGAAATGATGTCGTGGCTTTATATAGTGCCAAGAAACACTAAGCTACTTCTGTAATTACTGCATTGGACCCCACGATGACATCCTCGACCCTTTCTCCATCTCACTTGACACTCTCACTTGACAGTCCTCTGGCCGATCATCCAGGTACAGTAGGTGCCCCTACTTGCTGAATGAGCTCACTGGCTTTCAATTGCTGAGGCCGCTGGCTGCGAGCACCATACAATGAGACGGCATTCTTCCGATATGCATTAGTTTGGCAGGGTAAAAGTGCTCCTATAAGAAGAGGATGGCCATGAGACCGTTCAACACCTCTTCCAAAATCATACTTGTCTGTGATTTCTTCAAGCGCAATTAGCGGCCAACTTGCTTTTGCCTCTATTCTAGTTAGGCAGTGCAATGTCTGCCTGTTGTAGGCGCACTCTCCCTCAGCCTTGTGGTTGGTCACGTGGGGGTGCTAATTCGACCAGGTGATATATTGGCTTGTTCAGTCGTTGAGCTTCCCAGTTGCATACAGCAGACGGAAGGCCGCAAAACGGCGAAAGAACATATCTCTACCAGGACGATTTTCTTAAGCAATGGCGTCTCGCGGAAAGAAAGGTCTCCGACCTGAGGATCAGCAGCGCCTGATGGATGAATATGGGATCTCCTTTGATGGGCCCTTACTCCCTCGTGACTGGCCTATTCAGCACAGAGAGAACTTTGCCAAGGTCCGTCAGATCAAACAAGTGACCTACGATGATTATGGGAGAGACGGCAGATCAGATCACCGATTGACGGTCTTGTCCACCGTTATGCACATCAAGCAAGAGGCCGCCAAGCTCCGTAGCGAGGCATATCGGTGTCGTAGGCAAAGGGTTAATGAAGAAACGTGGAGGTGGTCGACCGAGAATTTTATTACCTCCAGGTTTAAGGCCGAGGTTGTATGGTGAGCGAACCCAGGAACAGTCCGTTACTTCCCTGTTCCTCGTACGAGGCGTGGCTAAGGAGGGGCGATCCAGTCGGAAATGCCGCAGGCGGTTCTGGGACGCGGATTTCCAGGCTGTGCAGACCGAGTGGGCTGCAGCAGCTGAAGAATTACGAGAAAGACGCGCGAAAAGGTTACCATGCACTTGCAGCAACGAGGAGCGGATGTTAGTTGATATGTACGTAACTGGCCGTGATCCTATTGGTATTATAGGGGAAGGGATAATGATGTCGATACTAACCAGCCAGCAGTCATGAAGCAGGCTCTAACCTTTTGTTTTCAGATCGGTCGGGAACACCGTTCCTATATCATAGTGAGGATCGCCGACTCCTTGAACAGGGCGTTTCCCAGAGACATCCGGATCGCATCATCGGCCTGGAGCATACCGCCAGCCTGAAACAACTGTTACCCAGCTCCCAGTCGCTGAGACACAGCCCCTTTGTGGATGGCCATGTGTCATATCCCTTCGTTCTAATTGAAGCAAAATCGGAGAAAGGCAGCCCCGGGTTTGAGTCGGTCGAACGACAGAGCGCATTCCCTCTGAGAACGTTGCTGAAGCTCCAGCAAGACTTACAACAAGTGAACCATATCCCCATCAGTCCGTTGGTATGGTTCATGGCGAACCAAGGGGATGAATGGCGAGTGTATGCGTGCATTGTTGATGGGACTAGATATGTTCGTGCTTACGATTCATGGACTAATTGTTGCTTAAACTAATCGGATGGGGCTGCAGAGAATTATCGACTTATGGCACGGATGCATGCTTTCACTTGATGATGCCCTGCAGATGTTGCTTATTGTCGATCACATATGTGATTGGGCGCGAGATATTTTTCGACCAAATATCCTCCGCTGTCTCAGTGGCCGCGATGACGTTTGGCGGGATGAGACGCCTCTGTCTATGTACCCTGACTGCCCGCCTAGCGCTGACCCGAGGTCAGATACTGCGACGCTAACATCTCTTCGGTCTATCACCAGACGGACTCATAGTTTGTCTCTAGACCCAGCCCCAAGAGACTGGCAAGTTAATGGCTCTGCCGGTCTTCTATCGAGAGACTTCGAGGACCGTTCCGATATCGTATTCAATGAGGAACCTCATCCGTATTTACGATACTCACAAAGCAGTACTCATTTGCCTCCTTGGAGACAGCATGCCACCATTCGTCACTCAGATATGGTTCATTTCTCTTTCCACATACTATCTATCCCGGAAGATTTGCCCCAGATTCGAAAGACGCTAGAATCGCTGGGTGAGCCGAGCTCGAGCTTACACGACACTTGTTCCTTGCTACTACAGTTGATGGGAGATGTCGAAAGCGTCACAGTCACCATGAATGCCATCTACCAACTGGAGGCGATGTGGACAGACCGGCCACACTGCCTAAATGCTCTTGCCGATCATCCCGTCCGTGCTCGGGTTCTATTCAATACCTATCTCCGCGAGGACTGGCAAGTGGTTAGAGAAATCCATTGCATCGTCGCATCTCGATTAGCCCTCCGCACACTGGCGCTTGTGACCACCGGCAGGAACCCCGTCACGCCACACCTCGGCAGTATTCCGGACCTTATCGTTGAGACAGATGGGGTGCGTGCCCTCCGTCGCTTCTCGGGTAGCGAGTCACTGGCCGCCGCTCTTTCCGCGGCGTATCTGCGTCTCGTTACGGATGTATCTGAAGCCACGGAGACCAATTCGCGTTGGGTCCTGCGCGGTGTGACTGAAGAGAACTCGCTGTTCGATTTTGAAAAGAAAATCGCGTACAAGCAAGCAGGCAACCCAACCTCGGTGAAAGATGAGGCCATTGCATGCGGTTCCAGCGTACCCATTGAACTTAAGTGTCTGTATGGCTCGACCCAAAGGCTGGACCGTACAGGTGCCATTCTGATCAAAAGGCCTCTTTTTTGGACCACAGAGTCGCCAGATTTCTGCCTCATGGTGCTGGATGGCACATCATTTACGGATCCAATCGAACTTGGCCGCAAGTTATCACGCGCCTGCGAAGACGAGAATATATACATTACAGGCCCGGAAAAGCGAAAGCGCGAACACCCGTTATCAGAGCATGATCAGTTTGGTATTTTACGCTGGATAGAGATACTCTCAGGCCGACTACCAGATGATGCACCATGGTTCACTGACTAAGAAGGCATTACAGCCCGCTATCCTCCGTCGCAAATCTAACACACATAAGTCGAATCATTGAGAATAAACAAATTCTATATAGCAATCTTCATAGTGGCTCTGCAACCACGACCGCTTTCGTAAGTCGTTCACGTTCTTCCCGATCAGAAGGATGGCGTTGCACAAACGTATTACCGTGCACTCGCATACAATCCGACCTCCAAAAATACAGCGAGGGCAGTAAGCAGAGCTTAACCTCTAGATCACGCATTGTAGAGGCAAATGTCGTCAACTTGCTGCCCTCCGCCGTCTCTGGCTCCATCTGCTCTTCCAGGAAGGGCGTCCCAGGGGGGTAAAGCACCGCCTCGAATTGGTACGTGCTCAGCATGAACTTGTACTTAATTTCGAGAGCAAGTTGAAATATCTTGATCATTCTATCCCGGGTACTCATCCAGATGCGCTCACTAACACCCCAGGTGTAGAAACGATGAACTGAAGGAACTCCGTACGATCCTGCAGAATGCACCACTACGCTGTCGTCGTTGCGGAAAATCCGAGAAAGGAGCTTCGACAGCCAACAGGCGAGTGACTCGGCTTGTCGAGGGAGTATGTTGTCTTGGAACAGCTTTCCATCGAAGAGTGATTGGTGTGCAGCAAAATCCAGGTTCCGAAGGGCAACCTCTCCATCTGGCGCCTGTTAGCACTATTGTAGAAAGGGGAGACAGAGCGGGTCATGAAGTAAGCAATAATAGAGGGGAAGACATCAGGGAAAAATTAAAGATAGTTCACCTCTTGTTCTTAGATGGCCCCTGTACTCATCTAGTAGCACCGAGTCTGTCAGGCTCATACCGGGAAGTTCAGCCTGAAAGACCCATCCGCAGAGAGCGGCCGCAGTCAAAGCACGTACAACTGACTGCAAACTTAATCTGGACAGCTGAATTTGCACTTTCTCTGAAACCCGCTCCTGGGGGTTCAGCCCCAGTATTGTTCGAATAAGTGCGGTCAGGTCCACGTCGTTGTCGAGGTTCGGGGCCTCAAAGTGGTCAATGTTGTCATGGTCCAAGAGTAGCTGCTTCATGTAGTAATCGATATTGACCATTGTCTCGTTGATCCACGTTAGGTTCCAGGGTCGTATCTCTCCCGTTGCCGAGAGCTGGGTGAACCTTCTCAAATCCTGGGCTGTGTACAATCTCCTCTGCAAGTACGCGATCTTGTCCCCCAGAATCGCCATCTCAGAGACTAGTGACTTACCATCGGCTCGCGCCCTCTCTGCCTGTTCAAGGCTGTGTATACGGGCTTGAGCCACTTCGTCGCGCTCGACCGCTTCGCGCAAACGCATATGCAAGAAGGCTATAAAAGATCGCGTGTCATTTTGCAGCTCACCCAGTACTCGCACCTGCTCCTGTAGTGCTGCAAGCTCTGACTTGAGAGATTCCAATACCTCTGTGGTCCGATGATCTGTTGCTGTTGTTTGATCACTGCCATTCCTTGTGCTAGGTACGCGGGCCATGAGCATATCCATGCTGTCTATTGTATCCGTATCGTCTGGGTCAGTTTCTTTATTGCTTCTGGCCTCGCCATCTTCTGGTTCTTCCACGCTCGAAGCTCTGACTGAAACCTTTTTCGCAGTTCAACAGAATTAGCTCTTAATCTCCGTCGTACTTCCGGATCAATACCTGTCTAGAAAGACGTCTTTTCTTCCTCCTCCGGCTCCGGGGCCGCTTGGCTTTGCGAACTCGTTTTGGCGAAATTACAACGGAAGGGACTTGTAGCTGTGACCGTTGCACTGTCGCAGACGTTATTTGTCGGTTATGCCCCTGACGATGCGATGGAGTTGCACTGTTTCGAGATACACTCCTCAGACGTCGGGGAAAATTCAGGTCCCTTTCCCTGAGCGCAATCACTCTGGCCAATATAGAATCCTTTTGCGCCGTCGTTAGGTGGGTCAGAGTCTCGGATCCGTGCTCGTGCAATACGGCGACCTTTTTGGCACTGTCATCTCCTTTGTTCAACCACAGCCAATGCAACTTCCTCCGACACTGCTCATAGGTGTAGCTGACATTGCACACTCTACGAAGGTGCTCGGAAACTGATTGCTTGAAGGCTGCGAAACCATCCGAACTCTTCTCCAGATTGTAGTCGAGCCACGCCAAAAGCTCGTTCTCCTCGTCGGGTTTCCAGTTCGCAGGCTCCGCACAAGAGACCCGTTTAGACCGCCCCATACCAGGTTAATTAGTCACTCGGACGAGTAGATAATATGTGTACAAACAAAGAAAAAGGAAACTGGCTGCAGTGAGATATTAAAAAAAGGGATGGAAGTGCAGGGCTGAGCAGCAACTATATGCAACCTCACTGCGCCGCAATTTCCCTTCCGCCCAATGGGCCTAGTCTTCATTGCTGGGCCCACCATGAATAGCCAAATTTAGCATTACTGGGACCTCCAATCAAAACAGAGATGTTCGCGCCAGTCCATGTCGCAAGAGGAGTTCAAACGACGGACTCCTGGCTAGGCTAGGCGACATTGTTCGGCTGCGCTTCGATCTGAGAGCCTTCTTCTTCGTACTTTTGACTTCTGACTCCCTGCTAGGAGACGCTCGATGGGCTATTGAAGAGCAGGGAGCGAGGTTTTCCTTTCCTGTTTCAGTTCACTCAGTTGTGTTTCTTGCGAGATTCTGAACGAGTCTAGTAACTTCCGCTCACTCAGCTCTACAGAGGCATTTCCAGTACAGAGCCAGAGGTATGCTTTCCTGCGCCAAATAATTTCTACCTCCCCTCGTCCTTGAACCTAGCACTGATCCGGAAGACGAATTTCCAGACTTCCTCTTGCAAAACATGCGTCCCACGTTCGTCAGAGCGTTCTCGAACGATTGTTTAGACGACATCATTGAGTCCGAAATCAATCAATCGTCCACCGGTCCTGAATTGCCAGCGACAAACGGTATAGACGACGGGGTTGAGGGACAGCAGCCCAGGCAGTTCATAGTTGCGGTGGACTTTGGAACAACGTTCTCCGCGGTGGCGTACACAGTCCTTAGACCGGACGAGGACAGAACTTTTGTAGATATCCACCAGATTTCATGCATTTCCGGATACGGCGATGTCGGTGAGAGTGTGCGAGGGTTGACGATGGAAGTGCCCACTGAAACGTGCTATCCTCTGAACGCCCGGCCCACTCAAGCGAGTTCTGGTGAGATGATGGACCTTGACGCCCCGATCGATACGGAGCAAATCTTTCGTTGGGGGTTCTCTGTCCATGAACATTTCAAGTTACCGGATGCAGATCGCAGCAGTTTTCAGCGAATCACCCGGTCCAAGTTGCTGTTGGACAAGACTGATTACACTAGGGAGCTCCGCGAACAACTCCAGGTGACGGCAAAGAAACTGGAGGCGTTAGGGATTATCACAGACAGCATGGACTTAATTGTTGATTTCTTAACGCACTTGCTTGCGCATACCAAAGCTCAACTCATATCGCATGGTTTCAACGACAACGACTCAGTCGAGTGGGTGCTCTGTGTTCCAGTAGTCTGGCGAAGACGGGCAGTGAGGAAAATGCAAGATGCATTAACTGAGGCCAGCCATCGAGCGCTCTTGGGTCGAACCATATCAAACAGTGTGGAAAATCTCTACATCGTCTCCGAACCAGAGGCTGCTGCTGCCCATGTTTTGGCGTCCACTCGCGAGGTTAAGGTAGCATCAACCCATTATAATTGCCGATATGAACGCAGACTGTCTAACGCACAATGCACGAGAGCAATAGGCCGGAGATACTTTCATGATTCTTGATGCCGGGGGCGGGACTGTCGACGCCGTGATATATAAGTTGAGAAACACTGAACCTCTACAGCTGGAAAAGGAGGCTGTGAAACCAGAAGGTGCGTTGTAAGTCTTAGACTGACAAACTAGGCCACTGAAGATTTATACAACACCGTAGGTGCTCTATGTGGCTCTAGTTATTTGAATGAACGATTCGAAGAGATTTTGAAAGACCGACTAAAGGATGAAACCTACCTCGCTCCTTCCACTCCTGGAGCACGCAAAACGATAACCATCGAGGGGATCATTGCATCCCAAGTTTGGGAATTTGAAACCCGAGTCAAAAGGAATTGCGACATCATGGATAGCAATTTCACAGGCCACCCGTTTTTTATACCAGGGCTTAAGGCAAATCATGAAAAGAACTTCACAGACAACCGACTGAGACTGGATCAGTAAGTAAATCTTGGGCCAAGGCCCGCTCAGATTATAAACTATGCTGCTGGATTTCTAACGGCGCTGTACTTCCAGAAAGGATTTCAAAGATATTTTCCGCCCTTGTTTGGAGGGAGTCTCCAAGCTCATGCTTAAACAGCTCGAGTCAGCCCGTAGAAGTGGGATCATCGTCAAGGTACGCCTGTGCATGCTCCGAAATCGTCTTGTAGTCAATATTGCAGCTACTCACACCTGGACTAGAAAGTCTTACTCATTGGGGGTTTTGCTGCGTCACCCTCTCTGCATCGCTATCTCAAGGCAATCTTGCGCCAGCGGTCAGTTGAGATAGTCGGCTCACCTGTGGGTCTCATTCGCCCTAACGTCCGGTGAGTTCGTCTTGGATGCTTTACAGTAAATAAAAGACTAATTGGCCCGAATGCGGCAGGGACACTGTGGTTGCTTCTGGTGCAGTTCTCCGGGCTCTCAATCGAGAACTAGGACCGGTTAGGATTATCCAATCGAGCTACGGTTACCTGCGCACCGAGCCCTGGGACCCTGATGCTATTGAGGCTCATCGCTCAAGCAAGCCTAAGCAGGCTGATCCAAATGACGGAGACTTATACGTGAAGAATACCATATGTTGGGTTTTGAAGAAGGTATGTCGACGGAGACCCGGCCATAACTAGTGTATCGTTGGCTGACACAGATTTACGCCTATAGGGAGATGAAGTTCCACCGTTTAAAGAATACAAGTTTCGAACCTTGTTCACATTCCCAGCGAACACGAAGCAGAGGTTTAAGTGCAACCAACATCTATATGTTTCGGACAAACGCCACGAGAGCCATTACAAACGAGGCCACAGGAACAATAAAGGTAAGAAGCGGCCTTCACACCTTCCTTACCTATATCTTCCTTTTTCTTTGTTCGATAATGATGGAAATGTCTCGTTGCTGATCTTTGAGCTTCTTTACTAGGGGCTAAAGTGGCGGGCAAGATTGAGCTTGATATGACTTTCTTGCGTACCGAGGGTCACATCCAGCCAGTCAAGCCGGATAATGAGTTTGGCAGACGCCATTACCGCGTTGAATATGACCTTGTCATGATCGTCGACGGTTACAATATAAGATATGAGGCGCGCTGGGATAATGGTCAAGGAGAACATGTTCTCGCAGAGAAGCAAATCAATATTGCCGCAGCGTTTGCCAGTCTTGAATCGGAGGATGAGTCGGAAGAAGATGAAGAGGAGTATCTTACTGACTGACGTATACCGGTTGGACACAGAAGCAAGTCAATAGCCATCTTAGATTGTTCACTACCTACTGTTGCGCAATGTACCTACTAAATCGCACCACACATGTTCCGGATGTTTGCTCTATCCCACCAGACACCACCTAGCGATTTTGACTTGTCGGTGGACCGGTGGACGAGATATCCTCAAGGACACTGACATGCAACTGCTCAGTACGCACTACAATCGCGTTCAAGTAATTGGGTCGAGAAGGAATCAAGACCCGGAGGCTCGAGCCCGTGATAGGTAAATATCAAACACCCTACCAGGGTGTTTGAAAGGAAAATGTATCAGGTACGTAGTATGTTTATTTCCAACCTTTCCTCAGGTCAACTTGTTGTACCGTGTTGATCGCCCAAGCCCTCCACTCAGGTCTAGAATGCATAAAACGAGCCAGTTTATCCCTATGGAAGTAGATAGCCAGGTGCACTATGCACTCCAGCTCTCATTCCCCAAGATACACTAAACAATCCAAGAAACTCTGTAAGACAAAGAAAGTTCAGCTAAAACTACGAGATTGCATCACTCTTTCTCCTTCTGAACGACAATGTCAGGGCCAGGGAATATGAGGTTTTCATGGCCATCTTCAAATTGAACCAATATATAGTCTCTAATGAATTAGCCAAAGTCCAAAAAAGTCATTAAGACTCACCCAAAAAACTAATAACATACCCTGTAAGGAGGGGGGCCGCTCTCCCCTAGAACCTCTACAGTCTCACAGACTCGGCCTTGTTGGCCGACACCTATTGACAGAGTGAAAAGGTACACATGGCAACGAAGGGTTGATTTGTTATGAATAATACCTTGGCCGTTCACGACTAACCTGTCGCCTATTTCTGCATTCATTTTCAAATTATAGAATCCGAAGGGCAAATAATATTATGAGGATTAGCTTCAGTTTCTGGAGAGACTCTTATCCTAACTATGAATAAGTCTGGCAATAGCCTGCTATGTATACCACTCATTCCATTAGGATCTAATGTATCATTGTGATGTGCAGTCTAATAGACATTACATCAAAAGGACTGGATGTAACCATTCATGCCTCGTAGTAGTCCTATGTTGTAGCACGCATAGAGTACGCGTCAGATACTATTAACGAGCGTTGCGATCCGCAATACCTTTTCAGTAGACCTGCTTGAGCACTTCAGACTAGGGTAGTGGACTAGACAGCTAAGGAACCATTAGAACAGGTAGGGATGAAAGAGGAATAGGCCTATCTGCTTCTAACTAGATTAGCACATAATTAACTGACCTTGAGAGGTTTCTAGCTATTGCTGAACTTTTGTAGTTACACAATCATCCCATTTGTTTTCAATTTGGGTTGGTCTAGCCACTTCGTCTAATTGTCTAGAAAACATCTCATACTGCCCAGTAGGCCCGTTGGGACCGAACTGGTCACTCCTATCCTCCCAGTTGAAGTAAGACCGGACTCCGATATCTCTTAGCTTCAGTATTTAGCTAGCCCGTCTGCTGCCAAATGGTGCCAGTCACCAGACGATAACACCCCAACACCCGCCCACCCAAGGAATACTCGCAGCTCAGCAGCAGGTATCCACCAGTTCCGCATACCTCGTAAACTCCTTATCCATCAAGAACATCTCCAACTCCTCCGGGTGCGTGCCCAGGACAAGCTCCACCCCTCCATCCTTCCTCATCGGGAAAATAACCAAGAACCGAAACCGCCCGTTGCCACGCTCCAGCTGCGGCCGCATCGTCTCGGGCACACCCCCGTTGCCGAAGAAGGCGTCTCCGAAGCAGATCTCGCTGGTGGGGAAGAGCATCATATTGGAGATCATGGCGTGCATGTGCTCGAGGCCCATGTTGGCGGTTGAGAACCGGCTGTGGTCTGGAAGGGACTGCAGGATTGTGAACGCGTCGTGCACGAGCGACGGGGTGATGCGCGCGGCGGACTGGCGGAGCAGGAGCGCGACTTTGCCGATAGTGGTCTCCGCGGAGCAGAGTGTCTCGATGGGCATGCTGGATCGGTTGAGGATGAGCATGCTGCCCATGTAGGTTGGTGGGAGGCGGGGGGAGAAATGCGGGCGGGTGTCGGTGGGGAGCTCGAGGATGGAGACATCGTCGGGGCTGAACATCTGCTTGTGGATCTCCGTGGCTACGCGGTATCGTGCTTTGATGGCGGCTCGCCAGAAGAAGGCTTGCACGATGTCGCTGATGGATGGGATGCCTCTGGTTTCGGGGTCGGCGATGACGTCTTGCTTCATCAGCTCCAGCTTCTTGGGCGTGATGAGAAACATGGTCGTCTTCAGGCATCTCTCGGCGCGAGGCAGTGGCCAGACATGATGGAGCGGGAAGATAGGTCGAGGAGGGAGAGCTCCTTCTGGAGTCTTCTCGGATTTGGTGGTATTCTCATCGTCCAGAGGAAAGAATGGCAGGAAGCCCCATGTACCAGGGTCGACCTCATGAAGTGGTCGGGCCCAGCCTTCCTGCTGATGTATAATTTCTGGCAAGCTGTGGTTGAAGCTCTCGGGGTCATACCAGCGGCAGGTTGCCGATTGATCCCCCTGCAAATATCTGCAGTTCTCGGCCCAGGCCTTGAGAGCGATCATGGCACCGAGGCCGTCAAGACAGCAATGGTTGAGGTCGACGGCAAGAATACAACCCCCTGAAACAAAATTGGCTTGTCCTACGAAGATATCGGCGGGCATCTCGGGGAAAGGATCGTCGCGTAAGACAAGACTGTCCTTGAAGGCAGACGGCGCAAAGCCTCCTTTGCGCAAGTTGTCGAATGACGGAAGAACAGCAGAGAGGTCCTTGTAGACCAGGCGATTGCGTGCAGAATCTGCCTTGGCAAGAGGGGGAATCGTGACGCAGAGGTCTCCTTTGGTGTAGTCCATCACTTGCTCCGAGGACTTCATCATCTTGCCGCTGAGCGCTGGAATCAGATCGAACGTGCGATTGAGACCCTCCTGCAGGTTGGCAAATACTTGCTCGTAACTGACTCCGTCGCGTATTGGGAAGTACAAGACCAAGCCCATTCCGTGGTTCGGGTTGACATAGTCGAATGCGTTCAAGCTGAATGATTGCCGCGCCTTGTGCTGGGCAATCATGCTATCTATCTTGGCCCCGACATCATCAACTGGTCTCTTAGATAAGGCAATTTTGCTTGCACTCTCCGCCTCGGCAGCCAGGAGGGTGATAGTAGCGGAGAGACTGGTTATGGTCGGATTGGCGTAGATATGCCGAGGGCCAATCCGATCACCTAGCCCCGTAGCTGCCCGGATTGTCTTGATGGCCGCAAAGACACCGAGAGAGTCAAGTCCAAGCGCAAACAGGTCCGTGTCTGTAAAGGCCTCCTCGACATCAGGGAGTGAAGAAGCGAGGATTTTACGAACATTGTCTTCAATTGAGTGAGTTGAGCTCATGTCGAAGTCAAAGGTGCCATTGAGATCGTCACTGCGTGAGCTGTAGAAACGCTCGATGTAGTCGGCGTAGAGTTTCAGGGTGGCAGATCGTTTTACCGTGCCCTTGTCCGTGCGGAAAAAGGGCTTGTCTGGCGTTGCAAAAGTAACAAAGTCCCTCAGCAGCTGGTTTTTGTGCCGAGACATGGAGTTGGCCTGTCTGACAGTTTCCCAAATGCTGTCGAGGAGCTCGTCGGTCTTATGCGATGGATCTTTCAACTCGATAAGTAGACCGGCCTGGGGCTTCCCAGTTCCGAAAACAAGGCACCCTTTGATGGCAGGGTGGGTGGTGATGAAGGCTTCCGTCTCCAAGGGCGATATCTTGTACCCATTCGACAGTACGACGAGATCGTCGCTTCTCCCTTTGAATGCCCACAGATTGGGCTTGGTAGGATGCTTCATGTACAAGTCCTTGAAATTAATCGACTGCTTCTCGGGGAAGGTGTGAAAGATTCCCTGGAAGAGGGGCCAGTGCTCGTTGCGATGCACCCAATGCTCATATATTTCCGGCTCGATTTCCCTAAACTCGAAGCCGGAGTACGGATGGAAGCAAAACCAGAACCAATCCTCTCTTGGTGGTATGAGGTTACCAATAAACAGACCCTCTGTTGTACCAGTCAAGTTCAGCACTCTTATCACCTCGTTAACCTTGCCAGCGCTGACCGGACTGACGGGACCGCCAGATGCACAGATGAATTTGGACGACTTGAGCTTTGACAATACTTCGGGAGTTTCCCCTAATTCATCGACAAGGGAAGGTACCATGCTCCAAATATCGATTCTAGTATTCACTGCAAGGGTTTCCACCAGATTGATATTAGGCAGGACGCCCGCTGGTCCTAAGACACAGTGCAAGTTAAAAAGGGCGGGCATTAGAATATCCATAATAATACCGGCACCCTGTATATGCAGTTAGCCAATAGACCTTCCCCCTGCTTATCACCTCAGCGAGAAAGATATTTGATTTACGTACGTGACTCATGGGGAAAGATGAGTAGATCGTATCGCCTGTGTTCCAATCAGTTGTCCACGGGGGCAAATTGCCATCGCCCGCAGCAGGTGGTAAGAGTCGTACCGCGTCCATGGTGCCAATCAATCCGTGAGACCATGGTATTGGCTTGGGCACTCCCGTGGTCCCAGATGTATGCAGGAAACAGAATGGGTCATTGATGGCTTCGTCAAATGTCTTGGTGTAGGGAAAAGCCTCGGTGGACATGGCGTCGAGAAGCTCATCAAGTAGAGGGAGCTGCAGGAATTTCATGGGGCGCTTCTGCAGGACCTCCTTGACCAGAGGGACTGGGGATATGTCGCAAGGGTTGACCCAGATATTGCATTTTGTTGCCTCCAGGACCGCAAGTGCTCCTTCCGTGCTGTTTTTTGGCGACAGGAACAAGGCCTGCGGGAAGTGAGGCGCCGTAAGCCAGTTGAACAGATGCAGGGCGAGTTCAAACAATGGTTCAATAACTTACAGCGTAACCAGCCTTGACACATGCATAGGTCAGCAGGACGTGTCGTAGATCATCTTTTCAATCATAAAGTTAGTACTTTCTCTCAAATAAGGCTCAACATGCCAGGTGCTCTTTGCCAACTTACGCGGTCCGATGTAGCCCACAGGCTGGATCGAGTCTGGGCTGCCAACCTGGTTGTGAAGCCACCAAGCGGTCTTGTCAACAGCCTTGGTGAAGGCGAGAGCGGAAATGTGCCTCACCTCAAGTGAATCGCCAGAGAATGTCGTCAGTGAGAAAACAGTACGTTCCGGCTCGGCAGCAGCCAAGCTGTCCATGATCTGAGGGATGAGCCGTTTGCCATATGGTACTGAAGCATTGCTTAAATTGTCCTCCGCGACGATCCCCAAACCGCTCAACGCGAAGGTCGGAGGAGAGTGTGTTTCCGGTGTAGTTGCTGCGCTGCCTTCCATGCTCGCACAGGATGAGGATATGGACGAAGTACTGGGCGAAGACATACCGGGTGAGACGGGGACGGATGTAAGATGTCTGCTGAGATATTCACTGGCGCTGAGTCGTTTAGGTCGTTGGAGGTAGCTCGCCGTCGTCTCGCTGATGCCAAACCCGTCCCCGTCCCATGGCTGCTCCCTGAAGTGACTAGGCCGGCCGTCCGCGTACACGAGCTCCAGCCTGTCGTCCTTGCTAAATTCACCCATCGGAGCACTGATCCACTCCCCGTCCGCCAGCTGAGCAACGCTGCAGTGCCATGGAGTGGTGAAGCCAGTCTTGGTGTTTAGCAGGGATATCGATAGCTTAGTGCTGGCTACTGATTCGTGAATGGAGAGCCGCAAATAATTGGGAAAAGAAGTTCTGATTGCCTGTGCAAAGGCCTATTGAGGTGAACGTCAGAGCAAGCCAATATAACTGGATGGTCGTTTCACCCACATCTCCTCTTATTAGCATCTGCTTGGCAATGTACTTGCAATCTCGCTTGTAGCTGTGAGCAGACCGATGCGCCCCTCGAGGGAAGATGTACTTCAGATCAGACTCCAGGAATCTTTTGTATCCGAGATAGGTCAGTTTCGTATCGGGATTCGAGGCTATCTCGTGGTCGATGTCAAGGCCGACTCTTCCATACTTGTTGAGGAGCAACCGGCGGAAGGTGGTACAGTTAGCGACGTAGACGATTTCGCTCATCTTTTCTGGCAGAGGGATATCGAGCAGATCTTTTATTCTGGAGAAGACAATGTACTTGAATTGCTTCTGGGCAGCCATCTTGCGTAGAGCTTCTCCGTAAGCCCATGTGTCCTGATCCGATATGCATAGCAAGTCTAACAGCACACGGCTCGACTGGTTAACCATGATTCTAATTGAACCGAGTTGAACCTACCATTGTATATGATGCCATCCGAGATGATGGTCACTTGAAGGCCGGGCGGGTATACTTCCCGAACACGCGCGCACATGGTATTCAAACGGTCAAGGGCCAGCTCTTCGGCCTTATCAGGTAGGCTACCGAGCACCTTGTATACTTTGTTTGCCGACTTGAACGGGAATGCAGGGAGACACGCCTCTATCCGCGTGCCTGCAGCGACGAATCGGTCAATGATGGGCAGGAAGTTGTTCGCCGCCCCGTCCAATCGGTCCTGTACGGGGTCAAACTTGTTGAGAGCATACTCGAGGATGATATCTAAGATGAGACGCGAGATCCCTGCTTCCTTGTGGGACATCCTGTCGGAGGAATGCATGGTGATGCACTGTGATGGGGACTCTAATTGCGATCTGGATCTTCGATGCAATGCCGCTCTAACATACGACAGTTGTGATTAAGTTTGGGATGCCTGCAGACAAGCTGGCAATGTGCAATTGACCAGAAAAAGGCAATCGATATCAACACCGACTGGATTAGTATGGGAGTCTTCTTTCCAATTAAATGCTGCTAGTGACCCGAGCCCACAGCGTGACCACAAGGAGCTGACCAAAAGAAGCGAACGATACCCTCTACAGGAGGGAATGAACTTTTCATAGCTATCTTGCATCGCATTCCAAGACCTGAGGATATCTCCGAGTACGAGGTGAGGAGGCATGAGGCATGCGAGAGAGTGGAGCCAGTGGAGCCAGGGTCCTGTCTCGAGGTGAATGTCAAGGATTGGAGCATATTTGAGGCAATTATCAGCGCTTGGGAGCGGACCGAGGTCAAATAGCCTGCCTATTCACCCAAGTTCAGGATGGCCGGGAGTCACCGGACTACGGTGAGCTGAACATCGGGCAGTCGCCATAGTCGGCCATCTTGCTCGTCCGCTATTAAGTTACTTATTCCCGGCTTCGAAATCATCAGGTTTAGCTCACTTAGTGTTATAACGAAAGCCTTGTTTACGGAGATGACTCTCGACTCGGCTGGATGGCAGACATACATCAGCTCGGAAAGTTGCGGCCATTAGGTATTACCTCATCTAGGAATGATGCCTCCATCTGATGCGTAAAGGGAAACTCGAGCAGGTCTCGGCATCTTGTCATCATCTCGGATTCTTTAACAATGTCGGCCTCTCAGCCCACTACAACATGTCCGAATCCGCATCTCCAGCTGTAACCGACCTGCGTGGTCTTATCTACGCTGCGGTTGGAGATTTGCTCCGTAAGCATCGCATATTATTCGTCATTCCCGTGAATGAAGGCACTCCCAATCCTTACTTTGCCTCTCTACCTTGGATTGATCTCAATCGGAGCATTGCCTTTCTCGAACGATGTCAACCATTGGCCAGCGCGGCCGAAGGACAAGACAAGGAACTGGACGCAATCCTCGAGGAGCAACACAACACCGATTTCAAGACTGAATACGGCACTTTGCCGTTCTGGCGCCTGATTATCCTACAATCCCCCGGGAGGAACGAGTTCACCGCCTCCTTCATCTACCACCATGCCATTGGCGATGGAGTCTCGGGTCTCGCTTTCCACAGTGCGTTCCGTACCGCTCTGGAGGCTGCGTCTTCCTCTACTTTACCTGATGACAAGGCTGGGAACATCATCCTGCCGGATGAGAACGCGTCGGTTCTCCCTCCTCTGGAAGAATTGCATCCCTTGCCAATCAACCCGCGTCAGCATCACTCTCCGACAGCAAACCTCAAACAGTGGACGGGTACCTCCGTCCGCATCCCGTGCAAGTCCCGCTGGGCATCTTTGTACCTCTCGCCGAGCGCCTCCAACGCCTTCGTCCAAGGGTGCAAAGAGAGGAAACTAACAGTCACATCCGCTCTGTCGTCCGTCGTCGCTGCAGTCTTGTTCGGCAACCTTCCATCAACCGTAGAGGCTCTCACCGGCATTATCCCAGTCAGCTTACGCCCATGGCTCAAGCTACCTCGCCAAGTAGCGGATAATGCGATTGGAACGTATTTTGATGCCACCCGAGTGCAGCTCACACGGACCGAGCAGGTCTCGCAGGATCCTAGTCTTGTAGATGTATGGTCCGGACCTCAGCAGGTCTCAAAATCGATAAATGACTACCTCTGCGACGTTCCGCCGTCTGGCGAGCCGTACACGTCCGTTGCGGTCTTTAAGACCATCCCCGATGTGTCTGCCGTCTTCCATTCTATGCTCGGAAAGCCTCGCGATGCGGCGTTTGAAGTCACGAATGTCGGACTCTTCTCGCCGGCTACTACTCCCGGGGCTTCTCTTTGGCGAGTAGGGAACGTGCTGCTCAGTCGGAGTGCTGCTGTTCCCGGGGCTGCCGTCACTGTTAGTGTTGCCACCGGTGAGGATGGGATTATAGCGCTTGGGTTCAGCTGGCAGGAGGGTGTTGTTGAGGATGGTTTCATCGACAGTGTCAGGCAGGGGGTCAGAAAGTACTTTGAGAAGTATCGATAATAGTCAGAGACCATAGGGCTAGTCTTACCTCCTCAGAGTAATTGTTGCATGTGAGATTTGAGTGGTATCCCTGCTCCCTGGAGCAAGACCACCCAAGTTCATGCGCGGCGCCTCATTCTCCAGAGATTAGTGAGAGGTGCATGTTTTACCTAAGCATTCCCTTTTTTTCGCGGGGATAGCCATAACCCTTGGGCTATTGATTCATACGGCGATTGGATTAAGCAGGTTTGGCCGAGGAACAGAAACGGCGAATTCTGGCGAAGTGTTGATATTCTGCTATTATTCCTACTACGCCAGAGATGGTTATCTAGACGCAGAGGTCTTTAGGCAAGTGTTTCGTATTCTTGATACACCAGGAGAGTGGCTGAGACAGGGCCAAGCGAGCTAGATCCAACTATACGATACTGTGAGCGAGTTTGAGCAGGTTATTGTACGCTACCACGGGCGTGCATAAGAATACAGTTAACTCATGCCCTAGCCGGCGTTCAATCATCATACTTCTTACAGTCAGCTTTTATCTCTGCCCAAGGTGATATTTATTTTCTTTTTGGTCTAGAGTGTGTTTTGTTATCGCACGTGGAGTACAGGTCCCCTGGCGTACCAGTGAGACTAGGTAATTATCTAAGATAGCCATGCAATTCCGGGTTGCATATTACAACAATCGACAGACTAAATGACCGTCCCTTTGACCTGTTTCCTATCAACGTTGTAGTCCTTCCACATAGCAATAGCCGGGAACGCAAGGACCACAATCGCAGTAGCCGTGATGCACTCATACTTCTGGCTCTGCGTCCACGCATGATTGATCGCATTCCTGGCCGCACTGCCAGGCGGGTACATCACCTGCGCCGTCGAGCCCCCAAGATAAATATTAGCATAGTCGGCTTTCATATCATCCGGAAGCCCGCGGAGCAGCGCCTGCGGGAAGGTGTTGGAGTAGATGGCCACGGCAACAGCGTAGCCGATCGCACCCCCAAAACTCCCAGCCAGGCTGATCATGGCGATCATCATGGGGATGCCGTCGCGGTCTGCGGCGGCCATGACGGCCATCTCGTCCCCGATCACGAGGGTGCCCCCGCCAAAGGCGATGAAGATCTGGCACATCACGAGATACCCGATCTTGCTCTCGGTGCCGCGGAAGTGGATCATCAGGCCGGCGCCGAGGAGCATCAGCGGGGCGCCAAAATATAGGCAGGTCTTCTTGAAGTGTTTGGTCTGGCGGATCCAGATGCCGAAGAGGACGGCCCAGATGGTCGAGCCGACGCCGTATATCTGTGCCATGTAGCCTGTGTTGGCTGTATCCAGGTTGTAGACGACCTGTAGGTAGTAGTAAAAATACTGGTCCCAGGTGTAATAGTTGAGGAAAATGACAGCAGACAAGATGCAGGCCCCGAGCACGGTCCGGTTCTTGAAGAGCTCCCACTTGATGAAAGCGGTTGTAGCGAAGAATCTCTCCCATAGAGCGAAGACGGGGAAGAGGAGCACGCCGATGATAACCATGCTGATAAAGGTTGCCGAGGAATACCCGCTGAAGCCGTAGGTCTCAAGGCTAAAGGGCAAGAGGAACAGGACAAAGGCGGCCATGAGGAGAAAGGCACCGATGATGTCGAACTCGTGAAAATAATGCAGGAACGACTGGAGAGGCGTCCGGCCGCTCCGGTCCCGGACGAACACGCCGGTCTTCTCGGCCTTGCGCTGGTAGAACTTGAAGACCAGCGCCAGAGGCACGAACGTAAAGAAGATAATAATGGCGAAACAGCCGTAGGCCCACCGCCACGTGGAATGGGTATTGAATGCCTGAGCAGCGAGCGGGCCGACAAAGGCTGTACAGATGGTCGGGGTGCCAATGAATGCGTAGGCAAATGCTCGATTTCGCAGCCCGGACGCGTCGGCGACAAAGACAACCAGGATGAAGTTGACGGCAGTGTAGCCAATCCAATACAGCGTGTATCCGGCTGCAAAACCATTGGGGCCATTGCAAGAGGCGATCACGATAATCCCGAGGATCAAGACCCCGACGAAAACGAGAAAACCCTCGGCCCGGCCCCAGAGATTGAGAATTTTTGCGATAGGCAGCTGTAGCACTCCCCCGATGATAGTCGAGAGAATATTAGCCTGGGAGATTTGGGGAGCCGATGAGAAGCCTGCATAAGCGTAATAGATCATATTGTTGCTAATGGAAAATTGCAGGTTTAGAATAAAGAAGCACACCCAGATCCTATACACGGTGTCCATTAGCAATCACTGTCATTCTTTTTTGTATCCTTGTAGTCTGTCCCAGTAGAAGGTCGGATGCTGTGACTTACCAGGCATATGTGGCATACAAGGCCGTCTTGGACCATACTAAGGCCGTGGCTTCGGCTTTTTGCACTCCAATCTGAGCATCTTGTGTGATTTCATTGGGATGCTCAATGATTTTTCGCTCGTTCTTTTCCTCCAGACTCACTGTGTCGGAGACAGCCTCGATGTTGTCTGTCGTTCGGGTACTGACGTCCTTTTCAGTGGTTGCCGCCATTGTACAGCGGTGCTGTCGCGAGCGAGGTCAGGGACGAACTTCTCCAAGGGAGTCACATTATAAAGGGGGTTGACTAAATAAAGCAATTCCTCGGCGACGAAGCGAGATGTAGAATGTCCGGAAAGCAACAGAGTGTCCTTAGTCAAATCCATCCTGTCTATAATAGCCGTCAAGTAGCCAAGCGCTCAATTGGTAGTAGACAAGTGTAGCGTGCGCCTATTTGGGCCTAGTAACATGCTCAAATCTGCGCATTTTTATGCAGTCAGAACTGAAGCTGAGGTGATTAGAGCGCCAGCATAGCAACGTTCATGTGGAAGCAATTATGCAATCCTGTCAGACCACTTTGCTAGTAGTGCAGGTAAGTTTCGCAGGGACCCGTCCTCTCAATCAAAAGCTCAGACAGATGATTTATTTAGCCCATCGTACACTGGTCCACAAACCATGCATAATACTGTCCTATATTAAGTCCAGTGCAGGGATGTGAGCGTATTTCTCTCAAGTGGGTCTAAGTCAAAGTTGGCGAGTCAGAAAGACCCTCGACTAAGAGCTGTGTACCTAGACGGCTATTTCTAGCGTAGTAGAGATAGTAGTGCAGTGCATGTTCAAAGTGTTTCAAACGAGCAGACGAAGGCCTAGTAGATGGAAGGTGAGAGTTGGGAGTCGCATACAGAGATAAGCCTAACTGAGCATGAAGAGAGAATTTGATCGAAAGGAGCATTCCATGTGGACTCGCAAAGTGATGCTGTCGGGTTGGACTATACTCTGTGTTAAGAATCTGCTCAAACTGCCGCGCCATGTCCGTTAGCCAAGTGTTCACGGGGACCTCGCGATGGATCATCATAGGGCTCGGATGACTTGACAGGCGATCTAATAGCCGCTGAATATGATATCTAGGACCCGTCACCGGCCCTGTATATTCGTGGGGATTGCAATGTCGCCAGGATGGACCACAGCAACCACAGCAAGGAGATGGCCATGTCAACGGTCTTCGACACCAGCACCGATATTACACTTTTCTTCCGCGGGTGGACGACTACGACAGCAGCCTCGTACACTCTTACGTTAATCTTCCTCTTCGCCCTGGCCGTGTTCAACCGCTTCTTGGGCGTGCTAAAGTTCCAGCTCGACGTGAAGTACACCGAACCGACGGAGAGAAGAGCTCCGAAGCTACAGCTGGCCACCGCGCGCCGACGCCGACATGCCATTCCCAAGGACCGCATGAGTCCCCTGCCTCGATACATGAAGGTCGCCGAAACCGATCCCGACCACGAGGCGCCTTTCCCGTCGGCTCCGTTCCTGGAGTCGGATGCCGAACGCACACGCGATGAGTTCCCCTCCAACTTAAATCAGGAGCCGCGAAGCCCCCGGGTAAAGCGTCGCTGGTGGAGAGTGTACAGACGCTGGAGTTGGCGACGGGATGGAACGAGCTCACTTCTCGAGGGACTCCGGGCTCTGGTGGGCTACGCATTGTAAGTGCACAGCCATAGCATCCTGCTCGACTGTTAATGTCTATCGCTGAACTCGTTTAGAATGCTGGCAGTGATGACGTTCAATGTGGGGGTATTCTGCGCGGTGGTCGGAGGCATTGTAGTGGGCGAATTGTTCTTGGGACGCTATGCGCATCCCTCATCAGGGTGGCAGGATGGCGCATGTCATGATTAGCCAGTGGACAGCTTGAGTTGAGAACTGCATATCGTTGGAGAAAGGATGGCACAGCAATATGTTCATGGAGCTCCACAGTTAGTGTTGGTGCCCGCACCAAGACTTAAGACGCAGATTAAATGCGCAAATCCGCTCAAACCCTCGCGGTGGAGCAATCAGGCTGAAAGTAATGGCCAAGCTTGCACCGCATTAAGCCCCCATGCGCTCAAATCCGGTGCCTAGTATGAACTTGTACAAACAGTCTATGGCTGGCTGCATATGTAGAATTCCAGACCACAATGATCTTAACACTGTTACTATTGAATCTTAATGTCTGCGCAAATCATAGGATAATACAAGTGATCTATATCCGTGGCCAGTTTCACCGGCAAATACCATGGAACCCATACAGAAGCTGATATGGCAATCACATCATAGACCTACGCTGGCGACTGACGCTTCCTGTACGAGAGGAAGCTAACAATCAGCACATAACCAACCCAGACGAGCCCAGCAACCACGCCATAAGCGATAACCGCCCCAGTAGGAGCCAGCGAAGTCCCAATGCCCGTGAGACGAAATCCAAGCCCCGCATTGATCATCCCCAGAGTGATGGCCGTACGACCAAACCACCGATGTACATAGGCGGCGATACTCTTCTTCCCCGTTCGGCGGAAATACCAATGCTGAAAGAGACCCATCGCTGGCTGAAATAGAATTAGAGATGCAACAACTACAATGCCAATAATGGGATGGTAGAAGCCGACGAAATTGAGGCTTTTGGCCATTGAGATCCCGAGGCCGAATCCCGCGATTACAAGCGCGAGGGTGCTGAGCTGCAGCCCGGCGTGGATGACCACTGTCCTGGAGGACGGGAAAAGAGGGATTCCAAGGGCGATTAGGGGGAAGAGGATAACAAAAGAGACTATCATGAGGACGGCGTGGGCGATTCTTTTCTTCCTGATGGAATCCGAGTTGATGGTCTGGGCGGCCTGCGCGGAGCTGGAATTCGCCGACATCGATCCACCCAGAAATGGATTCCCGGAGCTTCCACCGGTTGCCTGTCTCATGTTGACGGTTGCAACGCCTGAGAGGTCATGGAGAGTGATAGTCGCAGAGACGCTGTCTGAATCTAGCATGGGACCGTGCTTCACGGCCCATATCCACGGGCTTGATGTGCTTGTCACATCCTCGTGGCCCCCTGACCAGGTGATACAGCTATCGCACCGTATGTTCGCCGTGAAGATTCCATTGCTAATTCCACTACCATTGAGGATCGAGAATCGAGCTTGCGGGTTGTACAGAGGCTGGACGTGCTCGACTCCCAACCGCGGCGAGACGGTGATATCGGTCGCGTTCGCATAGACGACGAATATATTGGCCCCTTGCATCACGGCTCCTTGACCCCATGCGAACCACTGCACCTCTTTAGTGGATCGCATCTGAATGAAGATGGGCCCGGAGCCAGATCCGGCAGTTGATTCAGGGACATTCACGCTGTATTCTATTGCCCTTTCTCCTGGAGGGATAAAGGTCTGGACTTGGCCGAGTGCGTGGTTGAACACAGCGAGGCACCAACAGAGACAGTATACAATCAGCATTGTATCCGAATACTGCAGTAGACTCGTCCACCCAACTGACTATTCACGAGGACAACTTATAACGAAAGAAGGATGGAGAAAATAAACCACCAATTGGAAGTTGAGTGCTTATTTTCAGTAAGCAAGCAGTGTGAACATGTAAGCTTCTACAGCTTCCTTCAAGTGCTCTTAGCTTGTGGCTTTGCATTCATGCCACAGCGAAAACTTCCATTTCTGAAGGGCTCCATGCAAAGCAAAACATCAGCTCAGTACCATCAGAATGGCGCAGAAGCAGGGCAGTGCAAGCCTTCTGTATGTTGCTTTACAGATGGTCGAACTGGATGAGCACGGCACAGCATAGGCAGATGAGGGATAATCATATTGTAACGCGTAAGACAACACAGAATGCCTCCATCTGACATTGGTGTGGGCTGATATAGATCCCGGCGAGAACAGACTGTTCCATGGTACAAAGGAGGGTACCACAAATGCAACATGCTGGCAAAGTATGTATCCCATCACAACAACTACAATTGAGTTTGGGATGGTCAGATCATGGGGTTGAGGGCCACTGTGGCGACCAGCACATTGGTTAGGTTCTTGCATCGCCGCAATGACCCTACGTATACGGAAGCTTAATGTACCTTTTGTCCTAGCGCTTTTTATTCCAACCTATGAAGACCGAAGGTGTCGTCGGTCTACCCAGTTGTTGGTATTGCACAGCCCCAAAAATAGCTTGATGCTCCCACTAATTTACTACCTCCACGGATTGAGTCTGTAGCTCGTGTCCTATGATCTAAGTTCTACGTCTATGTACAGTGGCGCAGTGTCCGGTATACTGTCATTTTGGGTAACTCTTACTTTGGCTTTGACCCCAGTCATGATGCAATCGCATGTATTGCGGCCTTCTTGGATAATGATGAGAGGACTTATTCTCCTATGGTACATGCAAAGTTATAAATCGGCACTGGGACCGTATGCGTAGAATTGAACAGCCTTCTTCCCCACATAGGACAAGTTCATATAGTACATACAAACAATGACCGGAGCGATGAATCTCATTCATGCCATCTTGTGGCTGCCTCTCATTTATGCCCAGTCCGGTGCTGTCCACACTGTCGATGTAGGGGAGCATGGTTTCACATTCGATCCCGATACTCTTTCAGTCTCTCCCGGAGACAAGGTCGAGTTCCACTTCTACCCGGGCGACCATTCAGTGGCTCAGGCTGCCTTTTCAAAACCGTGCCACCCGCTTAACCAGTCAAGTTTTTTCAGCGGGTTCATTCCAGCCACAAACGGAGAATCTGTGAGTCCTTCGGCGGAAGTCCTTGGGAAAAGCAGCCATACTGATACATTTACTTCCAAAGTCTGAGGTCTTCACATTGACTGTTAACGATACCAGCCCTATCTGGTACTACTGTGGCCAGGTTGGACATTGCCAGGCTGGTATGGTCGGGGTCATCAATCCTCCGTGAGTATGACGCGCTGAGAAAGCAAGCATGTTTCTGACTGTGTATCCTACCCGCAGTCGCAATGGCCCAAATACTCTTGATGCATTCAAGTCAGCAGCAAGGAATGCAGGAGATAGTACGGTACCTAGCGCGGTTGGCGGTGGCACATTAGGAAAACCGAGCACTGCGTCCACGATGAGCAGCGGGACCTCGCAAACGTCAACGTCCACTAGCTCCTCTACTAGCACCAGTGCTACAACAAGCTCGACTTCGACTTCGACTGCCACTTCTACTTCGAGTCCAAGCCCCTCCCCGACAAGTGAGGGATCAAGATTCCGCCTTTGGCCGTCTCTTAGTATCGTCATGCTCCTGTCTGTTCTTGTAGCTATGCTTATGTCCTAGCCTAAGGGCCATCGTATGCGTTTATCTGCTCTTACCACAGGTGTGGTGGCGTCAAAAGTGGACATATCTACGGTATTTCGATGTTGGTCTCGCCGATATTGATTTAACAGCCTATAAGCTACGTAATGGCATCCTTTCACAGCTGTCGGGAGATGGAGAAGTGGAATTACCTAATTATCAGATCGCATACTGTGCATAATCAATATTTCTATGGATACATGTTGCAAGTGTACATTAGTAAAATGAGTTGCATTTTCCCGTTCCCCATATTCTTTCACCCTTTCCTCACGATCATGCCCCTGCCTCGATATAATAGCGCTCATTCAAATGGACTAAGATTTGGACGTAGGTTCTTGCCCTTCAATTCCTTATTTCTAGGGCTCTGGGTAATACTTGATACTGGTCATTCACTGCCAAAGAAAAAAATTACATTCTAATTCTAATTCTGTCGGTGAAAGATTGATGAACGCTGCCTCCGAAATTCTAAATGGAAATAAGTAGTTCAAGCTCTGGCAGCAATGGAGTTGCAGTATACATAGCATCAATATACTTACTTGGAATTCATTGAACTGCAAGAACCATGATAATCAAGCACCGGAATGGTAAAGCCGAAGCCTTCCGTCTTGCCCCAGGTGTCTCTGTGATCGGTTTCCACACAAATGCACACATCCAAACTGCCATCATTGCCTTGTCCATGTTGCTCCGAAGCAGCAATATGTCGTCTGCCCGCGTTGGCTTCTGCCAAATGCAGAGGCCGATGTCCATGCTTCGCCAGGAACTGTCGCAGGGACAGTTTGAAGCCATGGGTGTCGCGGCCGCGGTTATTGGGCGAGTTTTCTGTGATGATTGTGAAATTGCGGCGGGGCATGGCCACCGCGGTCCCCTTGGGCTCCCGCTTGGAATCCCGGGAGTCCTCTCTAAAGACCTTGAAAAGAGTCTCTTCTGTCTCTGCATTCAGTTCTCGGATTTTGTCGGCGTGCGAAATCAGTTTGGCCACCGCCTCGGGGGGCGGTTGATTCACGATCGCTGATGAGATGATGTTCGTCATGAACCGAAAGTCTGCCTCGATTTCTGGGATATGGCCTTTATGTTTGGTGAAGAATCGACCCACGGCAGCGAGATGGACATCACCGCTTAGGATCGTGGCGCGGACGGAATGCGCCGCGCAGATGGACTGGATCCGCTCTATCAGATATCGACGCTCGGCTTGATGGTCCTTGGACGTATAGTGGTCGTTGAGATCGTCTAGAAGCTCGATAGCGCCGTCAAACCGGTTAATCGCATTTTCGCCTGCGCGCATACCATCTAAGCTTTGTGCTTTTTTAGTCAATTTTCTGGAGGCCTTACCAATGGCTAGCTTGTGACTCAGGCGTTGGAACGAACGCCCAGCAGAGCCTTCAAAGGCGTTTTCAAGCCAGGTGAGGGGCTAGCTGATGGTTCAGGTATGGGTTTCCCGGAATGGGACGCCGATGTAGACTTACCGGATAAGCAAGCGGAATGCCAAACAGCAAGACCAGGTGCCTAATCGGCCGATCGGATCGCGCTGCCGCGTCCAGTCCTCCGTGCACTCGGGAAAAGAGACGGTCGTAGGTCTCAGGGTAGTTTGTTTGCTCGCGGGTCCTCTGCCGGATAGAATGGTGAACCGCGTGAGCCATCGTTCCTGAAGCACCAGAGGACAGCGCTCACTTACCTCGGTCCGAGCATCTACCCCTAAGAACGCCATTCTTGCACCCAGCCGCGTGAAGATGCTGTGCGAATGAGCCGCAATGTAGGGCTGGATTGGCAGGATTAGTATAAGATGTTGATGTGTGCATAAGGTGAGGGGACTTACCCCGGGTTTCATTCCGAGGATATATTGGGGTTCGGGTCTGGGATCTGCAATATACGGTTCCAGAATGTGTGGATTCCACTTGGTAGGAGGAAGATGATGCTGGAACATCATATAGTATTTATGAGCGAGCGCACCGACGGTTTGGAATACCTTGTCCTATGTGTGAGCAGAGTTGTGATCCACGGCGTGCTGTGACGATCCGATCGTCCAGGTGTAACACCTACCGGACACTCCATGGTCTCCTTGGCATATGATCCAAATCCGTCGATGATCTTGCATAAGGTTAGATATATTTTGTGGTTTATGTTGCAACAGATGGCACGCACGTCGTGATCATCCCATATATTGAGTGACGGGATTTGGCACAGGGCGGAGGCGAAAGGCTCAGTATTATACCTATTATTGGACAGAGGTTGTAATCAGATTCAGATTATCCCACTGCTTTCAAAACCAAGAACATACCAGCGAATGTAATTAGCAAGGTACCAGTCATCGCAGGCCTGCTGGAGCTCCCTTGAGCATTGATATCGTAGTCTCTCGCGGGGATCTTCAATCTTGGTCCATTCCAGCAATGGACCTCTATCAACATGTAAGATCACAGTCCCATACGAAGATCTTTGGCAAACTATGGGAGACAACTCACGACTGATAGATTTCATCATTATAGATCTGATCGCCTCCGCCAATCCTGCAGTTTACCAGTCAGCCGTTTTAGTCGGTATCACCCTCCTGAGCAAAGCAACACCTACATGACATGAAAGGGTACTTCACCATGACGTCTCAGAACATCCTTCCAAAGAGAAAGATGATTCCATTCTCCTTCCTCTGCTCCATCGCACCACCCGTTACAAGAATAGAACATGATGCGCATGGACTCGTGGCAGGACGGTACAACAAAGGAATGTGTGAGTCCTCTGACTCTATGCTGAAAATCCACTTCTGCAATAGTGTATTCCCACCTGCTGTCCGTCGACTCCATCGTCACACTTATATCGAATCTCCAGAAGCTGCACCGGCAATCAGAGTATAGCAGAGACCCCTTGACGCGAGTATAGGGGTCCGCCTGAGATGCATCATCCTCGTCAATGGATCGACGGAGAAGCAGAGTCGGTTCTGCCTGCGGGATTTCGCCTTTCCGCTTCGTCACTATCAGGATGCTCCCGATCCAGCGATCCCCCTCCATATGTCGGTAGTTCAGCAGAGGACCACACACCACTTCCTTGTTATCCGGATCAATGTTTGAGCGTGCGTACTTTAGCATTGTTTCGTAATGAGAAAATGCCTGGGTAGGAGATCGATCCGATTCGTGAGGAGGTCTTTGAATTCGGCCGTAGACCGAGTCCGAGGAGGGACCATGGTGCCTATTGGGATAGTGGGCAGTACTGTGCACGACCGCGTCGATGGACCGGTTACAATCCTTCTGAGGAAAAGCCATTGGGAAAATTTGCGACAGTTTGAGTCCGCGAAAAGGAACTGTATTCCAGACACCGCTGACAGAACATCAACCCGACTATATATGCGTTTTCACCTTTTATAGCATCGCACTCTCGCTGTCTCTAGCGCCTAGAGGCTTGTCTCAATTTCGTTGCCTAGGAGAATCGAATGTCGAACCATAATTTGCGCAGGGAATGGAGCCCATCGGTTGAGGTGTGGACACCAGAACTCTGCCTCTGAAAGATTGGCGGATCCGTGCCAATCAAAGGCGGTCCTTAGGCTTGCAAAAGCTAGGTATGACATTGAACTAGTATTTAGTATACAAATTTGCAACTGGTATGGGTGTTTGTAATTCCCTGGTGATCACTCATGCCAGACGTTGTAGCCATGAAGCATCTGCGTAGGGTAAATTTTTCAAAGCAGGACATCACCAGCATGAGTGCTGTACACTCAAACCAAGCAAAACACAATACTGGGTAACTGAAGTATCCAACTACATACAGAACCGCGAGCCATACAAATTCCGGCCCCATACTATTATGTATGAAGAGGGAGATTGCCGGTTTTTTTCATTTGAGAATTGACCAATTCCAGGAGAGTACTAGATCTGCAGAGTCTCGAAGAAACAGAGTTCAAGTGTACCTAGATGAAAATTCTTAGTACGTGCAATGGGACAGTGATGGGTCCGCGAGAAACAGTAGACCAAGTCGATACTCGGACATCTCCGTCTCTAGCCCTAATTCACTACGCCCTACGGCGCGCGCCCTGCTGCCTACGGGATTTTCCTTCACATTCGGACTAGAGCCATACAATCAGCACGCTAGTTTGCAGGCACAGTTCCATCATCTATCATCCTGAATGAGACCAGGATAATATTGGATCCTCAGCAGCCATAAATATAATGTAAAATGCTCAGCAGATGGCCCTTCCCCTTTTAGCTTAGGTAAGCGCGAGATGTTGATTATGTAATTACCTTGGGGATACAGCGAAACGCCACCCACTTCCAATTCGACCACATTGATACATACATTCTGTGACAGCCACAAGCTACAATCATAGGATACATGTGAAATCTTCCGTTGCAGGATGAGCAGAACAAGACTTAAGGGACTGGATGGGCCAGATCCATACTCGTTGGATGAGTATGATCAGAAAGATGGTGACGGTAAGTCCTGTGGAATGAGTCCTGATTCCAGTAAGAAGACATGCTTACTTCATTGGACTAGGAAGTTTCAACTCAGATGGCCACAGCTTGCTTGATCCGAATCTATCCACTCATCACTCGACTGCCGGACCCCGGTGTCTTGAGCAGCTAGTGTTCGACTCACAGGTGACTCAGTCCTCCACATCGCTGCCACTGTCCCTTGGTTCCACTCAGGACAGCTATTCTGGCTCGATGTCGTTCATGGAAGGTTTCAATGACCCAGGCTTACCGTCCTGGCTGATGCACGATTTAGAAACACAGGAAACAGACGATGTTCTCTCTGCAAGTGCGCAGCGATCTGTAATAAATGGCCTGGTCCCCTCTGAGCTTCTTGGCTCAAGTACGGGCCCGTCCTTGGGTACAGGCAACCGGATACCCGCTCCAGGTGCCGGGCTTCCTCGACGCAGAAGTCGCTATCTAACGCGGAGTTCGGGAAGAGAGGCCGCTCCGATTGTCATTCCCAATGCGAGTGCCCTAAATCCCATGGAGAGATGGCGTGAGTCGCCGCCTGAGGATGAGCCTGCGTCGATGTCCGCCATTCTAGATGCATTGAAGCAGACGCCTGCGCAGCAATTAGAACTGCCAGGTATTGACAACTCAGGTGATCCGGCAGACATTGTCAACGCGTTCCGACACTACCGGCGTGCGGCCTCGACGACCAGCGGAGAGTCTAGCGGGTCGTCCAGGGCGTCGCAGCAGTCGGCGCGATCCCGCTCGTCTGCTCAGGATCCGACCGGGGTTCAGGCTGGACGACGCCGGCGCCGGGTGGATAAATCCATGAGACGAAACCACGATGTGATCGAGAAGCGACGTCGGTACTGCTGTACCTTTTGCTGTGACAGGTTCAAGAGCAAGTACGACTGGGCCCGCCATGAGAAATCTTTACACCTTAGTCTGGAGGCATGGTACTGTGCGCCGTTTGGGACGACCGTGGACTCCCCTGTGACGCTGAAAAGTTACTGCGCGTTCTGCAACGCCGTGGACCCGGACTCCCGGCATCTGGATCAACACGCTCATAAGGCCTGCGAAAGTGACTCTGGCGCTCGCCGTTCCTTCCGCCGCAAGGACCACCTGGTGCAGCATCTGCGGCTGGTGCACAATGCCGATCCTCCGCCCTGCCTGGATGACTGGAAGATCGGACAAAGCGCTGTAAGCTCTCGGTGTGGATTCTGTGATCAGCGCCTGAGCACGTGGGAGCAACGCATCGAGCACCTAGGGGAGCATTTTCGAAAAGGCGCTACGATGAACGAGTGGCGCGGGGAGCATGAGTTCCCTGCCGAGTTCGCCGCGCAGGTGGTCAACGCGCTGCCGCCATACCTCATCGGCTCAGAATCGCGGAGTGTCATACCTTTCTCTGCAACGAATCAGATGCAAGAGACCACTTTACCCAGATTTCCTCTCGCGCCTGTTGGGACTCGGCCGGCGATCAAGAAGCAGCCTTGAATCCTGCCACGGTGGCTCCCAGCCAGCCTCTCCAGACTCTGGCGCCGGGTTTGTCACCGGCACAGCTTAGCTCCTTCACGCAAGTATTGACGCTGCACTTGAGCCGCTATGCTCAGCAGCAGATGCAACAGGGGATTATTCCTACCGACGAAATGTTCCAGCAAGAGTCCAGACGTTTACTATATGACTCGGAGGACTCGTGGAATCAGACCATCGCCGACAACCCCGAGTGGCTTTCTACTTTCCGAAGGCTTCACTGCGACGAGACCACCCATTCTACACGGGACGACCCGCAACTGCCAGAGCTTGCTCGCGGGTTGCAACTGTAACGCCAAAGACATTTATGTTCATTTATGTAATAAAAGTTGCGAGTGAGCTGTTCGACCATCCATGACCGGATGCTTATTCTAATCTACCAGGGTGGAAGGGGTGCTCATCCACAACCTCCGTCCACATACTCTGCTCTCTTCCAGATGTAATATCCGCCATCCACCCCTGCAGCAGCGACACATAGGGTGACTGGCTCGACTCAACCAGGATCGTTTCCTCCTTGAATTGTATCTCACGGACCGGCACCACCGAGGCAGCCGTTCCAACTGCAAACAAACCAACCAACCTCCCTTCGCGTGCAGCCGTGACGATATCATGAATAGTGAAGATACATTCGACCACCTCAACCGGTTCAATTCCATGTGCACTCGCCGCCTCCACCCCAGACAATCGCTCCCTCACAAGGTCAAGAACAGAGTGCCTCGTCACGCCAGCCAGGATAGTATGCTCATCCAGGCCCGGCGTCACAACCTGCAGCTGTCCCTGACGCGTCCTCCAAATAACAAAGACATTCATAGACCCCGCCTCCGTGACCCACCCGTCAGACCCAAACAGCCACAGCACCTGGTCGCATCCCTTCCGCCTCGCATGGCTATGCGCCAAGATCGAGGGCCCGTAGTTCGCAGCCAACTTGGCGGATCCCGAGCCGCCAGGCCACGCGCGGACGGTATCGCCGTCGCTCGCCCACAGGCTCAGCCCGGGCCCGGCGGCAGCGGGGCTGGGCCAGTACGAGATGATTATATACAGAAGAGCTTCGCGGGGGACCTGGAAGCCCAGACTGTCGTCTGTGCCCACCAGCGTGGGCCGGATGTACAGGGAAGACCCCGCTGCGGATTCCGCGGGTAGCCACCGCGGTGCGTCTAGTGCGCAGAGCTGGCGGATGAGGTGGAGGAGTTGGGCCGGGTCGAACGAGGGAAGCGAGACGCGGGCCGCGGACGCGAGCATGCGCGCTGCGTTGTACTGGGGTCGGAAGAGGCGGAGTTTGCCGTCGTGTCCGCGGTAGGCTTTCATGCCTTCGAAGCAGGCGGTTGCGTAGTGTAGAGCGCTGGCGGATGGGGGGATTGTTAGAGGGCCGTGGGGGAGGATGGCGGGGACGTCCCAGCCGGATGAGGCGGTCCAGCGCGCGCAGACCATATGGTCGGTGAAGATATTGTGGCCGGAGAGTTCGGGGGCATTGGCGGGAGGAACCGGTTTGGGCGATTTGGTTATGGACACTCGGGTTCTGGAGGCGTCGAGCTGGGCTCGTTGAGGTGGGAAGGGCTTGTTGTCTGTCAATCTGAAGACTGAGGGGGCTAGAAAGTCTTCAGGTGCCATCTTTGAGACTTGTTGAAGTATCAATCTAGTTCTGAAGCATTGTCCTAAGTAACATTAATTTAAAATAACATATGCCCTGCCAGCTGCATCACTGAACAAGGCGTAGGTGTATGAAAAGCCTGTAGGGCGCGAACCTTGTACTTTGACTGATTTGCACTATCAGTTTTCCCCAATTAGTCTGTATTACAATGTCTTTTTTGCAGTGCAGTAGGGTGTAGGGTGAAGGGTGAAGGGTGAAGGGCGTAGGGGGTAGGGCGTAGGGCGCACTCTAAAAGGGCTGCAAAATACGTAGGGCGCGGAAAAGAGGAACCAAAGGGAGCAACAATACACCAAATTTTTTAATAAAAATTCTTTTAGAGAATAGAAGAAACAAATATGCTGTATTTATTGAACGTGTATATCATGTGGCATCGTCAATTGGCCATCATTACGCTCAGGTCTTCTCTGATTGCAGCCTTCAGGACAAAAGGATACTTCCATATGCCATCGCAGGCAACCGCATCCCCTCCACCAAGAGTGCATATTCTGGACTAGGAAGTAATGGCACCTTTACCGCTCATGGGTTGTTAGACATCCCCCAAAGGCCAGCAGTCACTTTGCTGCTTCACCGCGAATCTCTACACGAAGGCTACATCAAGAATAACAACCAGATCCTGTTGGAAACAGTCGACGGTCAATCCATCGGTCACACAGGATATGATCTGGAAGTATACAGATCAGGCAGCTGGCACTCAGTTGCAACTTCCACCGTCACATCGGATCCAATCCGCCACCTGATCGTCACCGTGAAGACCACTCACACTCTCACTGCGCTCCGGCCCCTCAAGGACCGCCTGTCCGCCAGATCCACAATCCTCTTCCTCCAGAACGGCTGCGGCATCATCGACGCCGTCAACAACTCCCTCTTCCCCGATCCGACCATCAGACCGACCTACATTACCGGGGTGGTCTCCCACGGGGCAACCCTCAACCGGCCCTTCCACGTCACCCACACCGGCGCCGCAGCAATTTCCCTCGGGCTGGTCCCTCGCGATGACCCTGATCCTACCACCCCTCCCGCTGAGCCGGACTACCTCCTCACCCTCGTACCCCAGTCCCCCCGCCTCAACGCAACCGCATACTCCTACAGCGAAGTCCTGCAGATCCAACTCGAGAAGCTAGTCGTAAACGCTTTCTGCAACCCTCTCTGCGCATTGCACGATGCTCAGAACGGGTTCTTATTTACTCTACCGGAGATACGAAGGGCGCTACTCACGGAGATTGCGACCGTGGTGCTGTCGCTGCCGGAGCTGCGGGATGTTCCTAATGTCCGGGAGCGCTTCTCCGTCGACAGACTCGAAGGAACTGTGAATGATATCTTGGTCAAGACGGCGAAAACAACGTGCTCGATGGTCTGGGATCTGAGGGCCGGCCGGGAGACGGAGATTCGGTTCATTAATGGGTACTGGGTTCGGAGAGGGAAGGAGGTGGGAGTACCAACACCGATTAATGAGCGGCTGATGGAGGAGATTTTACAGCGAGGGGGTTAATGCTTGTGCTTTAGATGAGTAGCAGTCTACTTAGCCATTATCAATTGGATGGTAGAGTGACACCGAGGTCGAAGAAATGGGATACTTTGCTATTTAGGAAATCTCGAGTATTACAACTTACTGCGGTGTGAAACTTCAGTTGGCCGTACATGCGCGGGTGTGGGACGGCACATATTTCGGTGGATGTCGATGGCATGAACACAGATCGTCGAGAAAATCAAGCCGTAACAATAAAAACAATTTCAAGAATGGGAAACGGCCGCAAACCTGGAGATGATGATGATGATGATGATGCAGGTGCTGCTGTGGAAGATCAGGTAGTGGCCCAGGGCCCCAGACTTACCAAATGCGTACCACGTGCAGTCATGTGGACTACTCTATTTTCTCACTTCCTACAAGTCAAATGTTACGTTAACAGAAGATCTCCAGCCTTTTGGTTGCAGTCAGGACGCGTGAGGCACCAGGAAACATGAACTAGGCGTAACATTTGTACCATCAGATCGGGGAATTGTAGCTATCTGACCCATGAATAAGCTAAAATAAGCTTATTTAGTGGGGTGGGGCCGGGGGCCTGCGGGGATATCATCTAGACACCATCCTGACACCCCAAATTTTGCTGACGAACCAGATATTTCACCTTGCATATAGATAAAGAGTATTATACTCTGTGTTTGAATATCCGCTGATAAGCAGTGTACCCAGATCAAATCAGGTGTCTGTTTCTCCAATCGATAGATTGGCCTGGGCTTATAAGTATGCCTTCAGTGTCTGAAGGTCTATATTTAGTTGTAGTAGTAAGCGAGCCCAATAGCGCATAATTAATACAGGCTCTGAATAAGAGCTCTTAATCATAAGTAGTTACCTTACTACAGGAGATATCGGTCTGATCTGTCTAATGTGCATTCTAAGCTACTATATAAACAAAGGGGTACAATGTTCAAAACAAACTGTGGAAGTTTTGTAAATGATGAGTGAATTAGTGATGAGCCCTAATAGCTCTCCAGTGACGTGTTAGTTTGATTGGTTCCCAAGGATCCGATGCCTTGTTCACTGCAAGCAGTAAGAAATGTTAATGTGGGTGGTGTATCAAGTCTGATATGGTAAAAGATTCTGGAATCCAAAGCATGAGAGAGCAATGAAATTTCTCCAGGGAATAGGCAGTGAGTTTTTTTAGGGGTGGCCACAGTATCGACCATCCTAGCTATGCGGTATGCACTAAGGTCTAGGCGATATATTAGAATATACAACCCTAAGCTTTAGTCTAGCTATTCTTTTATATTTGCCCATGTAGACTGCACCGGTTACCGACCACATCCAGCAGTCGTGGAGTGTGGTCCATTGCGAAGGTTCAAAGATGAGGATGAGGATTTGAAATGCCTTCAGATTCGACGCCTGTTGCCTTGAGGTACAACACTCCAGTCATATCATTATTATGTCAACAAAGAAACAAGACACCCTATTTCCGACTGAGTTCTGACCTTAATGAAGATAGGCTTGAGAAATAACACTACCATGCAAATCCCAGTAGTTCAGCATACCCAAGAAGAGTGCCACAGTAACTGTCCGCCTCCCAAAATGTGATGTTGTTCTCCCCAGAACTATTGCCGCTACCAATATCAACCAGTTCAAGACCCCCATTCGTCCCTATCTGGGGCCATCCGGGCCCACCGTCTGGGTTCTTCGCAAAGCTGGCCCATGCGTGCTGCATATACTTGCTGAGGGCGACCTCCTGGTCGGTTGCATTCTCAGTTGCATAGGTACCGAATACGATCGGTACCTCAGATGCATGAACCGCGCCTTCTCCAGGAAATGTACCTGTATTATTCAAAGAAGCTGAGTAACGGTATCGCCAGACCTTGCGACTATGTCCACTTGTGTAATTGGCGATGGCCCCTGCAGGGCAGGTGAAGACTGTATCTGTAACAATGCTATTCGCTGGTATTAACCTTCGTCCTTTCCTTTTCTTTTCAGAGTGAAAGATGAAGAATGATCATACCGGCTAATGTCTGGCCAGGTCAAGTTATGCCCCACCAGATTCTGAAGCTGCCCGATAAAAAAGTTACAGGTAGGCGTCTGTAGGTGGAGTGCGGCGCATATCCTGTCCAAGGTTTGGTTCACATTGAAAGTGCCACCGCCAGAGATAAGGTAGACCAATTTGCTTAATTCATTCTTGTTCGTCCCAATGATCATTGATACGTTAGCAAATGTGCCATTGTTGATGCTGGTTCTTATATCTGAGACAGAAGTCGCATTGTCGGCAATGGGTTTAAAAAACAGATTATTCTTCGAGATGTAGTCTTGAATGCTGTTCATCGAAACGTTCCGAAGGCAATCGATACCAGTGCAATTGAAATATTGCGAAACATTCTGGTAGTTTGCAGTTCCATTTCCGGGCAGTTCAAGTGCCTCGGATTCGATAATTGCTGCTTGAAATGGGAGCGGCGAAGGCGGTATAGCAAGAAGCTGCTTGGCTGACCAGCCGCCAGCGGACTCGCTAAATACTGTGACCTTGCTTGGATCACCACCAAACTGTCGGATATTCTTTTGAGTCCAATTGAGAGCAAGCCGTTGGTCGAGGAACCCGGAGTTTTGCTGCCCCAAAGGAATCTCCGGGGAGTTTGAGAAGCCAAACACTGTCGGGCCTGATCAGCCCTTCAATGCTATAAGGTGAGACTGGGGTATGCAACATACTGCTTAAACGGTAATTGGGGATAACAAGGACGACGTCCTCGGTAATTGGTAGTGGCGAGTCAGTATACAAAGACTGAGACGCGGAGCCGCTAATCAGGTCTCCCTTAAGAATAGCTTAGACTACGGCGAAAACTGCAATCACTGGTACAGACGACTTACCCCATGAATCCAGAACATGACTTCTGTTAGGCTTGATGGAGACGCGTTTTGTGGTGCATATACATTTAAGTACAAACAGTCCTCGCTCTGTTGAATATCTCCAGCTACTGGAAGTGCCAGTTGACGTTCCAAGCTCAGGCTGTCGACTGAATCATTTACTATTTTTTAGCAGACCGTACATTTCCTCTATGATTTAAGAGAAGCTAACCTGTGATATTTTGTTGAGGACATGATGGTGCCAGGCGCTGTGCCTGTAACGGAGTTGACCATGGCTCCGGCTCTTCGGGAGGGGAGAATCTCTCTGGCGGGGATTTTGCAAATGGAATACCCAAGAAAGCATTTACTACTGCAGTAGCGCTTGGTTGATTAACTGGCGTAACTGTAGTTCCTACCACAATGCCGGATGAGATGGTCACAGTTGGGTTTGCTGTGACTATGGTTGCTGTCATTAGGAAAGCTATCGAGGATAAAAGACTCAAAGCCATGGCCTTGGTGGTTAGATTCTGTTTACAGTGCCTAGGATAGTGTAACATATATAAAAGAAGATAGAGTTGTGTTGAGCAAGGAAAATACGACCTTGAGTAAGAGCCGGGCTTCCCCCACTTCGATAAGTAGAGGAACAATAAAGAAGGCTTGCGACATTGTGATATTACTTCATTCTTTGCAAATGACCGATGCAAACGGAGATCTAAGCCTGTTTCATGGTAAATTGCAATAAGGCGGCTGGTACCATGGAACCTTATTTTGCACTGTGAGCAGCAACATTACGCCCCGGCAGAACAATGGTTCGTTTCTTGTCATCTGCTCTTAGTGTTCACTTTATCTTCCTACCAATACAAGGCCTTTGCTGTGTTCAGAAGGTAGAACTGCAGGATGATCGCTGTACTCTGTTCTATCAGCTGCTCGGCGATCATTCGAGATCTATCAAGGGGGTTGACTATATCGGAACTATTCACAGGTCAGTTGCTGGCAGAGTCTACGTAATACACTTGAGAATACATTATAGGATAGGCGTGAGTTTACAAAGACCATGGTCTCGGTGCATAGCTTTGCAGTGTGTCCGTTTGGGAATAGGGAATTCGGATTGATTAAATCATCACAAGTGCCCTTGATGATTATCAAGCTTAAAGGTAGACTCTTGGTAGGATAACCACCAGGTCATACGAATTCCGGCAGAAATCTGTTTTCTTCCTTTTTGGCGCGCGTCAGCATCCTCGTCTCTGTCAGCCTGCCTCAACAATATGGCGCTTGCTTGTACGTGTGTGCTGAAACTGCTCCTGCGGATGTATGGCTGCTTGAGAATAGTCCAAACAGGGCACAGCTCTCCCGCTCTGCGAGTGGAAGATAGTCAACCCAGTCTTCTTGTCTAAAATTCATATATGGTCGCAAGTACTGCTCTAGCACACTATTAACCTGTTCAGTCTGATCATCAGTTTGGGGGCGGTAGGCTGTGCTTAGCCTCTTGCGAATCAGGAGATAGAACATCAATCCGCCCAGAAACCTTTCGTGAAGACCGCACCCTGATCAGAAATGATCTTCTCAGGGATGCCGTGATGTCGAAAGACTTCACGGAGAAGTAGCAGTGCTAAATTCCCCCGCGAATGGTTTTCTGAACGGGTATGAAGTGGGCAACTTGCTGAATCGGTCCACCAGAACCAAAAGGGCGTCAAATACTCCCGCGAGTGGCTAGCTGAGAATCCTTCGCGAGCCCTGCCACAACACGCCGCAAGCTTGACAGTATTCGCGAACAAATGTTTTGAGGTCTGGCCACCAGAACCTCCTGCTCACAAGCTTTAGGGTCCTTGCCTCCGCGAGGTGCCCTGCAAACGGATCCTTATGCAGCTTCGCAAGGATCCCTAATTTCATGTAATAATCATCAGGGATGTATGGGTGCCCTTTCCGATAGAGAAGCCCTTCGCGGAGCTTCCAGTATGTTGAGCTCATCCTTCACGCATCCGTTTCACGGTTGGAGTGAGCTGATTGACGGTTGTTCGGGCTTACTTAGTAGTTAGTACCCGGATAGGCTATCCATTCCTGTCGGGTACCCGAACTTCACCCGCATGCCCGATCCGCGATCCCTGAACGATCCACATTCGGCAATGGAAGATTAAACATAGTAGACAATCAACAAAAACGCGCATGGGCCACGAATCGCGCTCATATGATCGGATATCCGTATTTAGAATTTTAATTTAGGCACCCGATAAACATTCTAGTCTGACGTAGTCAGAATACCCAGCCAGCAAGGTATAAATATCACCCGTCCGTTGATCCAATATCGACCGAGAAACCGACAAGTCCTAAGCAAGATCCAAAAAATAAACCCCTGCAGAGCCCATCAACCATCAATTCATCAAAATGCAAGAACCAACCTATGACCCGAGGTAAGCATCATCTGTCCACACACCAATGTCCATCAACTCAAACCAACTCGCACAGCCGGCCCAGGCCCATCCTGAGCATAGTCTACGCCTACAAGCTCGTCAATTGTCCCGGCAAAACAATCGTTGGGTTACGGGTGGAATTCCCCCCGAACGGATCGACCCCTCCCCACCGGCATGGCGGCGCCTCGGTCTCTGCCTATGTGCTCAGCGGCACGGTGCTCAACAAAATGAACAACGACCCGATGAAGGTTATCGAGGCGGGAGGCACCTGGTATGAAGCTCCGGGTTGCCATCACCGCATCAGCGACAACGCTAGTGCGACTGAGCCGGCCGCCCTGCTGGTGGCCATGGTCCTAGACTCGGATGTGTATGACCGTGATGGGCTGGCAGCGCTGATCCAGATCGATGAGGAGTATCGGTAGATTGAAACAACGACAAAGTAACTACTATCACATATCTTGGACATGTGGGAGTTTACAGAAGAAATTTACAGATTTTGTCATTGATAAACATGAATACTGGCACCCGCCGGTGGTATACCGTATGATGTAGTCCACCTGTAACACGCTTAGGGACAGATCTAATCACATTTCTTTCTCTCCGAACTAATTATCTCGGGTAATTGTACCAATCTCCTTATAGATCTGCTTCCCAACTGCCAGTGTCGGGTCTGCTCTCCCCGTAAGAGGCGAATCAAGACGCTGGCATAAGAATGATAGAACCTATAAAGAATAGTAGAGTATTCGGGGAGTCAACAGTTGATCGCATGTCATTTCCTTACACGGCTGATGTGCATGGTATTATCACGGCTATCGGTGAGGTAGAGACCACTTTACGTCCAAGAACATGTAATGACTAGCTGCTTTTGCGTGGAGAGCTCAACTCAAACTATATTCTTTGACTTTGAACGTAAATTTCTGTCTTTGTTTGGTTTGACCTGCCTAAAGGTCTAGGGACCAGACTTAGATCCAGATCGAAAGATTCAGCGATAGGTACTCCTATATCCGAATAACAACCTTCCCGTAGCCAGAAGCCTTTGAACTAGCCTGTTCATACGCTTCCTGAGCCTGTGATAGACCAAACTTTTGCAGCACAAACGTCTTCAGCCGGCCCAAGTCCACCAAGGTCGCCATCTTCCTCAGAGCTTCAGCATCACTCCTAACAATGAAAAATAAAGCTCTCACATCCTCCTTGCCCGTGTTAAGCCCACATTTCCTATGTTCATTCACAAAATCAAAACTCGCCGAATCAACTGATATCAATGTCCCATACCCCGCTACCCAAGACCAACATCTTCGGAGAATCTCACCCCCGACAGTATCGACAATGAGATCAAACGACCCTTCCACATTCTCGCCCAAGGCAGAGTACTCTACCACCTCATGGGCCCCCAGCCCCCTAAGAAACTCTCCATTGCGCTCGGTCGAGCTAGACGCAGCCACAACATGCAGCCCTGCAATCGCAGCCAGCTGAACCAGGTAAATACCCACACCGCCAGAACTCCCGGTAATCAAAACCCGCTTCCCAATCATCTCTTCTGCCCCGACGGCATCCGGAAAGGGGAGTCCCGCATGCTCAAACAGAGCCTGATAAGCCGTCAACCCGCTGAGCGGTAGACAAGCAGCCTCCTCCCACGTCAGGGTTTCGGGCTTCCGGGTGGTCTCGTGCTCATGCACGATCGTGTATTCAGCCCATGTTGAGCCTCGATCGGCATGGGTCATGCCGAAGACTTCGTCGCCGCGTTTGAATTGGGTGGCGGTGGTGGTGGTGCTGCTATCCGGGTCGACGAAGACGTCTTCTACTATCCCGGAGAAGTCGTTGCCTGGGATCGTAAATTCGGTCGCGTATGTTTCGGGCCATGTTAGTGCATCGCGGATGGCTGTTGTGGCTTTCACTCTGATTAGGATTTCTCCTTGGCGGGAAGGTTTGGGGATCGGGATCTTGTCTAGCTTCAAGGCAGATGGTGGAGCTGGGTTGGTGGGGGAGTAGGGCTTTGAGCCGTTGGGGGCGGGATGAAGGCGGACGGCTTGCATTTTCTGACGAGTTTGAGATGAAGGATTTGGCGGGGAAATTAAAGGAGTGTATGGGGATGGGAGAGCTCTCGTAGATTGAGTAATGCGGTTGAGTGTAGATCGTAGTAGCGAAAGTGAGTATTCGTGATGCATATCGACATAGCAGGACTACAAGAGTCAAGGGGGGCCGAGTGAAGAATAAATAAATATTTAAGCAGGATAAACGCTATTGTGCTACTTGGCCCCCGCCGGAATTGCTGCGAGGGAAACTCCCTCAATAGCAATAGCCTATTGTTAATAGCCTACCGTTGGTCGATAGGGAGGTCTCCGGGAAAACTGTTGCCAAATACCATTGCCAATTACGGGAATATCAAGTTCCCCCTTGCCTTTGAACCATATCTTACAGTGTTATTTCGGTATTTCACGGCCTTCACCTGGCCCGGGTATCCGGGTATGAGTGGGAGCTAAATAAGATCCCTCATAAAAAGACATGGTAATGATAGAGTGTCTTGATATTTAAGGTAGTCCAAATCAGATTGCCCTTCTCTGTTGCGAAAGGCATGTTGCAAGGGTATTTATTCATTATCAATCATTATATACCGAGAGAATGCTGCGGCAGCAGCCCTCAGTGATCCGAGGTACTCAACACAACCATTTCTATAAAATTCATACTCATTCAACCGGTAGAAGTACTCAATATCAAATTACATACTACAACCCATCGCCCATACCCCACGGAAGATCAGCCAGATCACCAAGGCCATACCATCCACAGAGATCCTGGATAGAGCGGATAGAAGAAAGAATATCAGCGTCGCTGCTTAGTACGTCCGTACTAGAACTCAGACTTCCTCCTCCTTCAAAAGCATGCAACCCTTCGGTGGAATTCGACGCATCGCTATTGCTTTCCACCCTAGACCCAACCCCAAGCACATACTGACCAATCGTCTGTAGCTCGCGAACATTTCTCGCTGTTCTCGGCCATACCTCGCCAAGGACCTTGAGACACCCGATCGTCATCCGGATCTGATCTCTTGCGATTGCTAGATCTTTCCCCTTAAACAGGAATTTGCAGGCCGAAAGCAGCGCTAGGGTCCCCTCGCTCACCATGCAGGTGGTAAAAGGGGTGTGGCAGAATTCCTGCACGGGTAGGGCAAGGAGGCGGATTTGTGCCTCTGCAGACCGCAGGACTCGGACGGTGTGTACATTGACAAGATCTGGGATAGGGGTATCCAAGGGTGGTTCTCGGGCACAGCTGGAAACGTCCTCCATTGCGTTGAATTTGAGGGTTGAAAAGGGCCGGTGCAGGCCGATAGTTGCGCTAAAGGGTCGATGAGATCGTGTAGTGTGCAAGTAGGATAGATCGGAGGTACTTACACGTGAATTAGTAGGTGGGCTTGGAACATGAGCTCGTCAATTTCCCCAGTATGTGTCATGACCTGCTTGTAATCCGTCGGTAGTAGAAGTCGCCATCCATCTAGACTGCAGTCGGCGGCTTGGATGACACGCGTCGAGTCTTCTTTGACGGCTGTCTTCGGCGCCACAGAGATTGCGGATGCTGCGCATTGTACGGCGCCGATAAGATACGCAAAGGAGGAAAACTTGGTGCCCTCAGGGCTGAATTCGCGGCAGTTGAACTCTTCAATGGTTTTGGGCTCGGGAATATTCTGTAATCCAGTCAGCTCTTTAACCTACACGGGACCGGGTTAGAGAACGCGATGTTGCTAATACTAACCCCGGACTCGTACTCGGCCTCTTCACAGGGTAACTCGACAGTAGCAGCGATATCCACAACCGCCAAGTTCATCGTCCCCAGAGTACCGGCGTAGTACGCATCTACGATGAACAGCATCCACCATGTTCGCCTCCAGCTTTCCTTCAGCACGGGGTCATCGGCTCCCTGCGACGCTGCAAACTCTTGGCGAAACATTTGGAGATCAATAGCAAGCTTGGTTGCACTGTCCATTTCCCTTTTGGCATCGGCCTTATAGTCGTACCAGAAGAGAGCCATAGAATATAGAAGGCGACATTGGACCATGATTGGGTCGGATGGGGCCACTTGTGCAAAGCAGGCTTCTGTGTACTCCTGCAGCGGTAATGGCCAACCTTTTGAGGTGTAAATATCCCCGATTAAGCGTAGAACTGCAATGAGTGGCGTGAACCTGGGCTGTCTGTCCAGGTCGTGGTACATTTTTGCGAGGTGCTTCCGCGGCAAAATGAAGGGATGACATTTATGAAAGTTCTTATAGTAAGCATCGACCAGCGCATCATCCTCGATGCTAATAATCTGAGCTGGGCTCGCTACTATCAATGGAATGTTTGATGTGCCAGTACTACTCATGGTAGTATCGAGCAGGGCCGAGTCCTGGGAGAAGTCGACCTCAGCGGGTTGGACAGCACGTTCGTGGACCTGTCCAATCGTTGTGAATCGTTGCGGACTTGAGTCGCCGACAGATGAAGTGCCACCAGCGCCAGCTGTCGCAGCGAGTCTTTTGCGACGCTCTGCCAGCGCTGCGCGGTCCAGCCCGCCGCGACGTGAGGGAGCATAGCAGCACTGCTTGCCAGCATCAGTGCAGCGGGCGCAACACGGACGTTTGCCGTCGCATTTCGTATGACGGGAACGGCAAGGAAGACAAGCCAGCGAAGATCGCGTAGGTCGTCTGGTCTGCACACTCGGTGTAGGACTCATGTTGTGTACCGGGTTGTGGCTAATAGGTGGTCGCAGCTCAGTGAGAAGTGCGGGTATTCGGGTATCCGATTGAGTACTCCCGTACTGGTAATCCTTGGCAGCTCTTAAACATATATTCCGCCTTCTACTTACATAATATAATCAATCGTTGTACCAGTAAATTCTACAGAACTTTTGATATACGCTCTCAAGGGCCATTTAATGGTACCCCTCCCTTCATCTTAGGTTTTTATGCAATGAGGGATTCAAATATTTATCCTAACCCTTTATCAGATGCTAACAATCCAGGACTCTAGTCTAGCTATTCCTTCTGTATATTCGTGTTATGCGCAGGACAACCTCAGTTGCCGACACATCTAGCAGGCGTGGAGTGTGCGTCTGGATCGGAAAACGCTGCCAAAGGCACCACGGGCCAGCCAAGCGTCTTGATCTCCAGATTGGTCTGCCACGTATACACGATCCTAAGATGAATATCCAGGTCTTTCCCATAACCAAGGACTCTCCAGAGTTTCCTTCGTAAAGCATACTGTTCACACTTCTGGCCGTCACAGTTGGCCACGAAGTCGCTGATTGACGAGAGTGACGTGTCATCATCATCATCACTCATACTGTCATTATCTGCTTCTGATTCCTCGCTCCAATCATCCTCCAACCTATACGGAGGGTCCGAATGACATCGCACATCTCGCAGCCTTGGGAATATCCTGCGCCACAATGTTGCAATGGTGAGGATGGCATCACTTTGCAAGCGTGGTAGATCCTTGAAGCATATTTGTGCAAAAATCATGGTCTCTAACTGCCGGAATGGATGCAGACCTATCATTGTGTGAAGAGAGAGGCGCAATTGAGTATAACGCAGGTCAAGCACGACCAGTCGCGGGCAGTGATGGATAAGCTCTCGAAGCTTTTCACCATCCATCTCGAATTTGGCATCAAGAGCAAGGAACTCTAGTTGAGGCAGGGCACGCAGCAGATCGAACAACAGGTCTTCTTCCAGACGAGGTTCGCCACTCAAGCGTACGTCCTTCACACGAAACTTCTGTAAAAGCGGGCAGCCGCGCGCGATATCAAGGAGTGCTTCTACATTGTCAAAGTCACGGATATCAAGGTCGATGGCCCGTAGATTTCTGCACTTTGCAAGGTTCCCAAGTACAGTCTGGATAGTGGGGCGCCCGGATCCGAGGTCTTGCAGGTTGAAGATTTGAAGCTCGTTCAACGTTGGCAACATCTCTAGCCACTCTTGGGGCCGCTTTGCAAGGTACAATGCCTTCAACCTCGGCCATGGGTTTACCTGCTCCTCTACTCTTGTTGATTCCAAGGGTGGAGAACAATGAGGGATGAACAGCGCCAACGTCTCCAGATTTTGGTGTTGTCGAAGGCACAACAGGATTTCCGCAAGGTCGGATCGGCTCATGCGATCAACACGGCTATGAGCCGTTTCCTCAAGGTGGAAGAACTGCAAATCGCAACATCGAAGCATTTGGCAAAGCTCATAAATCTCCGGGCCACCGTCTGGTTTGTATATTGTGAGAGCTTTGAGATTTGGAAACTTATCCCGCTAGAGTTAGACATTCCCTCTTGAAAATGGGAAGAATCACAGGCCGAACGACACTCACAGCAGGGATGATCGATCCTTGAGAATAGCTGGCGCCGTCCATCGCCAGTGCACAGTAGTATCTATCAATAGCCAAGTACTCAATGGTGGGAGTGAGAAGGAGATCGGAAATGATAGACCAATCTTGACCTTTGATCTCATAGGGGATGACGAGGCTGGTAAGACCACTTCCTTGCGGCTGCAAAAGGAGCTTTGCATATTTGCGATGGCGCAATGCCCGACACTTCTCATAGCATGCAATTTTCGTTCGTCCAATTTGATCAAGTGCGACAGCGTCTGTAGAAAGCAGAAGGTGTTTCACAAAGCTCATATTTCGAGCGAAGCGCTCCCGTGATGCTACAAAGAGGCAATTGAGTGATCCAATGTCAGGTGTGCGGAACTGCATGTCATTCAGAGAGCCCTTGTAGAGCTTTTTCATAGCTGCCACACTCCACATGCGGTTCACGCAGGCGCAGTTCAAGATATCTGGGACCAGGTGGACATTATCGATGACAGATGCGACAATCTCCGGAAGCAAAAGTGGATTTGGCATCTTTCGATGAGAGGTAGCGCCCATCGTGAATTGGTCTCGAGGTTAAACAAGTATCAATCATGGGACAGAGCTACGTAAGTGTCAAAGGTAGCCCAACTGTCCAATTGCCCAAGAGTAAGGGGTGATAAAACTTGATAACTGATGATGCTTGGCACGCCTGCTACGAGCTTAGTCAGCGCATCCTAATGCTCTGAGAGATCAGCAGTAGCCTCTCCAGGCAGTCAGCTTGACGGCTAGCACTGAGCAATAGCTTGAGAGGCCATATATTCTCTCCTTAGGTCATCATACCTTTAGTTTTGAATTTCTGAAGAACAGCAGCGGCTGCTGGAACTGTGCACTCGAAACCCCTCCCCTTGTTGGTCATCGGATCGGTGTGAGCACAATGGTGAACATAGACGGACGAAGTAAAGGCTGCAGAATGCGAAGTAAAATGCGGTGTGTCCGTTCGCCGTTCCTGCATTACTCTTGGACACGGCAACTAACTATCGACTAGACGGAAGGAAAACCTTTACTGTGAGCGTTGCAGGAAAGGCGGGTTCCACTGCCAAGGTTATGTCCATCACGTCGAATTCATAGATGTAACTACGCGCTTGACTCAGGGCAAATCTGCGAAATGAAATCAGGCATTGGTCCAATCAGTTCCTCAAGCGGAGGCAGCCCTTGACTCGGGAGACTCCATCTACGGCAACCCTGGCCACCACGTACTTTGGTAAAGTTCATGGTCATGCGGACCTATTGCGGAAAGGCGCAGGGCTTTATTCACTGGCGCTGCAGAGCCTGCGCGTGCAGTTGCAGTGTCCAGATCGAGTCCTCGAATCTGACCTTCTTGTCGCCGTAATCTGCCTGGCAACTCTCGAATTGGTTGCGCTCACTCAACTCTCCGCTTGGCTCCAGCATTATCAGGGGCTGGCGCGGATTGTAAGTGTTTCTTGACCACCAAACGTGAGGCTACGGGGTCATCATAACAGACAGAACTTAGAGGATTGCATCGCCATCAGTCTGGAGTCGGAGCTGCCCTTCTTCCCACGCTCAGGTCGTGTATTGTAAGAAGCATTGGATTGTGCTCACGGATCGCACACTCACATTTATAGACAATTAGCTACATCGTCGAGAGAAAACGCTGTTTCCTAGAGAACCCTGCCTGGAAGATCATCTCATGGACTGGACGAATAAGTTCCTATTTTATTCCAACATCTTTTCTGATTCTTCGGACATCCTGAAGTTTATATCTTAATTACAGCTAAAAGTTCACAGGTTGGTTTACATATTTGATTACCACATCTCCATTTTCAGATTTTCTTTTCCTTTTTTTAGGATTTTCATTATTTGGTAAGTTATTCATTTTAACGTTCCAAGACACCAATCGACTACCTCCACGATTTGTTTTGCGACATACCGGGCCTACTGGAAGATTTAGATCAAGTAATCGCCTGGGACCCGGATATACCTGGACGCGATGAGATTCTTAGGCAAGTTCGCCAGAACACACTATCAACGCTGGAAATCCTTTACGCCTGGCGGTGTAAATTGCAAGAGGGTAACCCCGACGCAGCGTTCTTCATTCGGTCAAGCAGTTCATGTCTGATGGCTTGCCTCCCAGCCCGTTCCAGACAGTCATTTGGTTCACAGACCCCTACCGCTCCCACGAGTTGATTGTGTACGATTCAGTGCTACTTATCGTGCTCAAGGCAGCCAAAGGGCTCGGGCTGAACCTGGGCGGGTCCCATTTCTCTATAGCACATTCAAGCGACGTCCTCCTTCCAATACAAAGTAACAGGAAGGAGATTGCAGTCGAGGTGTGTAGGACTGTGGATTACCACCTCCACTGCCTGCAGAGGAGCTCCGGGGCATTCATGCTGTTATTCCCTCTGAATGTCGCATATCGTAATCTTGAGCCCGAGTTGGACGAAGCCAGATGGATGGAGAAGATCATGGCGGTGACTGCTGACATTATCACTCAGATATAACATTGAGTTTTGAGGTTATACCATGCCTCTGTCGACCCTCTTACTTGCCAGCGCGGCATCAGTCCTTTCATGTCTTGCACTTCCAACCACATCCACCAAAGAAAACTCCCTACAATCTGCGGAAGATGCTGTACCTGGAGAGTCATACCTGTCCACAACCTATACAGGAAAGCAGACACCCCTCGGAGCCAACTACACCCGAGTCATTCCCCCCACAGACCCCACCGGATCCCCCGCCCCCGACAATGTACTACTATTCCAGAACCTCCTCGACACAGAATGAATCATCTACTCCTTCTATCAACAAGCCGTCGAGGTCTTCTCGTCCTCCGAATTTACAAATCTCGGCCTCCCAAACAGCACTTACCGACGAATCGCCGAAATCCGCGACAACGAAGCAGGCCAACTCCGCATCTTCCGGGACCAAATCTCCAACCACTCGCTCAAACCAGACCCTGCAAATACGAATTCGGCTTCCACAGACAACCCCCAAGACCTTCCTCGCCCTACAAGTCTACATCGGAGTCTCCAGTATGGTCTTCCTCACTGGCCTCTCTCGCCAAGCCAACCTCACCATCTCAAATCCGCCCTCATGGCAATCGGCCAGGTCGAAACCAGCCACAACATCTGGTCCCTCCTCGACGTCTTCAACACCAGCCCCTTCTCCGGCCCGGCAGACACCGTCTACCCCTACGCGAACCAGATCCTCGACACCACAAACGTCTTCGTCGTTCCCGGTTCCTGTCCCAAGGCGAACCCCGTCTACCCCAATCCCCGCCAGGGTCTACCGCTGCTAGCATTCAGCAAGAATAGCACAAGCGCGACCGAGCACAAGCGCGACCGGGTTCAAATGTCCATTTTGTGTCCTTGGATGCAGACAACCAGCCGCGGTTTGAGGACGAAAACGAGTACTATGCGGTCTTCCATCATGGGCTGAATACCGTCAGCGTACCGTTTGAGCGGAAGACGAACAGTTCGACGATTCCGGAAAGGTTTGATCCCGAGTCGAGTATTATCATGGTCACTATTGCGGATCGGCGGGATGCCCCCACGGAGGAGAGTGTCGTTGCCGGACCGTGGATTATTCTAGAGCAGCCGGAGAGTATGACGTTGGAGGAGCCGACTGCTGTATAGGTGTTGGGAAACTTGGTGTAAGTTGCTGAGATTCGGCCGAATGCAACCGAAGTATGGATTGGTGGGCTGGTATGGACTGTGGATTGGGTTGGGTTGTCTATTTTGAACTACGGAGTGAGGTTGTAGACCATAAGTTACCCAAACAAGATTCTTCCCTATGAATATCTCGGGGATCTTTAGCAAACTATTAGTAGAGTTGCCTATATAGGAGAGAGCGCGTTAGCTAAACCTTTCTGAAAGGACACTGGCCGCAACATGAGGTGGAAGGCAGACATGGCCTTTTTCTCCCCGAACGGGATTTCCAAGTGGCTGGCTCGCTCTGCTAACTGCGTTACCACCTCGATCTCGAGGCAAGGGATTTGATTAACATGGCTTAGACCCCCAGCCTATTGGGGCTGTTGACACTACTGTTACAACCCTTACCACTCAATGAGCCCAGGATGATTCTTTCCCGAGTGTAATTTAAGGAAATTGAACTATAAAGAGACACCTAAATCATCGAGCAATGTAGTCAGCCAGACCTGTGCCTCGTTTCATGGATCCAATATCATTCCTAGTGCAGAATAACAAACCGCGGGCTGACAAGTTGGAATGCCAGGCATGGAATAAGGGTTACCCCGAACTCTGGGACATATCTGCTGTTCCTTGCATAAACTCACTCGAAGGACGAATGAACTAGGGTTGCTTAGATGAGGCGTGCTCACAGGTAAGGGGAATGGCGGAGACTGCCTCCACAGCTTGGAGGTCGGGGAAGAATCCTATAGCAAGAGGATAGGTTGCGGATAAGTCATTATCTTGGATCTCCCTTGCGTAAGGTATTCCAGTACTTCCGACTCCGGGCCAACACCAAAGAAAGATCACTGTGGAAAACCCGGTACTGTCCTTTCGCATATAAATAGAAGGTCCCCTTCATTCTTCCGCATGCCTCTCTCATTCATCGTTTGCGGTCGTGGACACCAGCCCCCCTTGATATGCGGCCAACTCGATTGAGTCTTTCAGAAGTTCTGGATGACTTAAGGCCAAGTTCAGCGCGGACACGACTACCGTCCAGCGCGTCTATAAAGAGCCGGGTCCCTCTTTATTTTCTTTCCCAGTCTTTTTCTCTTTAGGACCTTTTCAACGCACGAGCAGTGTTCAATCGCTATGGACACTCCACCAGAAAAGGACTGGATTCAGCTGGACAGTGGTCAGGCCCGCAGCGGACTTGGCCTCGTGTCATCCAGAACTTCTGAAAGGCTCAATCAAGTTGACCGGATTCGCGCCAACGGGGTTGGGGACCACATCGCGCTACCTCAGCTAGTTGTCTGTGGCGATCAATCGGCGGGCAAAAGCTCTGTTTTGGAAGGAATAAGTGGAATCCCTTTTCCTCGCCAGGACGGAGTTTGTACTCGGTTTGCTACAGAAATCATCCTTCGTCACGAGCCAAAACATCGTCAAAACACCGCCACCATCATCCCTCATCTTTCCCGCACCGAAGATGAAAGGGCAAGGTTGAGCGCCTTCCGCCGCGAGGTCAGCGACCTCGCGCATTTGCCCGGCATTATCGCTGAGGCTGCAAGACTGATGGGCGTACAAGGGGCGAATGACTTAGCTGATGCGCCGGCTTTTGCCGCTGATGTACTTCGCTTGGAGATTGTCGGGGATACTGGCTTGCATCTGACCCTTGTTGACCTGCCTGGGCTGATTTCTGTCTCTGAAAATGAGGACGACGTGCAGCTTGTGGGCGATCTGGTGAACGCATATTTGGAGAACTCGCGGTCTATCATCCTTGCCGTGGTCCCCGCAAGCAGCGATGTGGATACACAGAGTATCATCCAACGTGCTCGTCGTTTCGACAAGGATGGGTTCCGCACTGTTGGGATAATTACCAAACCTGATCTCATCAATGACGGCACCGAAGGACGTATTGCAAAACTGGCCAACAATGCTGACAGGACGAAACTGAAACTTGGGTTCTTCCTTGTCAAGAATCCTCGGCCGAGTGATTTGGAGAAGGGCGTGACTATGGCTGAGCGTCGGAAGATGGAGGCGGAATTTTTCGCGCATCCACCTTGGAACAAGCTTGGACTCGATCCTTCACGTGTCGGCATAGACAATCTTCGAAGCTTCATGCAAGACCTCCTTGATCGACATATTGAACGCGAGTTACCGAAGGTTCGAAAAGATGTGGCTCAGTTGCTGAATGAGATCAACAAGGAACTCATGGACCTCGGGACTCCGCGCACTTCGCCTGCGCAGATACGTATGTACCTCACTCGCGTCGCGACAGACTTCCAGAATCTCGTGAAAGCTGGAGTTGAAGGGATATATGGTAACCGAGACGGCTTTTTCCATGAAATCGATGATGAGAGCGACTGTCACCGTCTTAGGGCCGCCATCCACGCGGAGAATGCGAAGTTTGCCAACTACATGAGACAACATGGACAGAAACGCAAAGTTGTTTCGGCTGAGCATCAAGAAGAGACGGATACGGAGACCGGCCAGATCTTGGTGACCAAAGAGCAAATGTCGGCGTGGATCAAGAAGGTGAGGCCATAGGCATGTCCCAATAACAGGAAGCTAACCGCGGCAGATATATGACCGCACCCGTGGCCGAGAGCTGCCCGGCAATTATAATCATGCCTTGCTCAGTGAACTATTCCATGAGCAGTCATCTCGCTGGGGTGATATTGCTCGCGACCATGTCAATGCGATCACAGATCTGGTGTCTCGGTTCATTCAGTCTGCGTCTGCATTTGTGATAAAAGATACTAATGCACTGGAAACCATTTCCCCAATTATCACCGCCAAATTGGATGGCAATGCGGAGGACGCCTTCCGTGAACTGAGCAAGTTGCTAGATGACGAGGCTGGTTGTCCTATCACATACAACCATTATTATACGGACAATGTCCAAAGGGCGCGTAACAACCGTTCGAGGCAAGATCTTGGCACGTCGCTCAATAACGCAATTACCGAAGACTGGAATGGTCGCTTTCACGTAAGCAACTCGTCTGATGAGATCGGTCGGCTGGTGGCGTCTCTCCAGAGCCATCACATCATCGTTGATATGGAAGAGCGGGCATGCTGCGAGGCGCAAATTGACTTGGAAGCCTACTACAAGGTTCGCTCTTTCCATGGGATATTAGGACCACGTATACTGACAATATGCTAGGTTGCTATGAAGACTTTTGTGGACAATGTTTGTCGCCAAGTTATCGAGAGACATATTCTCACGAACCTTCCAACTGTATTCAATCCGATGACTGTCAGTAGCTTTTCAGATGACGATCTTGTCCGCTTGGCTGCCGAGTCACCTAGGATCAGTAAGCGCCGGGTGGAGGCTACTCAATTGCAGGAGGCATTGATGGACAGCCTCCGTGAATTGCGTTGATTTGTTTTGTCTTTTGTACTGCTCCGGCGAGGTTTTTTCCCCAACCTTGGTTTTCCCTCTCCGTCACGCAAATGCGGGAGCGATGTTTGATGCATTGGGCTTTCTGTCTTTCTGATCTGATTAAGATGCAATGGGTTTTTGTTATAAAGCTGCCTGAGACGGCATTCTGAGTATGTTCGCAGACCAGATGTTCCATACAAATTGATTTCATACCTGAGTAATCTGCCTGGTTCCTTTATGATCACAAAAGAACAGAGATCTGGACTACCAGATTTCTACTAGCAAAGTATCTGTGGGATAGCGCGTGTCTGAGCAATTAAGGGATGCTGGAGCCAGAGAACCTGTCGTTCAGGAACATCGTCTTGTCTTAGGGTTTCTGGTCGCCCACGCCTCAGCATTCTTCCGGCAGCCACCAAGAAGACCAAGCCCAAGCACACTGCAAGCCTCCACCACCGTCCACTACTTATATGTAATAAGTGCTAAAATTTTCATAATGAATCTTTCTCCTTTGTTTTATTAGGTTCATCAGGAAGACTAAGTTTCTCTAGGCTGGGTGACAAATTAGCTATGTTATTGAAAAGGGGCTGCAGGATTTTCTAAGGGTCTGTTGTGAGAAGATAAGCTTTAATGATTTCTGGGTCTCTTATTATCAAGATGCACTTACTTGATTAATGACTACTAGTATGACTAATTGTTAGGCTATGATATGCTTTCTATAAGACTTCTCACTCACTAGCAACTCAGCATCAAGATTCATTAAAGTACTTATAATTCCTTGTATATTGCATCCTTGATCCATACTTTACGTTGTAAGACTTTAGTGTCTGTTTAAGAACAGTGTGTACGGAGTATGCTATGTTCTTAATACTCTCTTTTATATGTGGATATTACACCACAACCTTAAGTTGTTATAGAGAGTATCACAGACTCGTTTAGTTTAAATGCAATAATCTCGATGAGGTCCTTGCAACACTGAGTGGGCCTAGTAAGTATATAGACGGTGGTTTACGGGCTAGGGCTAACTATGGGAACGGGATGGGAAGCTAGGGCCAGTCTAAGTTCCATCTAGTGAGAATAGCTTCGGTTCATCTCCGACAGTTCGACCCTGAGATCCCGCTCAGATGCTTCTTAGATGCGGAATCCCCATAACCCTAGATCCAGTTCCAAATGGGCCGTGTTGAAACGGGAGCCGTGTTTCAGGTTGATTTGGATATATCCTTGCTCATCTCCCCACGTGTTGATGATTGACGCATGCTCCTGAATAGCTTGTATGAGAGGAAACTATAATTAATTAAATCCACTCGGTTCATTTGTCGGCGTCTATCTACTCCAGGGTAATAAATCACATACATCCCAAAGACTTGGCTGGCGTTACGCTCATTTCCAGTTGACCTCTTTTCACTTCAATCACACTCTTTTGTACAACTTCTGTTCGTTGTATAGCTGGTTCTTATCTTTTCCTACTATTGTCATTCATTTCATTATACCAAAATGCATCTTAATCTGTCGTTCCTTATTGCCTTGCTCCCTCTTGCCTCCAGCTTCGTCCACCCCGGCCTCCTCGTCACGGACAGCGACATCACCCGCGCACAGAAAAAGATCAAAGCAAACGCAGACCCATGGATCACCTCCTGGAACGTCCTGACCCGTCTGCGTTTCTCCGACGTCAGCTACACCCCTTCACCAGCCAGCGTTGTCTACCGTGGCGACTGGGACGGCAACACCGCAAACGCAGAGGACCTATGGCACGACGTCGCCGCCGCATTCAATCTCGCCCTTCGCTGGAAAATCTCCTCAAACACTACCTTTGCCGATGCAGCGAGCAACATCCTCCATGCCTGGGCAACCACGCTAACCGCCCTCGGCGGCGGCGACGACAAGTACCTGACAGCTGGACTGCAGGGGTACGAGCTCGCCAACGCCGCCGAGCTGCTCCGGGACTACGAGCCGTTCGCGACGAAGGTTCTTCCATCTGTGATCGATATGGCTAATAAGATTTTTATTCCAATGCACTACAAGTGGTTGCGCCATGAGGAGCCCTCGCAGCATAACATCCTCCACTTCTTTGCAAACTGGGAGCTGTGCAATATCGCTTCTGCCATGGCTATGGGTGTCTTGACAGACAACCAGACGGTATGGGACTTTGCGGTGGAGTATTTCAAGCAGGGGGAGGGAACCGGCGCGATCCATAATGCCATCACGGATATTGTGGAGGAACCGGGCACGGGAACGCCGCTAGGCCAGGGCCAGGAGGCAGGTCGCGATCAGGGCCATTCAGCGCTGGATATCCAGTTACTGGCGGTGGTTGGACAGCAGGCCTGGAACCAAGGGGAGGATTTGTTTGCGTTGAATGATAGTCGTATTCTGAGCGGGTTAGTAGTAGTCCCAGTCCCTTTTTCCACTTGCACTTCAACTGATGATCTTAGGACCGAGTACTGGGCGCGGTATAACCTAGGCCACGACGTCCCCTTCGTGCCCTACTCCAACGGCATCGTCAGCTTCACGGAAATCAGCAGTGCGTCTCGCGGCGCGATGCGGCCGACCTGGGAGCTGCTGTATAACCACTACGTGGTGATCAAGGGGATGGACGCACCCTGGACGACTAAGTTTCTCAACGAGTCTCTGAACTATTATGGCGGCGCAGAAGGGGGCGCAGGGTCCTGGGGTGAGGGGTCAGGTCACTATGATGGACTCGGCTGGGGATCGTTGCTGCATCGCTTGGATGAGTCGGATGTCGCGGCTGCAAGTTCTGGGGCGAGCACGCCGACTGCTCCGCCGTCGGCCGGTAAAGCGGTCTCGAAGCTACCGCAGAGTACGCCTGGTTCGAGTCCTGCGGTATCCTCTGGCGGAAAGTCAACTTCGGCAGCGGCCGCGTCTACGAGTGCCTCTAGCAGTACTCCTTCCCCCTCTTCTCCAGGCACGAGCACCCCTGCAGCTTCTGCAGACCCGCGTCCTACTGAAGCCGGCCAGAAGCCCGGTCATCGTGGACACCGTCATGGACACAAACATGGGGGATGTCGTGCGCATTCACGAGTCTAGAATAGAAGGCTCTCTTGTATATAACTAGCCACTAGAGCCGAGTCAAAGTAATAGCTGTTCCTGCGGGCAAGAACCAGGCGCAACAATAAACAGCTGCAGGCTGCAATGGATTTTGGCTCTACTACCATATCCGTCCTTTCAGAGATGAGATGCGCATAGATTAATATACAACCCATCTACCACGATGGCAAAAACAGATGCTACTTCCCTGCCAACTTCTTACCCTTCGGTACCCTGGCAACCCAATACAAGAACAACGCCGCCACAACATTAAAGGCAACATACACCCACATGATACCAAGGTTGCGCCACCTAGCCCCATACTCCGCATGAATCCCCGCCAAATACACATTCGTCTCCTTGACCTTGCAGTACTGGCAGTTGCTCATGGCATTCTCGTCAAGCAGGTAGCCACCCGCCGCCGCGATATGCGCTGCCATGTACTCGCCGCACGATTGGCCGACAGGCGGGTTGAACGCGGTAAACTCGTTACTGGCACAGGTCACATTGACATTGGCCAGACCTGTCGAGAGGACTGCCGAGACGTAGTACGAGAGCGGCGAGGCGCGGTACAAGAAGATCCAGAAGCGGGGCATCTGGTCCGGCGAGGCCAGGACGCCGCAGAAGAAGAAGGCCAGGACGAAACAGAAGTTGGCGATGTTGCCGCCGTCGTCGGCGGAGCCGGCGAACGAGATGCAGAGGTGCGCGAACGTGGACACCCAGACCAGGAACGCCCAGAAGAGGAGCCACATCAGCGCGCCGCGCTCGGGGCCCTGCTCGGCGGCGGTGGCGTTCTGGTAGAAGCCGACGGGAAAGTAAAACAGCGCCCACATGAAGACCGAGGCGAGAGTGTACCACGGGATCTCGACCAGAATTTGGGCAAGCATGAACACCTTCCAGCTGTATGTTTTGGAGGGCCGCTCGCGAGCCTCGTAGAGCGAGCGCTGCGTGATGAAGTGAGGGAATTGCTGGTCGACCAGCTGACCCACGATGCTCATCAGCTCGAAAATGGCAAACATCTGGTTCTGTAGGCCTTGGATGCTCAGTGGGGAGTTGAGGAAAACCAAGCCGATGAACAGGCTGGTGGCGGTGCAGAGGAGGAGTTTGGAGTAGATGTACGAGGGGGTGCGCCATGTGTGTTGAAAGGCGCGCTTTGCTACTATCAGGAACTGGCGCCGGAGTGGAGTTGCGAATTCGTCACACGCAGTGGAATCATTGTGGCCGTCACTGAACAAGACTGCTGAGGCCTTGGACCGGAGTTGGGCGAGTTCGTTTTGGATGTTGCCGTATTCAGGACTTGAGCGCCATGTTTCATGCCAGTCGACTTCTGGATAGCTGCCAGGTGCAGCACCGATGGCCTCAAGCATCCACTCGCCGGGGTTGGCGCCGGGTGGACAGGGTTTGGCACCATTGCGCTCAAAGTAATCGATGAGTGTCGTTGAATTGCTCCCGATTTCACCTGGGGTAATCATATGTTAGGCTTGCCAATACCACGACCCAGGTGCTCGCTTGAGGGCTCGGAGAGGAAACATACCAAAATAAACCGTTTTGCCCCCCTCCGCGAGTAAGAGCAGGCGATCAAACCGTTGAAACAGCATGGCAGAGGGCTGGTGAATGGTGCAAAGGATCGACTGACCCGCTTTCGATAGTTTGGTCAGCAGGTCTAGGATAGCCCAGCTAGTCTGCGAGTCGAGGCCAGACGTGGGTTCGTCAATAAAGAGCAGTAGCGGTGGTTTAGCAGCCAGTTCGATGCCGATTGTCAGGCGCTTGCGTTGCTCAACGTTAATGCCTTCACCTGGCACGCCAACAACAGCATCGGCGTACTCCTGCATGTCGAGCAGCTGGATAACTTCGTCAACATAGGCCAGCTTTTCTGCCTTTGGAACGCTCTCTGGCTGGCGCAGGAGAGCGGAGAAATTGAGAGCCTGCAGGAATGCAGTGGTCAGTGGACATAGCCAAGATGGGAGCATAAGAAGCTCATTTTGCTAGTTTTGGGAGTTTGCGGGCACACCTCACGGACGGTACAGGTCTCAAGATGCAGATCTTGCTGCTGCGCGTAACCGGTTTTGCGCTGGAAGCTCATATCACGGGGTTTTCCATCAACCAACATCTCGCCAGTGAGAACACCCACGCCTGCGCGGCGATCAGCAAGGCAATCCAACAGCGTGGTCTTGCCAGCTCCCGAAACGCCCATGAGGGCTGTCAAGGTCCCAGGCTTTACCCAGCCGTCGACATTATCCAGAATGCGCCGAGGCTTGCCCTTGATCTTGATGTCGTAGCACACATTGCTCCAGTGGAATACATTCGTAGAGCCCTGGAACCCTCCCTTCTTGCTGGAATCGTAGCCATTGCCCGGTTTCTCCAGTAGAGTTGTGACTGGGCCCGAGGGTGATCTTTCAATGTCCTGACTGCCCTTGCTGGCAAGTTTGGGGACGAATCCCCGGCGGAAGACGAGGATCTCACCCTTGGACTTCTTAGCTGTGACGTACTCGCTGGCTAGAAAATACACGATATGATTGAAGATCACCATCGCAATGATGATGCCAACGTTGCGCCACTTATGGCTGTGGTAGTAGCTGTAGGCTGAGTTGATGTACGCATCGCCGTTGACGTAGGATTGACCGGGTACGGCGCCAACAGCGTCACAGGCCACAGTCGTCGTACCGGGAATTCCGTAACTGGGGAGGAATGATGAACAGGTGAAGTTCCGGGCGTGGTACTCGTTGACCATCAGTGCTTCGTAGCCATATGCGACAGGGTTCAGGTAGTTAATCCACTGGCACCACGATAGCATGTAACGGATTGGGACCACGAAGCCGGTAAAGACGAGCAGAGCTAGCATCAGAATAGAGGCGGGCACCATCGCTTGTTGTTCTGTTCGAGACAGCGCGCCGCTAGACTGTTAGCCCAAGTCTTCATTTGGCGAAGCTTTACACTTACATGAATCTGAACACTCCAGACATAGCCAGAACAATGAGAAAGACCACCAACAGGTAGAAAAAGAAGTTCCCAGGCTGCCGGTTCAGGTTTGTCATGAAATAGAACACCAAGTTGAAGGAAACAGTACCCGTAATTTTCATGGGCAGGTCGACCAGGACAGAAGCATACGATTCAGCCGAAGGATGGTAAAAGGCGTAGCGGGCCTGCTTTTCCACAATGGGCCGTTGCGCGTACAAGGTCATGACCTCGAGGATCGAGGCAAAGGCATTGAATAGAATAGCCATGAAGAGAACGACAGCCCGTCCGTAGAAAGACGCCGTCGTCTGATCCATATTGTAGAACAAGGACGACATGATGAGCGCCATGATGACATTCCCAATCATGACCCAGATCGACGGGCCAGGATCTGCCCAGAATCGCCTCCAGCCTCGCCACATACAGAGTTGAACCTGTTGAGAATATGTCAGGGTATATGGCGAGTTCAACCGCTGACCCTTTGCCTGGTGGGCCTTCTTGAGCTGTCGATAAGCCAGGGCGTCCGGGCCGTCAATCGGATGCTGAGCCTTGTAATCCTCAATTTCACTCTGTAATGCCTCGTACTCCGGGCTCCGTCTCCAGGCGGCTGCGAATTCGTCGGCTGTTCGCGGCGGGTTGCAGCTAGGGCGAGGCATGCGTTCCGCTGGAAAAGCCATGGATGTAAGAAAATCCGGAGTGGTTTGGCGAGCCGGACACTCAAATCCCAGTCTGATAAAGTAGTCTTGGGCCCGGGACGCAGGCCCGAAGTAGATCTGCCGCCCTTCATAGATGACCAGGGTCTTGTCGAATAGCTCGTAGGCGCTCTGAGGTGCTTGATACATCGAGACCGCGCAAGCTTGGCCAAACAATTCCGACTGCAGCCGGAGGGTCTTGCAGAACTCAACTGCATTGGCCGCGTCCAGGCCTCGCGTCGAGCTAGTTGGCAGCAATAATCAGCATTTACTCGTCCGTCTATGTGAAAGGCCACTTACTTGTCCCAGCACTGGAAAGGAGCGTTTGACAGCGTCGCCTCCGCGATCGTGACACGCTTTCGTTCGCCTCCGGAAACTCCGCGGACAAACTCGTCTCCAACTTTGGTATGGATGGTGTGGCTGATACCATACATGGCCATAACGACGTCACGAAGATGCTCGCAGTACTGTTTGCGAGTGATGCCGTCTGGCAGCTCCCTCTGACAGCGTGCGTACGAGGCAAATGTCAAGGTCTCGCCGACTGTCAACATGGGAAAGTGAACATCGACCTCAGCGGTGTAGATGGCATCCCCTCGATGGGCAGTGTGCATCTCCCTATCCGAGATACCTTGATAGCTGAAGTACGAATCCCGATGGACGAAGATACCATTCCGATCACCCGAGATGGTTTTGAGAAAAGTCGAGCAGCCGGACCCAGGAGGACCCAGCACCACGCACATCTCTCCTGGACGGAGGATGCCATCGAACTGTTGTAAGATGTTCACTCGTGTTTGGCCTGACGTGCTGATGCTGGGCAGGAGACGACGAGCAATCATTCTCGGCAAAGCCAGCCAAATATTCGCGACGGTCTTTTGAAAGTCTGTCGCGCTGGTGTAGCCAAAGACGCTCAGGTTCTGGAAACACAAGCCGACTTGACGGAATTCCTGGCCTCTCTCCTCAGCAACCCTGGCGACATTTCTGGCCCACTCGCGTGCGTTGAACTTGTTACCGGCCGGGTTTAAGGGAGAATCAGGATCGTCACTTCCGAAGATAGGCTTGCCGGTGCAGTCAGGGGAACTGTTGTGAGTAAATTGGCGTGCAAGATCCTGCACGGTGGAGTGTCGCGACTCCACCAACTTTGGCGTGTCTTTTGCTTCGACGTGGACGTCGGCAGTGCACTCTTCAGTGGTGTGCTCCAACCGGCTCTGCTCGTTCTGCGCCCCGTTGGGTCCGAAATGACCCAATGCCGTTGCGGTTGCCATGATGCTTTGGCAACTAGCTGGTGAAGACACTCGAGAAAATGGTGATGATAACGGTGCACTATGAGAGGAACTGACGCCTTATAGGCATTAAGACAGGGCCGAGAAGAGGAGCCATGGCAATAGGAGGGCCAAGATATCTCCGTCTGCCGTTCAAGTCTGTTGCTTCTCCCTGTACACTTTGGCTGGAGCACTCCGGTCGAAGCGGACATAACATGCCATCCTTGCGGACTCAAGATCTACTGCATTACTTGATCTATACACTCGCCGCCTCCGTCTTCCACAGAGGTCAAAACCGCTTACGTCCGTTAGGACGGCCATAAGCTCGGAATATTACCTTTCGACCCTTTCCACCCCTAGTTCCCCAGTCAATCAGATAAAAGATAATTAGTCATTGGTAAGTGGTTGAGCGTCAACTACTTCTGCTTAGCTCTCCCTCTCATAGGACTATCTACACTTTATATCCGCTTGACAGACATCTCTCATCAGTATACACCAACGCATGCTCACTGCACCAGGTTCACCAAAATCTAACCAATATTCCCATTACTGAGAGGCACCAGTTTAATACCCAAAAGTTCTCAGAGGAGGGGGGGTTATACTGTCTGTACATAGACATAGCCCTGATATTTCGGCCGAGCGGCATTCGGAGACGGACATAATGGACAAATGCGGCCGAGAACTGCCTCAGGCAGTAATTCTCCGCGTCCTCTCCCCATCGTCAACACAATTTCTCTCTGCCAAAGCTATGTTACAAGATTCGGCCGAAGAAAGAGACAAGGAGAAAGAGAAATTGCAACCAGTTACCTCATGGAGACTCCGCCGCAGCCACAGCCACAGCAGCGTCGACGTCGAAGACCTGCTCTCTCCTGTCGGGAATGCCGTCGCCGCAAGATCAAATGCGATCACAATAACCCGTGCGCACAGTGTTTGCGGCACAAGACCCGATGTATATACAAGCCCTATACGGGGAATTCTGATGACCAGCCCATCGCTGTGATCACCCAACAGCATGGTTCGCCGCTCCAGACCGACAGCCGCCGGCCGTCAGACAGCTCGGCCCCGGACAACTCGCTCAAGCTGCGGACTTGAGTAACATCAACGGATCTGTCTCTGTGCCTCTACAGGGCAGCAGCTCGTCCACACCCGGGGTCGCAACATCAGCGACAACGGCGGCGCCCCTGGGCGCAGTGAGACAACAATTGCCAGGCCATGACCCGGATGGGGGAGTCACTGTCTGTGATCTTCTGCATCGGATACAGAAGCTGGAAGAATCTTCCGCAGGCAGATCCCGGACAGATGAGAGTCCTCTCCACGGGGCCCATGCACGTCAGTCGCCGGCGGGGCCACAAGAGTGGCAAGCTGTCCTGAACAAGTCAAGAGACTGGGGCAGGAGTCGATGGATGGGCGCGGCTAATGAATTCACCGCCATCATCGCCTGTTACAGTGAGATCATGGGCAAGCGTAGCAAGGACAGCTTGTTTCAAGGGCTTGAAGCCTCGGCGCTGATCTCTCAGGCCGGTGGCCTACTCCGGAAATGCAAGAATAGAGCGAGGAGTATCAAAACCTGCCGATCCACTAGAAGTCTCCCTTTGCCGGGCTTCGAATTTGCGCCCCCTTCCCGTGAGATGTCCGATGCCATGGCCAATCTCTACTTGACATCATTTGAAACGACGTATGTATATCTCCGGGGGGATTGCTTTGTAGTAGGATACTGATCCTAGAGGCATGCAGGCATCGGATACTTCACGTCCCTACCTTCTGGCTCGAGTACCAAAGATATTGGGACAACCCAGATGGGGCGGCTCCTAGTCTACGTCTCAAGGTTCTTCTTGTCATTGGCATAGGATCAAGTCTATACGACCATGGAGACAGAGCTGCCGCGCTTCGCAATATCGACTTGGTTCAGCAATGGATCTACGCTGCTCAGACCTGGCTTTCTGGGCCGCTAGAAAAGGACCGCTTGGACATCTCTGGACTGCAAGTCTACTGCTTGAGTATCCTGGCCCGGCAGATATTCTCTATCGGTGATGACACGATATGGATCTCGATCGGATCGCTGGTCCACATCGCCATGCAACTCGGGCTGCACCGGGACCCCAAGCACCTACCAGCTATATCGGTCCTGCAGGCCGAACTGCGGCGGAGGCTTTGGTACACTATTCTCGAATTCGTCGTCCAGGCGTCCCTGGATTCGTGGATGCCGCCAAGGATATCCTTTGATGAATTCGATGCCGAGCCACCCTCCAACATCAACGACAATGAGCTCAACGAGTCAACCACGGAGCTCCAGCCGCGCCAAATGGACGTCTTCACAGCTACATCCGTCCAGCTCGCCTTGATCGAGTCGCTACCCGTCCGCCTCCAGATCGTCCAGCTCCTCAACGGCTTCCACTCCGAAATATCCTACGACCGAGTCCTCTCACTAAGCTCCGAGTTAATCAACGCCCTCCAAGCATGCAACCACCAAATTAAAGACGGCAACGGATCGATCCCCTTCCACCGAAACCTCCTAGACTACCTAGTCCGCCGCTTCATGATCCCCCTACACTACTCCTTCAGCAACCAGGCCCGCACCAACCACCTCTTCCACTACTCGCTCAAGCTCAGCCTCGACGCCGCCCTCGCCATGGTCTCTCCCGAGCCAGACTCAGCCTTTGCCCGTCTGATGGCTACAGCAGGGGGCCTCTTCCGCGAGGGCATCCGCTGCGCCACCTCGGCAATCAGCCTCGAGCTGCTGGCACATGTCGAGACACAGCGTCTAAACGGCACGTTGCACCGCACGCACCAGTACCACGATTTCCTCAAGCAGGCTGTCCGGGATCTGATCGCGCAGTCTGAGGAACGCATCCTGCTGGGTGAGACGAATGTGAAGAACCATATGTTTCTGAGTATGATCCTCGCTCAGGCGGAGGCGGTCGAGGCGGGAGGAGAGGTTGAGGTGTGGGTTGCGCGCGCTGCGAGGGATAGCTTGGAGCTGTGCGATGGTCTGCTGAAGACCAGGGAGGATGCTGGCCCCAGCCGGATGGCGTCGCCTGATGAGGCGGGACTCGCGGCGGCGGGGATGGAAGGGTTTGGGCCGGATTTTGGATGGGAGCCTTTCTTTCCGGATGGGGAGTTGGGCTTTCAGAGTTGGCTTGGGAGCTAGGTGGTTAATGAATGCGTATGGTCTGGCGTTTGCTTGCTGCTAGGTTTCATCATGTAAAGAACGATACTACAGGAGGAATGCTCAGTGACAGATACTCATACAGCTGCACCCTCAATGAATTCGAGAGCATATTCTTATGATGGTCACTCTTAACATTCTTATTCATATGGCCTAAATTTCATATATATACTAGTAAGTGTTTATGATTCTAGAAGGTAATGTACAAACACTTCGAGCTACCTGCAGCAGAGGAATTAGGGCACGGCGAGTCAGGAGCAGTCCTACCAACTACGCACTGCACTGGGCCCTGTGGTTTCTGGAAGGTGATCACCACTGCTTCTGTCATGAACGACGATCAAAAAAGAATCGGTGATTTTGATTTACTCTCCAGTCAAAAATGCACCTTGCTTCTCTCTCCATTTACAGACCAAAATG